ACCTTCGAGGTGATTGTTGGTTCGGGGTAGGCCATCCAGTGTTCTCTGGTGCTGGTTCCAGGATGGGAACTGGACCACCAGTTGTCCGATTTCCATTGTGTGGAATCCGCAGTGACTGAGTGGATGAGGTTGCCGACTTTGTGTTCTGGCGATTGGGTGCCTGACTTTACTGGGAAAGTGTAACCCCAAATATATCATATGTTACGTTCAGACCCGTCAGTAGGGTTGGGTATTGCAGAGAATTTTCATATTGCGATATATTGCGATGCGGAAGCATATATTGCGATATGTATTGCAATATATTGCAAGGATTATTTTTTTAACAAAAACTACTTATAATCGAGTTAATGCTTGATTATAAGCAAAAACACAACAAAATCACTATGATTGATTAACCGTTTATAAAAACTTTTAATCATGACAAAATAAAAATGTAAGTAACATTTGGCACTAATGAAACAGGGAAAAGAACAATTCAAAAAACGGAAATATCCGAAGATTTCCGAGTGTTACGAAGTTTTCCGAATGCATGTCAAAATACCGGTTTTCGATCAGCGTATCGCAATACGTATCGTTTTCATGTCTGAACCGGTAAATACCGGTAAACCGGTTATATTGCGCAGCCCTACCCGTCTGTGTACATGTCATGTCATCTGCGTATATACAGCGCTCAGAACCATCACGTGTACATATTGTGTCGTCTGCATGTATACGTACAGCATTCAGAACCATCACGTGCACATATTGTGTCGTCTGCATGTATACAGCGTTCAGAACCATCACGTGTACATATTGTGTCGTCTGCATGTATACAGCGTTCAGAACCATCACGTGTACATATTGTGTCGTCTGCATGTATACAGCATTCAGAACCATCACGTGTACATATTGTGTCGTCTGCATGTATACAGCATTCAGAACCATCACGTGTACATATTGTCTCGTCTATATGTATACAGCATTCAGAACCATCACGTGTACATATTGTGTCGTCTGCATGTATACAGCATTCAGAACCATCACGTGTACATATTGTCTCGTCTATATGTATACAGCATTCAGAACCATCACGTGTACATATTGTGTCGTCTGCATGTATACAGCATTCAGAACCATCACGTGTACATATTGTCTCGTCTATATGTATACAGCATTCAGAACCATCACGTGTACATATTGTCTCGTCTATATGTATACAGCATTCAGAACCATCACGTGTACATATTGTGTCGTCTGCATGTATACAGCATTCAGAACCATCACGTGTACATATTGTCTCGTCTATATGTATACAGCATTCAGAACCATCACGTGTACATATTGTCTCGTCCATATGTATACAGCATTCAGAACCATCACGTGTACATATTGTGTCGTCTGCATGTATACAGCGTTCAGAACCATCACGTGTACATATTGTGTCGTCTGCATGTATACAGCGTTCAGAACCATCACGTGTACATATTGTGTCGTCTACATGTATACAGCATTCAGAACCATCACGTGTACATATTGTGTCGTCTGCATGTATCACACATGATTTGTCGTGTCGTATTAAAAAACACACCACTATCCCTCATTCTAAATGCAAATATTGAATATTATTGTATTGATACAGTTATAAGCTATCACAATTACGAGAAATATTCCGAAAATATATTCGGCAAAACTCATTCCACAATCATAAGTAGTCTTTGCTCAAAGATAGATTATACCCAGAGAAGGATTACCAATCTAACGACAGTCGTGCAAGACAAACGAAACGTTACACGACTATTTTAATTCTGTACTAACCGCAGTGGATCAGAAATTGGTCTATTGATGTCGACATTAAAATACTTCTCACAGGAATTAGGCCACAATCTTGATAAGACATGTCAGTGTAACATGCAGAAAGGTCGCACATGCCCAGCTGCCATTTCCTTGAACTTATAAGTTATTGAAGGTACTATACGTGAATGGGGTCACACTATGTAAGCAACTATATATCGTAAACACTACACAACTGATGGGTGTCACCTGGATACTGTACTAATCAACAAGGTGTGTTTTTATCTGTCCTGGGTGGCAGAGTTGTGCATGATTCTATCCAGGTAACAGTAAAATGTGAAAAAAACCCATCGTGCTAAGAAATGAGGACACTTTTTAGGGAGTACTTTCGAGAACGTTCTACATTTCTACCTTATCAGGCGTAGCTAAAAAGGCAAGATTTGTGTCAGAAATGGTTTGTGATGTGACGTGATAATAAATACCGATTTAATCTGACATGGGGCAAATACTCGTGTATGTGTTTATAGCGGGTTGCACCAGTGGAGCAGGATAGGCTTACCGTTTCGTGGATACTTGGTATCATACCTCGCTGACTGTGATTCTGTCTGTAATTGATAGAGTGTCCTGCAAGGGTACTTCTTTCTGTAGTGGACAGTGCTTCCTGCAAGGGTGCTTCTGTTTATAATTGATAGTGCTTCCTGCAAGGGTGCTTCTGTTTATAATTGATAGTGCTTCTTGCAAGGGTACTTCTGTCTGTAATTGATAGTGCTTCCTGGAAGGGTGCTTCTTCCTGTAATGGACAGTGCTTCCTGCAAGGGGTACTTCTGTCTGTAATTATAGTTGATAGGGTGCTTCTTCCTGCAATGGTGCTTCCTGCAAGGATTTCTGTTTATAATTGATAGTGCTTCCTGCGAAGGTGCTTCTGTCTGATAAGGTGTCTGTAATGACAGTGCTTCTTGTAATGGATACTTCTGTATGTAATGGATAGTGCTCATTGTATTTGACTGCTGTCTGCAATACTTGTTCTACTTGTAAAAGAGAGTGATACTTGTATGCGTGGTGCTTTTTTTTCACAGATGGTCGTTTGTAATGGACAGTGCTTCCTGTAATACATACTTCTTATGGATAATTCACCTTGTAATGGAGAGTGATGTGTAAATCCAATTTTGTAAGTTAATAATATAAACAACGTGAGGACAGTGCCTGACTGTTACTACTGCTACACTATGTGGCGGTTTGGAAAGTAGGAGTTTACTGAAGTTGTGGATAAAAAAATTCTCCCTGAAATTACGAACATTCATTTCAAATGAAAAGAAACACATCGTTCCAAGAAGAGATAAGTTATGTACTTGACTTGCCCATGCATGTGTTTGTGACGGGCGCCATCAGTGGAGCGATATCAGCCCACCTTCATGCAAACAAAACAGGCACTAAATTAGACAGAATTAAGTCACTGTGCGACAAGTGTAGAAATGTCCTCTAAATGTTGCCTTAACTGCTGTAGTTCTGAAAGTGGGGAGTCATATGATTCTCTCTGACATGAGGACCGACTGTACCTGATATGTGCAATGTATTCACGAAGGTCTGGAGTTGCTGGAATGCTTATCGACATAAAAAGAAGTTTTTTCGGCGTGTTATTTATATGGTGAGTGCACGTATTGCATCTTATTTACATATATTTTAGATAACAGCCCCAGACTACTTCTACGTTTTAAAACTACTTCTTGACCATTGACCTTGGCCATTGCAAGTTTCAATTTTTCTCATGTTTACAAACCTTTTACATCGATTAAAGATTGGTATTGGACTTCATCAAAATCTTAGTTTATATTGGTTGATGGAAAGATTAAATGACAAATATGAAACATTTCTTTGCCATTCTACTCAGAGGCGTGCACGCCATGAAAGGTGAAAGTGTTTGTTTCACTTGGGCTGGAACCTATTCTGTTGTTCCCTAATCTGTTGTATGTTTCTGCTGAATATATCTGTTATGGCCGTGTACTGCATCTGTCTGTAGTATCTATCTATCTGTTGAATCTGTTTATAGCTTTCGTCTGTTGAATATGTCTGTGTAGTGTCTGTGTAGTGCAACCGTCTACTGTATCTATCTGAAACGTGGACCTTTTGCGTCCGTCTGTTGAATTTGTTTACTGCACATCGCTGTTGACTGTTTCTGCCGCATCTCATTATTCATATGTCTGTTGACTGTTTCTGCTACATTTTACTATGCATATGTCTGTTGAATGTGTCTGCTGTATCTCATTATTCATATGTCTGTTGACTGTTTCAGCTGCATCTCATTATGGTATATGTCTGTTGACTGTTTCTGCCGCATCTCATTATGGTATACGTCTGTTGACTGTTTCTGCTACGTTTTACTATGGCATATGTCTGTTGAATGTTTCTGCTGTATCTTGTAACTTTGTCTGCTGCATCTGTCTCAGACATGTTTCCTGCACATGCGTGTTCTGCATATCCACAGTAAATTTACGGTATGACCGTACACGTTTGTATGTTTAAAATGTTTGTTTAAGAAGATTGAACAGGAATAATACACACGTGTCTGTCCTTGCTCCTCACAAATTACCACGCAGGCAAGCAATTGTCTGTTACTAAGCAACCTGTTAGTCATGTAATACAGCTTCATCCCTGTTGTGTGTGTGTGGTATACAGGAAGGGATGAATGGTTGATATCATCATGTTCCTTTAACCGTTATTATGCTATATTCATTAGCAGGATCACTGTAACCCTATCAAACGTATTTTAGAGCTAGAATTATTCTATCGAGGCATTGTTGCTTTTCTTCCCCAGTCGTCACTCAGATGTCATCAAACTATTCATGTCAACACTGTACACGTTGTCCAGCTGTACCTCGACTATACTGCCGTTATCATCTAAACATCTATATCACCCAGCAATGCTGTCGTTGACCTGTGTATAACCTCCACCAAACGTTGCTTCATGGACACCTCGACCTGATGGTAAACAGGCAAATGCCATCATTACTGTCCAGGACCATCTTTGTCTCATCAAGGGATCTCTAACTTTGAAGACGATTATATACCACGGATCACTCCTGGATACTTTAATCGTTTCAGTCGAGGGATTTTTTTTGTTCTGTGTTTGGCATGCATTTAACTTAACGAGTACCACACGGGTACATCACGTGATCTGGGTAGCCAATAGCCTTCCAGTCTGAAATCTCTACGCTGAAGCTGAGAGCGTGGATTCCTCTTAGTTGGACAGGTTGTGTTGTGCCTACTGCTCCCTTCCGTTGAATCTCTCCGTTCTGTTCGTCAGTGCTCGTGTATAGCTGTGTTTTTGTACCGACTGTTTGACAGAGGCAGACTCTGAAGTTCATCAACAGTATTGTCACGAAATGTGAAAGGAACGCACCACTATTTCTTACTTTACATCTAGTTTTCCAGTTCATATTTCACTGAATATATGATCTTATTGTCGGATGCCTGATATTGAGTAGATCGGATCCTGAGACTCTAGCTGTGCCACCATGGGACCTAGTGTTAGGACTGTATTGGTGGTGTTGGCACCTATGGTATTATGTGTGCTACAAGCTGACGGTGCGGGCAACACAAACTACACTCAAGCCAATGAGTTTCTGCAGCGGTATGATAAAGACTACGGCGACGCGATGAATGCTGAAGCTCTGGCTGAGTGGAGTTACAACACCGACATCTCAAAAGCCACCATGGCACACCTAGTACGTATTGCTGTGTGAGTGAGTTAGATTTTCCGCCGCTTTAAACAATATTCCTGCAATATCACAGCCCTGGACAGCAGATATGGGAATCGAACCCGTGCCTTCGACGTGAACAGCGAACCTTTGGACCACCTGTGTTGCATATAAGGAGGTTACTGTCCACCAAAACTTATTGTGAGACAGAAATAACCTCAATCTTTGGATTCACTAGATGTAGTTTACTGTTAGACATTAGCATAAGTTAAGGCATAACAAACTGCATATCTCGTTTTTTATCAGTACATTACATATGCTACCAGAATCCTGGGTCCTGTTTCACAAAACGACCTTTGCGCTAAGCTGATCGTAACTCCTATACTTGAACACAAACTTACCTTGAGCTGAGAGTTTTCTGAAGTGATGCCTAGGACTAATAATTATTGTGTTCTCTCTTGATATTGTCATGGCATGTGTTGTTCATCTAAAGGTTGACTTGCAAGTGGCGCTGGCGAATTTTTCGAAGTCTGCCTTTGAGGAGGCCGATACATACGCGTGGAGAAACTTTGCACACTCAGATATTTACCGCCAGTTCCAGAAGATTACAAACATTGGGCCTTCTGCACTGAAAGATCCTCAGAAAGTCAAGAAGGTGAGGAATTACTTTATTTACGGTCATTGCTGACGATGTCTATTGAGTCATAGCTGACAGTGTATTGTCATAAATAAGAGTGCAAACAAACAAGAAACAGGTTTTTTTAATGTGGATTCTAATATAAATGAAAACAACAAGGAATAAAACAGACATATCATGATAGTGTGTAATTTCGAGTGTGAACTTACTTCACTCTTCGTTTCAATTCGAGAAGGATAACTCGCTCTGAAGAACATCGAATCTTGTTTCCACCGACAAATTCGTGAAGAATGTCAAATCTTATTTCCACCGACAAAAAGATAGGTTGTTTTACTTTACAGATGAGTGAAGTGACCTCCCAGTTAGAGAGTATCTACAGCACCGCCCAGTATTGTCCCACTTCCGGGAACTGCCTCGATCTCGAACCAGGTCAGTAGTTCGTTGTCTTCATGTCCCCCACGTCTAGCTCCCAAATTCCGTTAGTATTTTATGAGCATGTTAAAGGAATTAAATAAAATGAAAAGGCTGTCTGGGAGGTCCATACTTCGTAGCTCATTTTACTATGGGAACAATCCCATACTCGACAGACCCGTGAAGATCCGGGTTCGAATTGGTCTTCAGTAACCCATGCTTGTCGTAAGAGACGACTAACGGGATCGGGTGGTCAGGCTCGCTGGTTTGGCTGACACATGTCATCGTATCCCAGTTGCGTAGATCGATACTCATGTTGTTGATCACTGGATTGTGTGGTCTAGATTCGATTATAAATACACCGCCGCCATGTAGCTTGACTATTGCTGACAACAACCAAACCAAGACCATACTCGACATCCCAGTGTATGGTATCGCCTTTCTGATGAAGCCGAGGACCCCTGACGTTACCATAGCTTTGTTGTAAGTTCGATTCGAATGACACGATTTACAATTAAATTGCACCAATGTGCAAATAAAACCATGTGCGACGTGGTTTATTAGAGATGTGGAGACAGAACGCCAAACCCGTAGAAGCGATTGATCCAAGGATAATAATATGAATTATAACAGAAGAGAAATGGACACACTTGATAAACGATTGATAATTTCGTTCCTCGAGATAGCCCAGCAATTCCCTGATATGTTTATGAATACCACTCGTGAATCCTCTTTCTGTGCCTACCGTCATGACTCACGCCTGTCAACATATTGTTTCATGCCACTATTGCATGGCAGGTCTGACACGTGTGATGGCCAGCAGCCGGAACAGCACGGAGCTCCTGAACGCCTGGTGGGGGTGGAGGTACGCCACGGGACCCAAGATGAGGGATCTCTATACCCAACTCGTCACACTCAGCAACGAGGGAGTCCGAGATATGGGTAGATATTTCTGAGTAACAGTGACGGGTGTGGGCTGGGCGCGATATGGGGATGGGGAACATGCTTGGGAAAAGATACTGGCATATATTTTTAATCTCATAAAGTAGAATGTATCCCAAAGGGTCTGTATTGGCCAGCTGGAAGTCAATGATCTAAAAGTTTTAGAAGCTGTTATGATAACCTGTCCCAAACATGCATATGTAAGAAAGTAAAATGCTAGATATCAGTTATTTGTACAGCATTAATACCAGCATTTCAGAGTTTGCCGCAACTATAAAATTTCCAGCTGACCAAAAAGCACTTGTATACTACTTCGTCCGTTATTATTATATCGCTGTTACATTCCGGGGCAAATGGAGACATCTAGTGGCTGCAATGTTCGCTCGTCATGCATTAGACCCATCGAAAGCTCTCAAAGGCGCTCGGTGAAAATCCCATTGTTGAGTCGTTCGTTGTATTGCAGGTGCACTATTAAAGGATGTGTAATACATCGCCCAATCACTGGCTGTTACACCGCTAGAAAAGTCTACACTTGTGTCTTCTTAAAGATGTTATCATTGTACACCTAAAGAGCCGTTGAACGGCTCGAGGGGGTCATGGGTTGTTGGCCAACATGTCTATTCGAAGGCAACATCAACCCAAGTCACCGAAGGGGCTAGTGGACATCGAATTGATCTTAACTTTAACTAGTATATATTGCAGGTACATGATTTGCGTCGAGAGTACCATGGTCAGGCATTTATCCACTTCATTTGTCACAGTCATCGCATAATAGCAAATGACAGAAATGTAACTTAAAGTTATTCCCCCACATCTATTTCAGTCGGAATATATCGTAAATAAGCGGAGAAGTGCGTCGTAACTTTGAGATACAAAATTGCGGTTGGTATGTTGCCAAATTTAGTGCCAGCAGCTCGGCAATTCGATAAGGGAATATAAGAAATATACTTCATGTTAGCGGTAGCAATAAAAAGAAAATACGTCTCATCCAATCACAATACGACATTTATGTTTCTAGTGTGATAAAATACCACATAAGATGCCACCTACGAATAACTCACTATTTCCTTTATATGAATGCCTGTACCTCCCCAGGTGATAATGACACAGGCGAGTACTGGCGGTCGTGGTACGAGTCCTCAACATTCAAGTCCGACCTGGAGGAGCTCCTGGACGAGCTGCAGCCTCTGTACCAGCAGCTGCACGCCTACATCAGGCGACAACTCATAGGGGTGTACGGCAAGGACATCTTTCCGCCCACTGGACACATCCCAGCTCACCTTCTAGGTGAGGGCCGACCTACTCAACACAACACAAAAGTTGCTTTGAACTCAAGCCTCCACCAACTATATTTATCTTTTGTCTGACGTTCGGAGAAGTATTTACACACCGAAGGAGGTGATATGTTTGCCAATAGAACTGACCGACAGTTAGATATACATACTGTTTGAGGGGTTTGTTTCGGTATAGATACGTATATCGTTTTCAGGCTTGAAACTGGTATAAGTATCTATACCGAAATGTCTCTATTGCACAATAAAGAAGTTGATCATCCATAAAGACTTGTCATTCACATTAAATAATAATTAACTTATAACCATTAGTTGTAATTATTTTATTATCTTTGACTACAATTAGTTTTAATTATCTTATTATCGCTGTACTGTTTCTCCTAAGGTAACATGTGGGCGCAGCAATGGAACAACATCTTTGATATCGTCGTTCCTTTCAAAAACAAGCCCATGGTCGACGTCACTGACAAACTGAAACAAGATGTAAGATGGGTTGATACAGCTTCAAACAGGAATCACCATGAGTGAACATTACTTTGCTTGATGTAAATCACTGCCTTATGTCTTTTGATGGAATACGTAGGTACCTTCTGGTTTCCAAACAACGAGACCTTTTGCAAATACAGGATGAGCTTTGCATCTTACACAAATACATATTATACTCTCAGAAACATCGTCATATATTCATAAAGGTAACAGTTTTTTGTTGTAACGTCTGTACCCCCTCTGCCGCCAATCCCCTGGATGGAATCAAAGCTTAGTCTATTTAGTATTGTTATTTTTAGTTTAGTTAAAATATATTATTTTCCCAGTTTTGCCAAATCCCGCGATATGCTGTGTTCACTATTTTGTGAAACCTTTACATCATTACATCAGTACACTGTGGAGAAGATGTTCAAGACGGCGGAGGGGTTCTACAAGTCCCTGGGGCTGGAGGCGATGCCGGACACTTTCTGGAAAAACTCTATGCTGAAGAAGCCCACTGATGGTCGCAAGGTCATCTGTCACGCCTCGGCTTGGGACTTCTATGACGCAAAGGATTACAGGTGTGTGTAGACTGATTACATGTGTCTGAATGTGTGTGTGTGTATGTGTGTGTTACATTATATCGCTGACGATTAACATGCAAAAGCTTAAGCATATTTCACTGACTGACTGACTGAGTTTAGTTTTACGCCTCTTTTTGCAATATTCCAGCAATATCACGGCGGGGGACACCAGAAATGGGCTTAACACATTGTGCCCATGTGGGGAATCGAACCCGGGTCTTCGGCGTGACGAGCCAACGCTTTAACCACTAGGCTACCCCACCGCCCTAAGCATATTTCAAGTGACACATGAACGCAAGGCAGTGGGGTAGCCTAGTGATTAAAGCGTTAGCTCGTCACGCTGATGGCCTGTGTTCGATTCACTAATGGGTACAGGGTGTGAAGCCTACTTCTGGTGTCACCCGCCGAGAGACTGATGGAACACTGGTAAACGCGGCGTAAAACCATACTGACTAACTACACATAAATGCTCAAAATGAATTAGCCATTTGTCTGTGTACGTGCACTTTTGTGCAATAAAGAGAGAACATCGTATATATGACGTGTTACGTGTTGATGCCAAAACTGAACTGCGGAGGTTAACCCTGAACCTCGGCAAAATCAACAAACTGACCGGTATATAACACAGCTGATAAACTTAAATGAGACACGTTTTGAAAACCGTAATTTAGTTTAAACAGGCAGAAATGTCGATGTTTTGCGATAGTTATCACGTCCGTGCTGGACAAATAGAATGACACAAAGCCAGTCGTTGTAGAAAGCCTTGAATCGACTTCCTGTCATGCCCATACAGCAATCCTCCCACAAAGAGTAACCACGTAAAGCCAAGTGTCAACATAACCAATCAAGGGAGGTGACTCTAATGCAAAGTCGACACCAAGATCATAATTATACGGGCGCCTCCGTCAACTGCCATATCTAATTACATGTATTAGAATTTTACTACAATATACACCCTATGGCAGATGAAAGTATGTAAAAAAACGTTTGAATGTGAGGAATGTTATACAACTGCTTTTCAGAATCAAAATGTGTACGGACATCAACATGGAGGACCTGATCACCATCCACCACGAGATGGGGCACATAGAGTACTTCCTGCTGTACAGACATCAGCCAGAGGTGTACAGGGATGGAGCTAACCCAGGTCAGTTGTCTCTCTGTCTACTGTCATCAGAGACCATGTGTTACATTTCTGTCCTGGATCAACAGCAATGGTTTGTACAATCTTCGTTCTTCATCACTAGTAACAGGGTGTAAAATATATATCCTTCATCACTAGTAACAGGGTGTAAAATCCCTGTCCTTCATCACCAGTAACGGGGTGCAAAACATCTATCCTTCATCACAAGTAACAGGGTTTAAAAGATCTGTCCTTCATCACCAGTAACAGGGTGTAAAATCTCTGTCCTTCATCACAAGTAACAGGGTGTAAAATCCCTGTCCTTCATCACCAGTAACAGGGTGTAAAATCCCTGTCCTTCATCACCAGTAACAGGGTGTAAAATCCCTGTCCTTCATCACCAGTAACAGGGTGTAACATCCTTGTCCTACATCACCAGTAATAGGGTATAAAATCTCTGTCCTTCATACCTAGTAACAGGGTGTAAAATATCTATCCTTCATCACTAGTAACAGGGTGTAAAATATCTGTCCTTCATCACCAGTAACAGGGTGTAAAATCCCTGTCCTTCATCACCAGTAACAGGGTGTAAAATCCTTGTCCTACATCACCAGTAACAGGGTATAAAATCCATGTCCTTCATCACCAGTAACAGGGTGTAAAATCCCTGTCCTTCATCACCAGTAACAGGGTGTAAAATCCCTGTCCTTCATCACCAGTAACAGGGTGTAAAATCCCTGTCCTTCATCACCGGTAACAGGGTGTTAAATCTCTGTCCTTATAATTAACAGTATGTAACAGAGGCGAAAATCATTTTAGTGACGGTGTGTCAGACCTTTGTATATTGTTAGACTGTTGTTCTCATTCCGTATGTGTGTATGTGATACCCATTTCTTGATGATCGTTTACATTATGAGTTCTCCGTTGATTTCATCCATTTGTAACCCAAATGCCACGAATACGCCCACTCACTCTCACTCACTCACCCACGGAATCAGTGAATCAATGTATTAATTCCTTTCTATCATTTGGTATGTTATTGCAGGTTTTCACGAGGCTATCGGTGATACCATGGCTCTGTCGGCGACTACCCCTGCCCACCTTCGCAAAATAGGTCTGCTGGAGGCGGGAGAGGACGATAATGGTGAGATGCTATACCTATAATGATAATCGTTCATGTGATAGACATGGTCAGACTGAAATGCGTCATTATAATAATGCGAGAAGAGTACAGACGCATTTTTCGCATTAATAAAATGCTCGCATTAATTTCATGATTTACAGTAATCGGACTGTCTATACCGTCTTCGTTCTACAGTCCCCAGTCGGGCCGGTGGGGTAGCCTTGTGGTTAAAGCGTTAGCTCGTCACGCCTAAGGCCCGTCTTCTATTCACTACAAGGGTACAATATGTGAGGTTCATTCCTGGTGTCCCCGGCCCAGCCGTGATACTGCTGGAACATCCCTAAAAGCGGCGTAAATCCCGACTCACTCACTCACTCACTAACAGTCTTCAGTCAGATAACACACTGCCAGCTTCATGTCAGACTGGTTCGCGTCGATAGCTTTTGATATGACTGTTAAACCTTATATTTCAGAAACCGACATTAATTTCCTGATGAAAATGGCCTTGGAGAAGATCGCGTTTCTTCCGTTCGGCTATCTGATTGACCAGTGGCGATGGAATGTGTTTAGCGGGGACACGCCTCCCAGTAGATACAACCGTGACTGGTGGGATCTCAGGTGGGATTCTCAAGCGTTACTACTGGGAAGAAGAGAATGTGCGATCCTTTGACAATGTTGAAAATGTAACGTCGAAAATCTGCGTCACAGTTACATGTATTGTCGATAATTACTGGATGGGAAGGTGTGGCCTACATATTGATAAGGGTCTTTTAATACATCAATACATCATAAGTCGATTTTTTATCTTCTAATAACCAAAGGCCCTCTTTCATCAGCATATATTTAATGTTTTTGAACTTGTCAATATATGTATGAAAAAATCAGTATATTTAAATCTGGACACTTTGTAGTCACAAAAGATTACTTGCGCGATGTCGTTTCATAATGCTGTATCACAAAGTTTAAAATATATGTACAATCAGACCCTGAATTCATCTTCAATACAGTCGCCCAAATTCACATTTTTCAGTACTTTATATCTGTTTTAGATACCGAGCAATACCTCAATGCTATTAATCTCAGAAAACTCATTACCCTGATCTAGAAGTTCTTCACATGACCTTAGGATCGAGAAGGGTAGATAGTATAATATTCCATTTTGTAACATTAAATGTATTTGAAGATGAGTTCCACTTTTTGTTTGTACTTACTTCACTGATTTAAGGACAAAATACCTACCGCAATATTACATACATGTCAATTTAATTTGTTAATGAACACTAATAATTCGCAAGTAATATTCGCAAACTTGGTATGTACATCACCATGATTTTGTATATAGTAAATAGCCCATCGCAAACACTGTGATTGTATGGCATTATTGGTATCTGACTTTCTACCATGGGCCTGTGGCCTCTTCAGTACTGGAATAAACGAGATTTGACACATTGTATCAATTACAGATGCAAGTACCAGGGCATCGCTCCGCCCCTTCCACGTACCGAGTACGACTTTGATCCGGGGGCAAAGTTCCACGTATCAAACAATGTGCCATATATAAGGTAAGGGACAGCAGGGTTGCCTTGTCCAGTCAGCCAGTGTGTGTGTCAAACACTTGTCGAGAGACTATTCCTGAAAATAAAAGTGCCAAAAACCCTTTCCATAATAATAGAAATATGTTTTATGTGGAGAAACACAAGTTGCGTGTAGTGTAGGTGGGTAGTTAAGTAGTGTGGCGATGTGTGTGGAGTTATTTTGTTGTTGGATGTATAGATATGTAGATACGTGGGTGTAAGATACTAGATAACTGACAACATCATAACGTAGATGCATCGTGCATCAGGTCAACTAATAGAATAAGGTAAGTAAATAACTGATAAATAGATGGATAACAGAATAAATATAACAGCAAATATAAATCATTAAATCAAATTAATCCATTAAATAAATCTAGATTAATCAACCGATCAGTCAATCGAACGATCAATAAATCAATGAATGTATTTACAGTTAGCTGTTCGTCATACAAACGTAAGTATGTGAGGTGAGTTTAAAGCCGCTGTGAAAGTATTTATATTATACCAGTTATGTTTACAAGTTGACGGACACTTTAACATACTCTCTGCCAATTTTGGTTTAAACCCACGACCAGCGGTTACTACGCTAGTGCCTCTCTGATATGATCTGTTGAAGTGCAGCCTTCAACAACGAAGAACTGAAAAAAAATATTTTTCTGTTGTTCAGATACTTCGTGAGTTTCGTCATCCAGTTCCAGTTCCACCAGGCGCTGTGCCAGGCAGCCAACCACACGGGCCCGCTACACAAGTGCGACATCTACAATTCCACGGCCGCTGGTACAAAGCTCAGGTAGCCTTAGTTGACTTATAATTGAATTAGGAGAAGATTGTTGTATAGTGCTGGAAGTATCAGCATGAACTAAAGCCAGCCACTTACAGCTATTTACTATAATGTCGCTTCTCTTTCTTCTTGTTCTGCCGTACATTTGTCCGTGCAACGTTTTTCGGATTTTCATCATAGTTCTAACTGTAAAACTTTTTAATCTGTGGGTGTCATGAGACGCTGAAATAGCATACTCCCCAATTTCTAGTTTGAAATTACGTTCTGGTGACGTACAGCAATGTGACTGATAGCGATGGATTATGTCGTCCAGTACTCGTATCCACAGGGGATATCGCTTCGGTGGGATCAAGGGACATCCCCCTGGAGATATGACCACAATACAATGACATCACATTTCAGACCACTGTGACGCAATGTGGTACAATGACATCACAAATCACTCTGCCAATGAAACTGGCTAGCTGATATGTTGACAATAAGACTGACTATTACTGATTACAGACTGAAGTAGTAAGAAGAATGATTGTTGCTCATCAATGAAAGTTTTAAATTCATCGGCAAAACTCGGAGTTTTAAACTTTCAGCAACCCATGCTTATATTTTTGATATCAAAAGAACACGTATTTATCTATATTACATTCACAATTGCTTGACATATATAGCGTATCTAAACTCTAAACACTGCGCCCATCAGATGGTTTCTGTCAGTTATTTACCAGGAATTGTCCGGTTCAATACTTATCGTTCATATTCCAGGAATGCTTTAAGTCTTGGGTCGTCTACACCATGGCCGGACGTTATGACCCAATTGACAGGCCAAGACAAGATGAATGTGAGCGCACTGAAGGAGTATTTTAAGCCGCTCTCTGATTGGCTAAAAGTTCAGAATGGCAATGATAACGTTAGTTGGACTGAACACTGCCCTGTGAATGAAGGCCTGGATGTGGAGGCGTGGCTGAAGACGTACAACGACCACGTGCAGGTGGTGCAGCACGAGGTCGCCCTGGCTGACTGGACATACAACACAAACCTCACAGACTACAACCAGGACCGGAGGGTCAGTAGACACAAACTGAAGCCTGCTGTTGCTACACTAGTTTGCAACGGGGCTTCTGGATATAAAAGCATCCACGTATCCCATGCTTCTCTTAGAAACCTAATAAGGGGCTGGAGTCAAATTAAAAAGTCATTGTCATTGATAAGCAATACATAACTAGGTCTTCGAACCCCATCCCATAGAAATATTTGATATTTGCTGATTCCAGAGGGCGGAATAAAGCCCATGAATTTATCAGCCTGACGCCAGGTGTTCGCCAAAGTTAACCACGTTCTACCCGCTGAGGTATGCCAGAAAACTATGGACGTATTGAATCCTGTTTCGAAGTTGGCCAGGTACTCTTTGTCTTGATGTTCACTCTTTCTGAGCAGTTCGACAGTATCGGGAGGCAGGAATTCACCATCTGCTTGTCGAACAGGGCCGCGATCCTTCAACGTTCACTCATAGGTTTTGGTAAGGCGGCCGACGAATCGATGTTGCAGGTGGAGGCAGGTGAAGGGCTCCCAGTTCACCAAGGAGGCGGCCGGAATCGCCAACACATACAACCTCTCCAGCATACACAACACTACCATAGCCAGGCAACTCAGCATGATCAGAGACATCGGAACAGACGCACTCAAAGACGAGAAGAAGATTAAAAAGGTACTCTTCTGACAGTCTTGGGACAAGGAGAAAGTATGCATGCTTTAATATAACAGATTGTTTGAAATGTCCCAAATGCATTAGCGCGTTGTGTACACTAAGAAATCAATTTTGACCTGTAATAACTCATTTAATTTGCCTTTCTCCATGAATGAATGTTATGCGGATCTCCTCAAACGCAGGTGACTCGGAGAGTAGGTGGCCACAGCGTTTGAAATTAACGTCGGTCCAATGGCCCGAAGCCGACTGAAAACCACTCGGACCCAAAGCTTTGTTTTCTGCAGGTCCTTATGGCCAACAACTTTTCATCCCCAATAACTATAAGTATTATTTCCATATTAAAATATAGGGTCTACACATTCTGATGAGGACCCACAACATTTTATGGTTCTTGGTCCTTAGAGCCTGCAGCTTTTCAGGGTTAAGGGCAAACATTGGTTGGCCGTGAGGCTGTACTACAAGACACCTATATAAACAAGATTTTCCATACTTTCAAAAACGGGGTCTAGTCAAGTTTACAGACGAGAAAGTACATCAAGTGCATCTCGATTACTTCACGGATGTGTATACTCTGCATTACACCAGCTACATACATAGTTTAACCAACGATTCAAGCCATGCGGTAGTTCCAGGTACATCAGCGAGTGTTCCTTCAAATGGACACTCAAATCACCTGGCACAAACGCCAAAATGTCCCATGCAAGTGTGCCACAGATCATCTGTTCAACACATTGCTTCAATAGTGCGTTGTCTACACTGAATTGGGCACATTTGTCTTTCCTGATTGATGTTCGGTAAAAATTCACTACAAGATGTAGTCACAACAACACCGTGTATCGGCCTTTGGTGAACGCTTCGCCGGCCTGTAAATACTCGAATGTAGACCAGACGATCCAGTGACTGACATAACATCATCGATCTATGCAACCGGGATACGATGAGATGCATCAGCCCAGTTAAAGACAATGACCACTCGATCGAACAATTAACATAGACCATTGCTTGGAGGCCGAATGCATTCACATTTGATTGAGGAGAGAAGTAGATACACATCCATAACGTATTGACGATGACTTTCCCAGTTGCAGCGTTACATATCGCCATTCTCTGTGTTGCAGCTGAGTGAAGTCCAGGCTGACATGGAGGGTATATTCAGCAAGGGCAAGGTGTGCCTCAACAAGACTCGACCAGATGACTGTCTCGATCTGGAACCCGGTGAGCTCTTTCAAAGGGATATCTTTCCCATTAGATCAGCGAAAGTATAACCACATCTAGGTATCCTATTAACAGACTTGGATCTGTTGACGAATGTTTAGGTATCAGTTTTTGTTTGTCAGGAATCGCCCGGAAGTTTGCAAACTCACGTGACTATTACGAGTTGCAAGCCATCTGGAAGCAGTGGCGTGACGTCACAGGCAAGAAGATGAAAACGCTGTACACCCAGCTGGTGGATCTCAGCAACGAGGGCGTCCGAGAGCTTGGTAAATACTTCTGTATTAGTTATAGACTCCTTTCACTACAAGGAAATTTGAGGCCAGGAGCTGATACCAACCTTACTTCCACACTGCCTTGTTAGTATAAATGGATTTTAGGTCCCTCTGAGTATCAATCGTTTGTTGATTTCTTTAGTTATCCTAACACGATGCACCCATGTTATATTTTGGAAATCAATTGCTCGTTCAACTGATTACGATATTAGCTAACTATTCAATTTATGAAAGAAACATAGCTATATAAAATAATATCATATAGCATCCCATGTAAACACTTTTGAGAGTCAGCTCCATTAAATATATTTCTTTTAATTATAACAGTTGTCACTTATTTGGAAAAGGAGTAACAGTTCTTTAGTGATTGTCGTGATGATTTTCCAGCTCTAGGCGTGTTTTCAACCTCCCCGTGATATAACTAGAACAGTGTTCATTGCGGTCATTCATTCCGTATTTGCCAGGCTATAATGACACAGGGGAGTACTGGCGGTCGTCGTACGAGACCCCCACCTTCCAGCAGGACCTGGAGAAGCTCCTCGACCAGCTCAAACCGCTGTACCAGGGACTACACACATACGTCAGGAGGGAACTGAAGAAGATTTACGGCAAAGACAAATTCCCTGTCACAGGACACATACCGGCCCATCTATTAGGTAGGTTAGGGCATTTTTATGAGGGTGATTTGTCACTGAGACATTGGTTGAAGAATGGGTCGCGCAGCTAGCTTATCTGATTGTAATGGAAAATATTGCAAAATTCATCAAGTATCATTCATCTATTCTGGACAAAATAAGTTAGGGATATTGGTATTTTTATGATTGATATGTTATCAGTGTATCAATGAATAAATAGATCATTATTAATATTTTCAAAATTTACATATATCCCTAACTATTTTTGTCCAGTATATGTATCGAGGCTTCTTGAGTAAGTATCAACCGGATGATAAAATACTGGTGTCGTGGCAAACATATTATTGAAACTTATTAAAAGTTTTCTTATATCCTTTGTGTATTGCTCGATATCCTTATTTAGTTGATTGTATGTCAAAAAGATGAATCCTTTAGCATGTGACATTACCAGTATCATTCAGTTTGACATATGCATTACATGTATATGAATAAGCGTGCACAAGCGGCAGAAGTCTACATGACCAATACGTTTTCAGGCACTAGATCTACAGGTGTTTATATTACAGGTAACATCTGGGCCCAGGAGTGGGAGGATCTGTTCGACCTGCTGCAGCCCTTCAAACACAAGCAGAGTGTAGACATCACTCCTACCCTCAAGGCCAAGGTGAGGCGAGGATCTTGTAGGACTTAGTTTCACATTCAGAGTCACATCTTGTTGTATACTCAGTAAATGCCAGTTGATTGACGCTCGAATCCTATTCTGCCCAGCACCCCTATGCGTTTAGCGACTGACTGAATAGGTTGAGGTAGCTACAATGCAACTGGAGTGATTGTGTGTCCAACCTTACAACCACAGCTGTGTCTGGCTAGTACTCAGTTTTATGGACACATCAGTGAGTTCCGGTAACAAGTACTCTTCAAAGTGAAGATATTGAAGTTTCTTTACATTTTCACCATTTTGTATGTATTTGTAAAATAATTCTTGAGGACATGGTGCTACGATTGGCTCAGTCTTTGTGAGTTCCGCCTTTACGCATGAAAAGAAACCCATGGTCGTGGACTCATGTTCCAGATTCGTCCTGATTATTAGTTTGTCACCACCATACACCTGCTCCTCCTGAGTCAGGCTTGTCGTAAGAGGTGACTAAGGGGCTCGGGTGGTCAGACTCGCTGACTTGGTTGGCACATATCATAGTATCCTAATTGCGTAGATCGATATTCATGCTGTTGATCACTGGATTGTCTGGTCCAGACTCTATTAGTTACAGCCCGCCACCATGTAGCTTGAATATTGCTGAGTGCGGCGTTAAACAACAAACAACAACAAACAACCAGAGTTACAACTATGATTGTATAAACAACGGCCTTAAAACCAAACTCACCTTACAAATCACAATAAAATGTTCTCCAATCCAGAACTTCAAGACCATAGACATGTTCAAAACTGCTGAGGATTTCTACAAGTCTATTGGCCTCACCCCGATGCCGCAGACGTTCTGGGACAATTCCATGCTGGAGAAGCCGAAGGATGGGAGGGACGTGGTGTGCTACGCCTCCGCCTGGGACATGAGCAACACCAAGGACTTTAGGTGCTGCCTTGGTTTCCTATACAGAATCTGCATTTTATGAATAGATTTATGGATTTTGCAGGCTCGGTTGTAATTGGTTTGTAGAATCTGTGGTACAAAGATGAACAATTTTTACCAAGGTGAAGTATGTGTTCTAACATCGAGTTATTGCGAATGATTACTTTGATATGTTTGCAGTTTTTTGTCGTAAGAAGAGTATATGTTTAAAACGTTTTGTTATTTCACATTTGAGAGATAGATATAAACGGCGGATCTCTGAATCAAGTTACAGAGAAATATGGCCTCACATGAGTCAATTGCATTTTGTGCAGTTAATTGGGATACTGCTCTAAATGTTTGAGAGTTTAACGAGTGTAGTATCTGTACACTAGAATCAAAATGTGCACTGACATCACCATGGAGGACCTGATCACCATCCACCACGAGATGGGGCACATCGAGTACTATCTCCAGTATAGAGGCCAGCCGTGGATCTTCAGAGGGGGAGCCAATCATGGTAGAAACTTTCAGATTTCGTTCTTTAAATATCGTTGGTTAATTCTAAACGTAAAGTTTATTTGTGTTGTTTTGTGTATCAGAGAACAAATGTTAAATGTATTGACTAGGGGTGAAAACAAACGAGTTTCGCTTATAATGGCAGGATTCCACGAGGCTATCGGGGACACAATGGCTTTGTCTGCATCCACACCGAAGCACCTGAGACGAGTTGACCTGTTGGCTCCTGGACCTGAGGACGACGGTGAGTCCATGATGCATATAAGGTGGAGAAACACCTTCTAGCGTACACAGTACAGTGGCTATGCAGCTACACCCTGGAGATGCAAGATAACCCAAAACAAATTACGTTTGTCAGGCGATTGAATGAACTGGGTGGTTCTGAGAATTGGTAGACTGCATGACATCGAACCCAGACAATGTTCGTACCGCCAATAACTGGTTTTGTCTGGTCCAAACTGGATTATTTAGTGGCTGCAGTGATATAATAGGACTATCGATGAGTACGGTGTTAAAGAACAAAATATATGAATCTAAGCTGGACACAAGGCGATCTCCTGTAGCTTTGCGTCTGTGGCATCTCTACGGGTTAACATTGTTCCAGGGAATCGACAGTGTGACAAGCCACCAGTCCAACCACTCTGCAACCTGACCGCGTAATATTGACTGACGTACAGGATTTTATGGGCGCTGATATTGTTACAGAGAATATCTGATCTATGTAGATTAATTGATTGTTGTTTAACGCCGCACCAAGCAATGTTCCAGCTATTTTGCGTCGGTCTGTAAATAATCGAATCTGGACCAGATCAATAGCGTCAGCATCGATCTACGCAATTGGGATACGATGGCATGTGTCAACCAGGTCAGCGAGCCTGACCACCCGATCCCGTTAGTCGCCTCTAACATGGGTTACAGAAGATCAATTCTAACCCGGATCTTCATGGGTATGATCTATGTATAAGGGCATGAACTGTTCCGAGATCGGGGTTAGAGGTAACACATGATCATCCTACTGTAAACAATGAAACATCCTATTGTAAACAACTTGTAAACATTATATTGTTTTGCAGAGAGTGACTTAAACTTCTTGATGAAGACTGCCCTCGCCTTGTTCGGCTAGATTGAAATGGCGCCTGTGTTTAGCCGCCACCTGCCGTGGTCGGACTTGAGGTGAATACTGCTGACGTTGACCAATGGCGGTTTTAGCAATATTCCAGTATCACGGCGGGGATCTTCAGTGGGGATTCGACGCCACCGTGACAGAACGCTTTAACCTCTAGGCTACAACAAAGACTGACTGACTGACTGAGTTCGGTTTTACTTGCAATATTCCAGAATATCACGGCGGGGGATACCATACTTCACACTGACGTTGAAGAACGAGCCAACGCTTTAACACTAACACCACCGCCCCGCTGACGTTGAAGAAACACCATAAACCTTATATTTGTATAAGTCCAAGGCCTGATCATGCAATGTGTTTCATTATCACCTGATAAACCGATACGTTTCAGATGCAAGTACCAGGGGATAGCTCCACCCGTCGCCCGCTCGGAGGAGGACTTTGACCCCGGAGCCAAGTACCATGTTGCTGCAAATGTACCATACATAAGGTACAGTCACGTATCATACATAGTCATGTACCATATATCAGGTACTGTAATGTATCATGCAGAAATGTATCATGCGTTGGGTATACTGATGTACATCAGGTAAAATGAGTGAGTGAGTTTTGTTTTACGCCACACTCAGCAATTTTCCAGCTACATGGCGACAGTCTGTATATAATCGTGTCTGGTCCAGACAATCCAGTGATCAACAGCATGGGCATCGATCTACGCAATTGGAATACGATGACATGTGTCAATCAAGTCAGCGAGCCTGACCACGCGATCCTTTTTGTCGCCTCATACGACAAGCGCGGGTTACTGAAGATCAATTCTAACCCGAATCTTCACGGGTTACATCAGGTAGAAGGATGTATACACATGACTTTAATATTTCATACATCAGGTATACTCATGTACCGTACATCAATTATTATCACAAAGGTTACATAGGATGTCGTTATATTCCAGGTACTTCGTGAGTTTCGTCATCCAGTTCCAGTTCCACTTTAACATACGCTGGTGCACGGCCGCCAAACAGTCAGGACCGCTACATAGATGTGACATCTACCAGTCTAAAGACGCCGGGGACAAACTCAGGTGAAGGCACCATCTAACATATGCGTACATGCGTGCATATGTGTGTGTGAAAAAGTCCGTGTTGAGAGAGTGTGTTTTTGTGTGTTAATGAGAGAGAGAAAGGCAGTAAGACAGCACAAGTTAGACATTGTTGTATCTTATCAGATCCATGCTGTCAATTGGTTCTTCCAATCACTGTTGTATTTTATCAGATCCATGCTGTCAATGGGTTCTTCCAATCACTGTTGTATCTTATCAGATCCATGCTGTCAATGGGTTCTTCCAATCACTGTTGTATTTTATCAGATCCATGCTGTCAATGGGTTCTTCCAATCACTGTTGTATCTTATCAGATCCATGCTGTCAATGGGTTCTTCCAATCACTGTTGTATTTTATCAGATCCATTCTGTCAATGGGTTCTTCCAATCACTGTTGTATCTTATCAGATCCATGCTGTCAATAGGTTCTTCCAATCACTGGTTGTATCTTATCAGATCCATGCACAATGTTGTATTTTATCAGATCCATGCTGTCAATGGGTTCTTCCAATCACTGTTGTATCTTATCAGATCCATGCTGTCAATGGGTTCTTCCAATCACTGTTGTATTTTATCAGATCCATTCTGTCAATGGGTTCTTCCAATCACTGTTGTATTTTATCAGATCCATGCTGTCAATTGGTTCTTCCAATCACTGTTGTATTTTATCAGATCCATGCTGTCAATGGGTTCTTCCAATCACTGTTGTATTTTATCAGATCCATGCTGTCAATTGGTTCTTCCAATCACTGTTGTATTTTATCAGATCCATGCTCTCAATGGGGTCATCCAAACCCTGGCAAGAAGCGATGCAGGTGATGACGGGACAGCGGAAGATGGACGCTAGTGCCCTCATGGAGTACTTCCAGCCTCTCACAACCTGGCTGGAAGAGCAGAACGCCCTGTCGGCGACTGAGGACGACCCGGGCTGGACTGAGATATGTCCAGATCCTTCCGGCAAGATCACAGATGAGGAGTCTGCGAGACAGTTGATGCAGGAGTTCGACAAGGAGGCTATGGAGGTGTATTATAGGAGCTCAGAGGCCAGCTGGACTTACGACACAAACATCACTGACTACAACAGCCAGTTAGTGGTATGGTACACACATCACTTAATTATAGATGCAGTTCTAGATAGAACATCACTGACTAAAACAGCCAGTGAGTGGTATGGTACTCACATCACTTAATTATAGAGGCAGTTCTAGATAGAACATCACTGACTACAACAGCCAGTTAGTGGTACGGTACACACATCACTTAATTATACATATGTATTAGTCCCGTATGTATCTACATCTCTGTCATTGTATGTACATCTCTGTCAGTTCCGATTGTATGTACATCTCTGTCAGTTCCGATTGTATGTACAGTCTTCTTGTAAGTACATCTCTGTCAGTTCCGATTGTATGTACATCTCTGTCAGTTCCGATTGTATGTACATCTCTGTCAGTTCCGACTGTATGTACATCTCTGTCAGTTCTGACTGTATGTGCATCTCTGTCAGTTCCGATTGTATGTATATCTATAAGTTGGGATTGTATGTACAATTCGGACCGTTTGGACATCTTTTCAGTTCCGACTATTAGAACCGTTATGATCTTCAATAATCCATGCTTCTGGTATCTGGTGGCCAGACTGTCATGCATGACATCGCATTTCAACTGTGCAAATCGATGGTGTGATGCCTATCACTGGATTGTCTGGTTCAGACTTATTTTACACTGACCACCGTCATACAGCTTGAGAATTGGCGTTACATTCTCTATCAGTTCTAGTTGTATATGCCAGGCTGTGTCCGACGTTGTGTGTCTGACTGCAGGTGAACGAGAGCCTGAAGGGGACAGAGTTCTCCAAGAAGATAACGAGGGGGGTGAAGATGTACGACTGGGAACACTTCCAGGACGAGGCGCTGAGGAGAGAGTTCAACCTGAGCTCTGTGAGCGGCACCAGCGCGCTGTCCGACCCAGAGAAGATCAAGAGGGTTAGTGCATTCTCACTCGTATAGCGTATAGTTCACTCGGGCGTTATAACTCTTTATTAAACATAAATAACCAACTGTTCGCAAAACCTTTTTCTTAAAGCTACAACCACGGCAGTATCGGTCCCAAGTTAACTATGTTTGACGTAAACGCCTAAATACTTCTACCGTGTAGTGATTCTCAGTCTTGCAGGTTTCGTGTGGTCGTGCTGCGATTGCGTGCATCGTTGCTCATGCTGTCACCCTCTGGTTTCCTTGCCCACACGTGAGCAACTTGAATGTGGCTGGCCGTTTCGTTTACTATTTTCACCCATTCCTTCAGTTAGGCATACGTCAAGGGGGTAACTGTTCTATGTTTAAGCTGAGCGAGGTCGAGGCTCAGATGGAGGGACTGTACAGCAGGGCCCAGGTGAAGGTCAAGGGCGTGATGTCACACCTTGAGCCAGGTACGTTCACTGGGCTAACACTGCGAAACATTTTGCTATGTATATACGTTGAGAGTACATGTTAAGCCCTACTAAGTCATAGTTCGTGATTTCCGCGGCTTTTTGTCATATTTTCCCACACAGTAGAACATTAGGAAATACAGCATAGAGGAACATTCATCAGTTATACAGCATAGAAGATCTGTACCATTTCACCCTTATATGTTCATCCTTAAAGAACATTCGAAAGCAATACATACCAAATAAATATTTAATTTGACCTTCAGTACAACAATATATTCTCATTATGGCAACCAAATACTATCAAGATTTATAATATGTTATGTTATATTTCAAATATGCCTTCAAGAGCAGAAACGGATTGAAATTAAATGTGAATCGTTTGATCCTATCCGGTACACTACATGCATAGGGGCCTATGACCTTTCATACAATAAACGTTTGAATTTGAATACACGATCCAGAAATTGGTATTTAGTAGGGGTGGGTATTGCAGAGAATTTTCACATTGCGATATATTGCGATGCGAAAGCTTATATTGCGATATGTATTGCAATATATTGCAAGAAGGGTTTTAACAATAAACTACTAATGATCAAGTGAACGTTTTATTTATAAATCAAAAATACAACAAAATCACTATGCTTCATTAAGCTTTAATAAAAACTTTAATCATGACAAAATAAGAATATAGATAATATTTAAATGTAATCTTCACCACGATCATTCCCACCACCATTACCACAATTGCCACAATCATCAAGATTTCCGAGTGTTACGAGGTTTTCCGAATACAAGTCAAAATACCGGTTTTCTATCAGCGTATCGCAATACGTATCGTTTTCATGTCTGAACCGGTTAATACCGGTAAACCGGTTATATTGCGCAGCCCTAGTATTTAGACATTCTAAGGTTATGATAATAATACACATACCTTCCCCGACATGTTAGGTTCAAGCACCCTTGGATGTTAACACAATGGTTACACATGACATGCCTATAAAGGACCATAGTATCAACTGGTCCAGGTACCCTTGGATGTTAACACCATGGTTACACATGACATGCCTGTAAAGGACCATAGTATCAACTAGGTCCAGGCACCCTTGGATGTTAACACCATGGTTACACATTACATGTCTATAAAGGACCATAGTATCAACTAGGTCCAGGTACCCTTGGATGTTAACACCATGGTTACACATTACATGTCTATAAAGGACCATAGTATCAACTAGGTCCAGGTACCCTTGGATGTTAACACCATGGTTACACATGAAATGCCTATAAAGGACCATAGTATCAACTAGGTCCAGGCACCTTTTGATGTTAACACCATGGTTACACATGACATGCCTATAAAGGACCATAGTATCAACTAGGTCCAGGTACCCTTGGATGTTAACACCATTGTTACACATCACATGCCTATAAAGGACCATAGTATCAACTAGGTCCAGGTACCCTTGGATGTTAACACCATTGTTACACATTACATGCCTATAAAGGACCATAGTATCAACAGCACTTACCTACAGAAAGTTGTAAAACCAAGATTGTATCATTATGGCTGTTTCTGTACGTCAGAAATAACCCAGATATTTGCCAAGTCGCGAGATTACAACTTCCTGACCGACGTGTGGAAGGGATGGAGAGATGCGACGGGTCCCAAGATCAAGCCTCTCTACGAAGAGTTCGTCCAACTAAGCAACGAGGGAGTCCGGGCTGACGGTAACTCTCTATGTGTCTTAAACTAAACCTTAACATGATGCGACGAAATATTGCAACTTATAGTCTTTCTAATTATGTTATTATACAGCGTTATTTTCACACAAAATTGTCGTAGTGGTGAAGTAGTCTGTAGCAGATGATGAAGTAGGAGTGTGCAGGCAGTTAAATTTTCTGAATATAAAACTCTTACAATATTAAGAACGTGTTTCTGAATCTAAGATTGGTTACAGAATATACCGCGTTTTCTCAGTATAAACGGGGAATGCAGACCTAACCTGCCCAGTGCGTTTGTCTTATGAGCAATGGTTGAATGTGCATTATTGGTGCCAGGTTTCAGCGACACGGGACAGTACTGGCGGTCCGGGTATGAGACTCCGGGCTTTGAGGACGACATGGAGGCTCTCCTGGAACAGCTGAAGCCTCTCTACCAGCAGCTCCACGCCTATGTCAGGACGAAACTCATCGACACCTACGGCGAGGAGAAGTTCCCGAACAGTGGCCACATCCCAGCACATCTCTTTGGTATGTTTGAAAGTCTGCAGGTTCTACATACAGTCTACAAACTGTATGTTGATTTTACATCTTACTGCGCGCTCTCGCTCAAGCATTTGAACACAATACAATTTTGAGCTCGACGTTTGACCCCATTTTACCACACGCTTTTATGTTTCACAAGGCAACATGTGGGCTCAGCAATGGAATAACATTTACGATATCCTCCAGCCCTTCAAGGGAAAGGCTGCTATAGATGTCTCACCAGAAATGAAAGCTCAGGTACGATCTCGACAATTGCCGCGATGACAAAATGTGTTTCACATACCTTGACGTAACTGTAATGTTGTGCTTGAAGATACGACGTAGGCACAAATGATCGCTAGACGCAATACTACATCCTCTCGTGTCACGAACGTATCACATATATATTACACATATTTCCAGTCGGTACAAATGATCCGTAATTCAGACTTGCCAGCAGTTTTTTGTATATTACCCTTAATATGTATCGGAAAAAAGAGTGGGTTCCCGACCCCGAGAGGAAAAGCTCAGTTTCAGTAAGTTTTAATGAACGTCGTCACATGAAAAACATACTTGACATCATCAAACAGTTCGGTCTCATACCATTTGAAACATACTCATCGCCATGTGTTGTGTACGTTCCCAGAACTTCACCGTGCTGCAGATGTTCGAAACAGCTGAAAGCTTCTACAAGTCGCTTGGCCTTTTCTCAATGCCCCAGACATTTTGGAACAAGTCCATGATGAGCAGGCCGCAAGATGGCCGCAGCGTTGTCTGCCATGCTTCAGCCTGGGACTTCCTCAACAAGAAAGACTTCAGGTAGTGGCATCGATTGGGTATCAATGTATATCTGGTCTGACAGCCTAATGTGTGAGCTGTGTCGACTGGATATCAATGGACATCTGGTCTGACAGCCTAATGTGTGAGCTGTGTCGACTGGGTATCAATGGACATCTGGTCTGACAGCCTAATGTGTGAGCTGTGTCGACTGGGTATCAATGGACATCTGGTATGACAGCCTAATGTGTGAGCTGTGTCGACTGTGTACCAATGTACATCTGGTCTGACAGCCTAATGTGTGAGTTGTGTCGACTGTGTATCAATGTATATCTGGTCTGACAGCCTAATGTGTGAGCTGTGTCGACTGGGTATCAATGGACATCTGGTCTGACAGCCTAATGTGTGAGCTGTGTCGACTGGGTATCAATAGACATCTCGTCTGACAGCCTAATGTGTGAGCTGTGTCGACTGTGTATCAATGTATGTCTGGTCTGACAGCCTAATGTGAGCTGAGCTGGGTATCAATGTCGATCTGGTCTGACAGCCTCAATGGGTATCAATCATCTGGTCTGACAGCCTAATGGGTGAGCTTTGTCGACTGGGTATCAATGACATATCGTGGTCTGACAGTGTCGACTAATGTATGTCTGACAGCCTAATGTGTCGTGTCGACTGGGTATCAATGTATATCTGGTCTGACAGCCTAATGTGTGAGCTGTGTCGACTGGGTATCAATGGACATCTGGTCTGACAGCCTAATGTGTGAGCTGTGTCGACTGGATATCAATGAGACATCTGGTATGACAGCCTAATGTGTGAGCTGTGTCGACTGGGTATCAATGGACATCTGGTCTGCGAGCCTGATTTGTGAACAGTGTCCATGAGTCATATGGACATTTGACCCGAGGGAGCGGGAACGATCGGTAAATTGTTATATAATACAATGTGGTTGCGTTTCAACCCTTACAACTAAAACTCACTTGATTAGACTTCTGAAAAATCAACTCTCAAGATAACAATTACTTGGTATAATATAGCTCACCAGATGCTTTTGTTGTGCTGGTTTCAGAATCAAGATGTGTACAGATATCAACATGGAAGACCTGATCACCATCCACCACGAGATGGGGCACATCCAGTACTATCTCCAGTACAAGAACCAGCCTATTGCCTTCAAAGGGGGAGCTAACCCAGGTATTATTCCTCCTGATCTCCTGTCAGACCGTCAACGCGTTTGTTGCCCTAGGTAGCCCCCACTTTGATATTGTGGAATGTTGATAAAGTGATATACACCCACCTCACTCTGTCACTGTCTCTTCATGCCTGCCATTTTGATGATATATTTTGCTTAGGTTTTTCTTTCAACCAATATTTTCTGGAAAGGTTATATTTTAGATTCCATTCTTAAATACTATTTGTCCACTTCTTTGATGAGTGAATTAGTTATGCTTTACGCCGCTTTTAGCAATATTCCAGCAATACCACGGCGGGCGACACCAGAAATGGGCTTAATACATTATGCCAATATGGGGAATCGAACCCGGGTCTTCGGCGGGACGAGCGAACGTTCTAACCACTAGGCTACCCCACCGCCCCTCTTTGATGATGACGATGATGATGATGATGATGATGATGATGATGAAGGAAGGTATAAATCCATATGTGCTGTGCCTCTGACCTAACTGGATGATGTGTTGCAGGTTTCCACGAGGCAATCGGTGACACCATGGCTCTGTCTGTGTCCACACCTAAACACCTCCGCAAGATAGGCTTGCTGAACAATCTGAAAGACGACAATGGTTAGGGATAAGTCCTTATGGTATATGTACAAGTAATTATATAAAGTGGTTAGGGATAAGTCCTTATGGTATATGTACAAGTAATAATATAAAATGGTTAGGGATAAGTCCTTATGGTATATGTACAAGTAATAATATAAAGTGGTTAGGGATAAGTCCTTATGGTATATGTACAAGTGATAATATAAAGTGGTTAGGGATAAGTCCTTATGGTATATGTACAAGTAATAATATAAAGTGGTTAGGATAAGTCCTTATGGTATATGTACAAGTAATAATATAAAGTGGTTAGGGATAAGTCCTTATGGTATATGTACAAGTAATAATATAAAATGGTTAGGGATAAGTCCTTATGGTATATGTACAAGTAATAATATAAAGTGGTTAGGGATAAGTCCTTATGGTATATGTACAAGTGATAATATAAAGTGGTTAGGGATAAGTCCTTATGGTATATGTACAAGTAATAATATAAAGTGGTTAGGGATAAGTCCTTATGGTATAGGTACAAGTAATAATATAAAGTGGTTAGGGATAAGTCCTTATGGTATATGTACAAGTAATAATATAAAGTGGTTAGGGATAAGTCCTTATGGTATATGTACAATACCTTATGGTATATGTACAAGTAATAATATAAAATGGTTAGGAAAAGTCCTTATGGTATATGTACAAGTAATAATATAAAATGGTTAGGGATAAGTCCTTATGGTATATGTACAAGTAATAATATAAAGTGGTTAGGGATAAGTCCTTATGGTATATGTACAAGTAATAATATAAAATAAAGCGACTAGGAAAGGATGTTAGACTTGCAAGGGTCAATTATTTTTAAAATCCCATTTAAATGTTTTATTTTACGTTGATCGTACAACCATTGAGCAAATGTTATATAACGCTTCTGAAATCTTTGTTGAAAGTGCAGGTTCGATTGTACCTCAAATGGTTGAAAAGTAGATACCACGGGCTGGAGATGCATGATTATTGCTAAAAAATGAAAACTGACTCTTGGAAAGTTGAAGTCATTCCTATTGTCATACAAAGTGGTTGAAAAGAATTTTTCACTCTCTTGATACCACGTGTTCGGAAAGTTCAGCGTATCCTTCCCAACCGCCTCAAACACATGCAAGGGCATGTAATTTATTCACCTAAATAACCAACGCGCTGAAGGTTAGAATCTATGCTATAAACGTGTTAATTTTGTTCATCTGCAGAAACCGACATTAATTTCCTGATGAAAATGGCCTTAGAGAAGATCGCTTTTCTACCATTTGGCTATCTGATTGACCAGTGGCGTTGGAGTGTGTTCAGCGGGGACACGCCCCCTGAGGAGTATAACCGGAAGTGGTGGGATTTAAGGTGATTAGGGGAAGGTGTAGCAGCCAACCTTACGCTTAGCCTTTGGTGCCTGTCGGCTATCAGTCGTCCGAGGGACGTACTGTTATATTTAGTACTTCTGTATTGCGCTAGTATAGCTTGTAATTCTCTGTGTTTAATGTGGGGAGGACTGTGGTGAAGAAAACTTACGCATAGTGTATTCCAAAACGAAAACGGCAGTTGTGAAGGACACAAGTTTTTTCTGTTCTTTAAAAAATATGTTTTATTTATGAAGTAGTGTAGGCCATAAACACATTTGTTTTATGGTGTTTACGGAGGGACAGAACTTTAGTGTACACAGTACAAATTTCCACAAATTGCAACTGTAATGCTTTAGAAGTAAGAGGAACCTTATATCAGCTGAAGCCATCAAAATATTAAACTTTTATACTGAAGAGTATACGAAAGATTTATGTAGAACATATTTACATCTTAACTGGTGATAGCGACTACAAAATAATTTTAAGTCACTTATTGACCAACATTAAACAGACTCGTTGAACATCCAAACTTATATTCCTTGTATAAGATAAATACAGGGCTATATATTTCTCTTATAGAGCTTATATACAATTCGTGCACGCGAAGAGATCACAAACAGTTAAGTAACAACAAATATATTCCACAGATGCAAGCATCAAGGTCTGACGCCACCCATTCACCGAGGCGAAAGCGACTTTGACCCCGGCGCTAAGTACCACGTGCCGGCCAACACACCGTACATCAGGTAACTCCAAGTGACGGTACTGGAAAAGTATAATTTAGGCCAGACCATGTCGCTTTTGTTAAAAGCAAATCATTTGTATAACCGAATTAATGTGATTGATCAGGTTCAGGAATAACATGGCAGACCAAGTGCCCGTTTGCATCCCAAATACCAAGTTGTCCAACTCCGCATTATTTTTAAGTGCTTTAGGGGCGGTTGGGTAGCCTAGTGGTTAAGGCGTTTCGCTTCGATTTTCCACATGGACACAAAGTGTGAAGTCTCTTTCTGGCGTCCCCCGCCGTGATATTGCTAGAATGTTGCCAAAAGCTGCGTAAAACGTAACTCACTCACTCTAAGTGCTTTAGGTTTAAATTTGGTACCTCACAAATTATTGATTGACATTGGGCGAGTACTTGCTGCCAGGAACACAGCCCTTCTGACAAACCGGGGAATGTTGAAGGTCTGTGAAGAAGTCTACCTGTCAATGTGCGTGATGGGGTCAAGTGTCCTGAGCTGATTAGCCCGTCTGTATCGTCTGTATCGGGATCACCGGAATCCTCTTTGCTGCATATATGTATTTCAATCTGCAAATTGATGATAGATCGGTCCTCCTGAACTTTCTGTAGGTACTTCGTGAGCTTCATCATCCAGTTCCAGTTCCACAAGGCTCTGTGCCAGGCAGCCAACCAGACGGGCCCTCTGCACAAGTGCGACATTTACCAGTCCAAGGCTGCCGGGTCGAGACTTAGGTAGCATATTTACGCTTAAAATTACGAACGCTTTATCTATTAGCTCAGCCTAATCTCGCTGGACTTGAAAGAGGCACTGAGCGAAAATAGAAAATTAAACAAGGTTGTATCACACTGAATAACTCATACGTTTTCTTATTACTTATTCCCAGTAAATTGTTCATAAATTGTAATTGCTAGTTTTCCTCTACTCCAAATGGAATCTACTTCGCCAGATTATGGAGATGGAATAGGTGGTTGAGGAGAAATACCTAGTATATAAGTATTGACCATTGATGTAATTATTACCTGAATATAACAATGCGAAGACATTGCATTGAGGCACAGTTTAGCGGGATGGTGAAACGTTGTCTCAGCGGCTATGATATTCCTCCAGCAACATGTTGAAGATGGGTCAGTCCAAGCCATGGCCAGACGCAATGGAGGCTATCACTGGGCAGCGGAAGATGGATGTGGGTCCCCTGGTGGAGTACTTTAAGCCGCTGCTGGATTGGCTGGAGGAGCAAAACTCTGGCAAATCTCTTGGCTGGGACGAAACCTGTCCGCCCGGTATGGCTGGAAAGATCATGGATGAGGATGTGGCCAAGGATTGGCTGAAGGAGTACAACCAGCGGTCATCAGAGGTGTACTATGAGGCCACAGAGGCCGAATACACGTACAACACCAATATCACTGAATACACCATACAGGCATCGGTAAGTTACATGTCGCCTGTCGCTTTGGTGTGCATTTCTGACTCAGATTCTAAGTGATTATGATCCCTGGCATAAAACACCTTGTCAGTGCTCATTATGATCCCTATTATAAAGCAACATACCAGTGCTCATCATGATCCTTTGCATGAAGCATATCGCAAGTGTTCACTATGATCCTTGGTATAAAGCAGCATACCAGTGCTCAGTATGGTCCCTGGTATAAAGCACCTTGCCAGTGCTCTTTATGATCCCTGGTAAAAAGCACCTTGCCAGTGCTCTTTATGATCACAGGTAAAAGGCACTTTGCCAGTGATTTTTATGAACCCTGGTAAAAAGCACCTTGTCAGTCTGAGTGCTCTTTATGATCCCTGCTATAACATTCCTTGTCAGTTCTCATTATGATCCCTCGTATAAATCAGCATACCAGTGCTCATTATGATCCCTGGTATAAAGCAGCAAACCAGTGCTCATTATGATCCCTGGTATAAAGCAGCAAACCAGTGCTCATTATGGTCCTTGGTATAAAGCAGCAAACCAGTGCTCATTGCCCATTATGGTCAGTGCTCATTATGGTCCTTGGTATAAAGCAGCAAACCAGTGCTCATTGTGATTATGGTCCTTGGTATAAAGCAGCAAACCAGTGCTCATTATGGTCCTTGGTATAAAGCAGCAAACCAGTGCTCATTATGGTCCTTGGTATAAAGCAGCAAACCAGTGCTCATTGGTTTTAACGCTGTTATAAACTACTCTTTAAATATGAATACAAAATGCCATTTAGAAAGTGGTCCCTGGTGTAACATATGTTATATTTGGGGATTACGCTTTGTTAGTTAAGTACAGATTTTAGTACTTTTTTAGTTCGGTTGAGGGATCTCATCGGAAATTCGGTTGACCCACACCCTCAGAGTCAGGCCCTAATCGCCAGCACAGAAGGTCAGATGCCAAAACCGCTCAGCCACCTCGGCTTCCACCCAGCTTAAAGTGTAATCCCAAATATAGCATGTGTTATATATAAATAATATAACTAAATATTTCAAACTGACATGAACCATTAAACTGACACGCCATAACATGTCTGATATACTTTTCCCCATCGGCATAACATCCATCTCATTTGTCACACACTCATGAGGACAGATTTGCTTGTAACAATATCAGGAGGAATATTAACATTTAGAATTATTTCCAGTTTCAGGAATGTGAGCAGTAACGAAAACTACATATCACATGATATGTCTTGTACCTAAGAAGCATGATCGTTGGTCCTAAATTACCACATAGCCAGGGGATCACAGTCGCTGCTGACATTATGTCTTTCGTATATGCCTCATAGCACCTATATCACCAGCTCCCATGATGTGTTCCCAGGTCGACGCCAATCTGAAACTGGCCCGGTTTGACAAGGAGTCGGCAGCTAAAGCAGCAGAGTTTGAACCCAACGTCTTCCCCGACAAGCTCCTCCAGAGAGAGTTCAAACGTATCAAAGACATCGGAACCAGCGCTCTCAAGAATGAGACAAAACTTGCGAGGGTAATTCTTGACACGCACTTGTTATGTAACACTCGGACTACAGCTTATGATTTCATATTAGACACAGTAGTCACCTGATTAGGGATCACGCAGTAAAGACCCGTGAAGGTCCAGGTTAGAATATTGGCATTCAGTAACCCATGCTTGTAAGAGAAGGGGACTAACGGGATCGGGTGGTCAGGCTCGCTGACTTGGTTGACACATGTTATCGTATCCCAATTGCGCAGACCGATGCTCATCACTGGATTGTCTGGTCCAGACTCGATTATTTACAGACCGCCGCCAAATAGCTGGAATATTGCAGAGTGCGGCGTAAAACTAAACTCACTAACTCACTCACGCGGTAAAAGTATATGCTTAATACTTTAACCCTTTTAACGCAGAAGGGCCAGAAATGTATGTGTAGGGTTGTGCACTATCGGCAGTGTACACAAAGAGAGTGAATATCCTCCATTGTTCTCCTAGATGGAGAAGTTGCGGTCTGATATGCAAGGCATCTACAGCAAAGGCAGAGTGTGCTTGTCGTCAGGGCGATGCCTTGATTTGGAACCAGGTAGGTACTCATTTAAACCTGCAGATAGGACATGGAGCCAGGTAGGTACTCACCTGGACGACATCTGCAACATGGTGTATTGCTGTACATCATGTCAGTTAAACCTGCAGATAGGACATGGAGCCAGGTAGGTACTCACCTGGACGACGTCTGCAACAAGGTATATTGCTGTACACCGTGTCAGTTAAACCTGCAGATAGTTAGATATGTCCTTACAGCGCCGTGAAAGGACATGGAGCCAGGAATGTTTTCATCTTGGCGATGTCTGAACTTGGATATAAGTAGGTGTTAATGTACACTGTTGTGGTTGAATCTATAGTCTCTTTACAACAAAAGTGTATTGCCAAAGAACCGGGTAGGTGTATCTCTCTACTTCGTCAAAATGGAAAGTGTAGGGTGTTGCTCTGCAGAGCGCAATTGGACTTGATGTCTCTACAATGTGGAGACTGCAAGAAGCCGTCACGCGTGTCTCTTTACAAGGCCATGCAGGGACTTCAGGCCGACATGTATCTATTATAAAATAGTGTGCCCTTACTTTGAGAAGTCCGAAAATCAAACACATTAATGCAACGTGAATTTCGTGTAAGCCATGTTGTGAGTTGTCACTCATGCTGTTGCTGCAGGTCTGACGAGACTGATGGCGACGTCGCGGAACTACAGCGAGTTACAGGAGGCGTGGAGGAAGTGGAGGGACGTCACAGGGAAGACCATGAAGACAAAGTACCAAGAGTTTGCGTCGCTAAGCAACGAGGGAGTCCAAGCATTGGGTAAGATGACAAAATATACAAAATGATGCTATTGCTTATAGGAAAAATATTATTTTGAATGTAGAACACATTAAACGAGTCTCAAAATGTGAAATCGTCTTGACCTGTGTCTATTTTTTTTGCAATATTACAAAATGTAATGTTTATCACAGCCCGAAGGTACGCTTTTCCCACATATTCACATATGAGTAACTGAAATTGTTGAGGGATTGATATTCCATATCCTGAGAGGATGCTGGCATTTCAACAAAAAATCCAATGTTACCTACACGGTTATCTGGTTTCCTAGGTTACGCCGACACCGGGGAGTACTGGAGATCCTGGTACGAGAGCGACACCTTCCAGGAGCGACTCCAGAAGCTCCTTACCAAACTAAAGCCTTTCTACCAACAACTGCACGGCTATGTCCGCCGGAAGTTAAAGGCGGTGTATGGAGCTGAACACTTCCCTTACAGTGGACATATCCCTGCTCACCTGTTAGGTCAGTGTTTGTGCAAATAGTAAAGCACGTAGATCGATACTTTTGTATGGCAGAATAAAGTTGTATACACGCCGGGGGAAGTTGGGTAAAAGTACGTTTTATACAAAGTGGACAGGGACGAATATAATGTGTCATTTGCACGGTTTGGGGCGGATGTTCCATATCGGTTCTAGATTCTATGATCTCTTTAAGTACACAGCAAAAAAAGTTAAGCACCCCTCAAATTAAAGCTGAATTAACGGTATATGTCGGAACAAAATTTCAGTCCTCATGATGGCAAATCAAAGAGTGGTATATTGGTGATAAAATAAGGTGTTACTTATTAGAAAATGTCTCTCACGAACGCAGCCACATGCACGTGAATCCCGCCACCCATGTGTTGCACACACCAAAGTTTCAAACAACCACAAGCATTGGGTATTTAAGGATCGGTATCGACTTCATTATCACTGTTTTTGCACTTCTGATTGACAATGGCACGAAGGAGAATTTCCGAGGCATTGAGATGGCAGATCATTGGACTTTATCGGGCAGGACTTTCTTACAAGGAAATTGCAAGAAGAACTCAATTCCACTACACCGTAATAAGCCGTCTGGTGAGGAAGCATGCGCAAACAAATGATGTAAAGGACCTCCCCCCGTTCTGGAAGACCAAAAGCTACCACGCCCCAGGAGGATAGAGCTCTGTTACGGCATGTGAGACGCCAGCCTTTAGGTTCAAGCACCCTTCTGAAACAGGCCTGGTTACCTCATCGCCGCTTGAGCAACCAGACTGTGAGAAACCGCCTCAAAGCTGCTGGATTAAGAGCCAGAAGGGTCATCAGGCGTCCACAGCTCACAAATCACCACAAGCGTCTGCGTAGGTTATGGTGTCAGCACAGGCAGAGGTGGAACTCTATTCCAGCGATCATGGAGGAGAAATACACTGGACCGACGTGAAAGTCGTTTCCTCCTGCATGTTGTGGATTGGAGAGCCCGCGTATGGAGGACTAGGAATACACGTGTTGCCCCCAAGAACATTTTGCCAAGAGTACCATTTGGCGGGGAATCCGTAATGGTTTGGGGAGGCTTCTCCTACGACTGTAGACTGGATTAGGTGACTATACAAGGTTCACTCACAGGCGCTCGTTACATTCAGGAGGTTCTGGATCCTGTAATTATTGATCATTTCGATGACCACAGACTTGCCACAAGACCCTTGTTCATGGACGACAATGCACGACCTCATCGTTCACATGCTGTCAACCAACATCTGGCAAGTAATGCTGTGACACGAATTCCCTGGCCATCAATGTCTCCTGATTTGAATCCCATCGAACATGTTTGGGACCTCATGGGGTGTCGGGTACAAAGAAGGAATCCTCCTCCACAAAACCTGGGGGAACTTGAGGCAGTTCTTCGCGAAGAGTGGCAGCGGATAAAGATTGAACAATTAAGGAACCTGGTTAGGGGTATGCCAAGAAGAGTGGCTGCAGTTATTCAGGCACGTGGTGGCAGCACACGTTACTGATGTTTTGTGATTCCTGGGACACTGATCCACTTTATTTAAGCTGCTTTTACCGGGTGGCACACCCCAAGACCTTGAACTGACGATACTTAAACACATATGTCTTTTGGATGCAATTCCATTTCAATTTCACTCTGTGTTTTCATGCACTTTTAGTGCTCATACCGTTACAAAACTTCTGTTCCAAATGACCAAATGATTGTTCTTTTAATTAAAATATGTTTTGCTTTTCTTCTTTTTCTCAGTTTCATACCATGCTTCCATGAAGTTCACCCCTCTGTGAAAAATCAGGGGGGTGCTTAACTTTTTTTGCTGTGTATATATATACGAGATATGTTCACTCATAGTTCACTTCAACCTGATAATGAATTGAGTCACGCTTCAGGTAACATGTGGGCACAGGCGTGGAAGAACATATATGATATGGTCATACCTTTCCGGAACAAGACAAGTGTGGACGTCACACCTCAGATGAAGGAGCAGGTATAAAAGAACAATTTCTAACATAACACATCCAATAATATTCAACTGAACGAATATGAAAATTCGCCAGGAATGTATCAACTAATTATGCCCGGTGACAAGTGAGGGTGTTATTTTGTAGGTAAAATGATTTGTAGACGTTGGCAATTTATAATCATCCTCATGAATATTTATGTTTAACTCTCCAGCTGACATCGACACCTTGTAACCTGTAAGATGATTGACAACAAAAACTGTAACATGTTAAATTACTGACTTCATTTGGTGTAACCTCTAAGAAGATTGACTTCAATGGTTGAGCTGTGTGAGATGATTGACCTTAATAGCTTGAAGGGAGGTATATGGTCAATCCTTCAGGATGATTTTGTGCCATGTACTATGGCTAACACAGTAGATGTACACTACAGGGCTACACGGTGGAGAAAATGTTCTGGACAGCCGAGGACTTCTTCAAGTCGCTGGGTCTCGAGGCCATGCCTATGGAGTTTTGGAGAGACTCGATGATCAGACGACCCCCGAACAGAGATGTCGTCTGCCACGCCTCTGCCTGGGACTTTTACAAAGCAAAAGACTTCAGGTTTTAACTGTGAACTCATTATCTTTTCTAATTCGTTATGTAACTCTTTTTCAACAACAACTATAATGCAGCCTATCAAAATCAAGTATTTCCTCCGAACTCTTCTGTGCTTTTTTTGTACCAGTAAATATGCACCTTCAATATATGGAATGCATATTTTAAGGGTAATTTAGACTTTTTCCGTCATTAGTTTCGTCAAAATGTAAAAGATTGTATGTATTGTTTATAACTGATAATATACATATTAACCCCACACTTTGCGTTGTATCCTCAGTATATTAGATCGAGTCTTCGTTTGCTGACCAGCTAAACTTCTTCTGGTGCTGGTTTCAGAATCAAGATGTGTACGGATATCAACATGGAAGACCTGATCACCATCCACCACGAGATGGGGCACATCCAATACTACCTCCAGTATAGGCATCAGCCACATGCGTTCAGGGACGGTGCCAACCCAGGCATGTTTCACATCTTTGTTTTAGTTAAAGTAGAGATCGTGTTATCCTCCATTGCCGAACTATTTCTTAGGAACATTGGGCATAAAATTCATCGTATTTATACACGTTCCCTCATTCATTTCCTTCATTTTGTATAATATAGATACCATCTGTAACGTGTAAATCCACTGCAGGTTTCCACGAAGCTATCGGTGACGTCATGGCGCTGTCTGCATCTACTCCCAACCATCTGAAAACAATCGGCCTGTTGGAGAAGGTAGAGGACGATCCAGGTAAGAGTCATCCACGCCATCACAGCAGTAGAAGGACATGTACTTTAGGTTTCACGGAAGCCATGTTCTTCAAATACGACCCGTGAAGACGCGTGAAGAATTGGTCTTCAGTAACCATGGCTTGTCGTAAGAGGCGACTAACAGGATCGGGTTGTCAGGCTCGTTGGCTTTGTTGAAGCAAGTTATCGTATCCCAATTGCGGAAATTGATGCTCATGCTGCTGATCAATGGAATGCCTGGTCCAGATTTGATTATTTACAGACCGCCGCCATATACCTGGAACATTGCCGAGTGCGGCGTTGAACACAAGCTAACCATCCAACCTTCAAATACATCTGTTCTTGTCTCAATAACAGAGCAATGTTCTAAGATAAAGACGGTAGCGTTCATGTCACATGATTTGCTACTGGGTATTGTGACAACCATTGAGCGAATACAATAGTAGTACTCAGGCATAATGATAAACCATCTACTTCTATGCCTATATCTTCAGAGAGTGACATCAACTTTCTCATGGGCATGGCTTTGGACAAGATCGCCTTCCTGCCGTTCGGCTACCTGATTGACCAATGGCGATGGAGTGTGTTCGGTGGGGAGTCGCCCATCGACAACTACAACACCAAATGGTGGGAGTTGAGGTACAAGATACAACTAGTTCAGTTGAATGAATAGAGGACTGACGCTTTGGTTTTGCGCTACTTTAAGCTCCGTCAGTATCACAGTGGAGAGCACCAGAAATAGGCTTCACTTATACCAGTATGTGGAGTCCATGTTGACTCTAAATGATCGAACGCTTAGGCCAGACTTCCTCAATATGAATCGATATGAGTGCTAGTGATATATTATATCTTATATATCAATTACATGTCGGGAATAATGTTTGCTTTCATTTAAAAAACTCAGCATGTCTTAGATACCTGCACATGTAACATAATACTTTGTCCAATGACTGTGTTTTCGTGTTTTTAACAATTGTATTCCGATATTCTACCCACATTATGTGACTGTATGTGCCTCGATATTTCTACACCTGCTTTCATAGGCCTCGAAAGTAACTACAAGTATGTGCGTGAATCGTTCACTTCATAATCTAGATTGTCTCTTTCTTTCAACGGTGAGAATCTATTCAGTGCTTGCCCTTAAGCCTGAAAAGCTGCAGGCCTGAGGATCCAGAACCATGAAAAGTTGTGGGCCCTGAACAGAATGTGTAGGCCCAATATTTTAATGTGGAAATAATACTCTAATTATTGAGGATGAAAAAGTTGTCGGCCATAAGGACCGGCAGAAAGCAAAAGCTGTGTTTCCGAGTGGTTTTCAGTCTGCTTCTGGCCTAAGGACCGAGGTTAATTTCGGATGCTGGATCTATTAAGATTGTGTTGTCAACTCCGTCTGTGATGTGTGTCTGTATTGTATGCCAGATGTCAGTACCAGGGCGTGTCAGCCCCCGTGGCCAGATCAGAGGCAGATTTTGATCCCGGTGCCAAGTTCCATGTTCCTGCCAACATGCCATACATCAGGTAGGTTGTTTACTTGTCAACAATCAAACATAAGTTCATTTCCTCTTGGGAAATGATGTGTGATCCTCAAGTTGATTTCAACATATACTAGTAATGTTTGGGATGTGTCACCTTGATAGGTGTATTGGCACACATGACGCTGATGACGCATATTATGCTTGGTGTTCCAGGTACTTCGTGAGTTACGTCATCCAGTTCCAGTTCCACAAGGCGCTGTGTACGGCCGCCGGACACACTGGGCCGCTACACAAATGTGACATCTACAAGTCCAAGGCCGCGGGAACACTCCTGGGGTTGGCTCTTACTTCAATAGTTTCTTATTTTCAGTTATTCTCAGGGAACCATAAATTTATACGAACCGAAACAATTTATACGAAGATTACAAGCGTTTCATTTGATGGTTTTATGAATCCGTAATATGAGCCAAGTATAAGTCAATGTGACCTTTTAATTTTAACAATGCCCAGTGCCACGTCTTTCAAAGAGGCATTACGTTGCTATGATTTTTTATATGCTAACGTACAGAATATAACAAGCCATAGCTTGTATATATTGCTTTAATCAACACCATTCAGATAGTGAGTTTATTAAAGCCTGAACGGAAATATCACATCCTTTTAGTCCACATAGGGATTCTAGAATTCGTTACATTTTCTTTGATAACACAGTATCAAAGATATTATACAAGTTTGATCTAGACCCTCACGTCCACCTTCCTACTGCCAGCAACATGCTGAAGCTCGGGGCATCCAAGCCGTGGCCTGAAGTGATGGAGATGATGACGGGAGGCAGGGACATGGATGTCGGGGCGTTGCTGGAGTACTTCCAACCGCTCTTTGATTGGCTGGAGAAGGAGAATGAAGGGGAGAAGCTAGGCTGGAGTGATGGTTGTCCATCAGAAGATGATAATGAAGCTGCTGAGTTTCTGCAGGAATACGATATAGAAGCTGAGAAGAATCTGGTCAAAATGAGCGTGGCGGACTGGGCGTACCAGACTAACCTGACAGAGGAAACCTCAAAGGCATCGGTGAGATGAAAACTATAGCTGTATTAATATATTCTGCACTGTAAGATATAGAGTCATTTTGACCGTATATTCAACAAATACGTTGTCGGTGGATCACTAGCAGTAATGGTTTTTAACGGATGATGTTCCAGCTTAATTGTATGCTGGGAGTTGAGATTGACGATTACCTCGTGACGTCAATGGATAGGAATAAAGTTGTGCTAATTCTATATTCGTGGCAAATCTGAGATTCAAAGTTAACCAATAGTTTTGAATCTTGGTCAACCCCGTTCAGCATCCCCTGCAATTAGTGATTTTGTTTAACCTCGAAGCAAGTCATTTAAGAGGTTTGGTAAATAAGTTTTGACCAGATGAATAGGTTACTAAAATTGAAGCAACGATCCCTGTCGTCAGCATACAATGACGCAAAGTAAATGAAAGCGACTTTTCAATTGCCTTAAGAAATCCCTGCAGAAGTCTGCTGTACGATTCCGACTTTGCTATAAGCATTTCTTTCACGTATTCTGTCAAATAGTGTTGAAACTAGGTTCTTGCCACATCGGTCACAAACGCTTGTTTCCCCACATGAGTACAACGTGTGTAGCCCATTTCTGGTGTCGATGCCAGATTGTAGTGGAATATTGCTAAACGCCGCATAAAATCATACTCACTCACTCAGTCACGGTTGTGAGATGATATTTAATCAGCTGATCCCATTTCGGATTGTCACAATGTAATACGCTCATCAAAGTGAATGCGTCTTTTCTGTTGTAGGTTCAAGGTCGCTTGGATCTGGCTGATTTCAAGAAGCGATACGCCGACAAAGCCAACAAGATAGACTGGGGGAACCTAGAGGAGGAATCCATGAAACGCCAGTTCCAGAAGATCACAGACATCGGTACCAGTGCAATGAAGGACAAGAATAAATTAAAAAAGGTAAATTGCTGGGAGAAGCTTGAATAGTTCTCGGCTTGTCCCTATTCTTTGTTTAAGGTCGCACTCAGTAATATTTCTGCTATGATGAAAGCCCCAGACAGTTCAGAAATTGCCATTCATGCTATTGGGATAATACGCGAATCAACTATTTCATCGTGCTTGTCCACCCGATTCATTCAGTATTGTCTTACAACAAGAGTGAGTGAGTTTAGGTTTACACCGCACTCAGCAATATTCCAGCTATATGGCGGCGGCCTGTAAATACTCCAGTCTAAACCAGACAATCTGGTGATCAACAGCATGAGCATCGATCTACGCAGTTGAGATACGATGACGTGTGTCAACCAAGTCAGCGAGCCTGACCACCCGATCCCGCTTACAAGAAAGGGTGATTGGGATTTGGTGACTTGCAATGTGTTGGGTTTTTTATGATCGTAATAAAAATTGCTAAAATTAATAAAACATGATGTGAACGATATGAATATAGCAAATTCGACATGCCATATTTCCCAAATCATCAAAGGTCTATAACAGAAAGTCATGCTTCTGTAACATTCCGACAATACCATTAGCATGAGTTCATGAATTTCCATGAAATAGTGACCATACCCGTCGGCATCCGTCACGAAACAACAGTGGTACAATTAACAATTTGGAGTTGCATCGGACATCTTTCTTGTCAGTGATGCGTCACGTTTGTCTTGTAAAACATTTTGGTGAAAGGTCATGAGGTGTTTGTGCATCACACTTTCGTGAACAGTCGTTTAGGGATTCTTTGTACGATGCAACCTAATTCTATGAAATTTACACAAAAAAGGCTGAAGTTGCTGGAATATTGACCAACATGAATGGAGAGTTGACTTTTTGAACGTTGAAGTCATACCTCTGGTCACATAGTCTTGTGGAGAGTTTTGTCACTCTGAATCATTATGCATAGATCGAAATATGAAACAGATGATAACGTATTCTCACTCACCTGAATTCGCCGAGGCTGTTGTTTCAGATGGAGGAGCTACAGTCGCAGATGGAGGACATCTACGGGGCGGGAAAGGTGTGTCTCAATAAGACGGACTGCAGGCCACTCACACCAGGTAAGTTGTTGTCACAGACAGCCATCATTATGTTTACGTATCGAAACATGTCTATTTTTAAACTGTTGATTCTCACATTTACCCAAGACTATTTCTTTGAACATGACTCTGTCCTATCAGTATTCAGAAGTATGCATTCAAGTGTACTGTTCCATACACAACATACACTACCGGAACTGCCGATTCATACACTATATGTATGCACGGGAACATGCCCAGTCGCTTATGGTGCCGCAAATCGGTGGACAGAGTTGCCTCCCTTGGGCACGCTTGAAATTATGATCGTGAGTTTGAATCACGGTTCGGCCCGATTAGGTTTCCAGGTTTGTCAGCCCTTATAATATTTCGTTGATTTCACCAAAGTGGTCAAAACCTGCATTACTGTGGACTTCCCTACATTAATCTGACACGCCGTGTTATAACTCAAATACTGTTCAGAGTGGCAAAATCCCAAATCACTCACATATTCTACATACACGAGTAGATTCCTACCTTGGGCGTTTGCTGTAAGTGAAATCTACTCATGCTTTTGACCCAAATGTCTGAAGTTTAATAATTATGTGCCATAAAAGTTTACAATTCAATTCGGGCACAGAACCATGTTCAAGGGCATTATCTTCTGAACCAGTTATGTCTATATTACAAGATAAAGCTGGGTGTGGTTTCTTTTGTTCTCCAGTGTGGAAAGCACAGCATCAGATATCTGCATAGAGGACCAATTATCACATACCAACAATTCTGTGGCCTTTGCACTTGCTCGTGAAAACTGATTAAATAATTTTCTAGAACTGTAAGTGAGACTGCTCTATTTTGTATCCATGGAAGATAGTGTTTCCTCATTATAGAAATGATTTTCCGTAAAATTATGTTCAAGATTTGATTGTCCAATCATTAACATCATTATATTCTACAGCCTTAGAACAGGTTATGGCCTCATCACGTGACTATGACCTACTTCTGAAGGTATGGAAGGGTTGGAGGGACAACACAGGAAAGAAGATGAAAGACCTGTATCGCCAGTTTGCTGATCTGAGCAACGAGGGTGTGCGGGAACTCAGTGAGTGACCTATGCTGTCTATACCTTTAGATGATGGTCGTGGTGCCTGGTACACTGTCTGCCTTGTTACTCTTGTGCCCACTTGTTTACCTCCTGAGCCCTGTTGACTAATTCCAATACTAATGTATCTGTATTTTGTCTCATGTGCCCAAACAGTACCATGTACCTTATACCCATCTACACAGAGTTTTGATTGTTTTATGTTCCGTGTATATTCTTGTCTGCCCTTCGAATTTGGACTAAAGTTGGCCGAGATACATAGGTAACCTTAAATGAACTTTGAGTACACACACACTTTAAAATGAAATCTTGTATGTCAATAACATATATTTTAAACTCTAATTTGCTATCATCATCGGTTCATTAATATATTCCATTATCCGACAAAGTGCCAGGAGAAGAAAGTAATATTTGCAGTTTCCAAATCCTTCATCAAGGCGTTAGAGCCGATCTATGCATTCACACCTGCAATGTTTCCATGGCAGACTACAAAGACACGGGCGACTACTGGAGGTCGGCATACGAGAGCAGCACCTTCCAACAAGACATCCAGGAACTGCTGACAGAGTTACGCCCCTTGTATGAACAGCTTCACACCTATATAAGGAAGAAACTGGCTGATTTCTATGGACCTGACAGGTTTCCAGCCAGCGGACACATCCCTGCTCACATATTAGGTGAGTGATGGAAGGACGCTGATATCGACAGGATAACATTTAACAAGCTTATTAATGTCAATTCTGCAAAACCCTATTAATGCGTTTGTGTCAATACTTTCTTTATAAAAACCCACCTTCTTAATAACTTCCTTTATAACATCCTGTCGATGTAACAACGTACCTTTCTACAGCGTTCGAAATTAATGTTGGTCCTTAGGCCCGAAGCCGACTGAAAACCACTCGGACCCACGGCTTTTGTTCTCTGCAGGTCCTTATGGTCTTGTTTGGTGGGAATTACTTTTATTGTAGCTAAAATATAGGGGCCTACATATTCTGATCAGGACCCACAACCTTTCATGGTTCTGGGTCCTTAGGGCCTGCAGCTTTTCAGGGTTAAGGGCAAACACTGCCTTTCTAACATCCACCTCTGTAACATCCTATCCTCCCAACATCCACCTTGCAGATGTAACATTCATCTCTGTAATGTTTTACCAATGTAACATCAATCTCTGTAACATTGTAAGATACAATGCAGTTTACGTTCATGACACTCTGCCCCCCCGACATTCACCTCTGTAACATCTGGCCGAATCTGCGGTGAACAGGAATGATAACATATATTATTGACAACTATGCTTATATGTTTAGTGTTTGTCATGAGGGAGGGGCGGTGGGGTAGCCTGTGGTTAAAGCGTTGGCTCGTCACGACCGAATCATTGTCATTTCTGGTGTCCCCTGGTTCGAATCCGGCATACATGGGTACAGGTGTTTGAAAAACTCAGTTCATGGCCTGCCCCACAACAGCATCAAATGTGATTTTGAGAATGTTAGTAATATCTGTGTTCATTTGTATGAAATGCGGCGTAATGCCGGATTGAAGGCTGAGCTAGAATGTGAGCTCAGTGATACATTTGTTTCACCTGCACGGACATTTAACTCCAGTTGCTTGCGCAGATGTTTAGCCATTTGACTGACTGGTTGTCCTCTATTCATCAACTGTTGTACATTAAGTCTACAGTCTGAAGTTATCCTATACAACGACAACGTTTCCCATGCTGAAGGATTCGCACTCTTAATGGGACATGAAACGATTATCGGTTATTTCAGTGTCCCAGACACTGTGAGACACCAAGGTCCGCGGTACGTACAACTAGTGAAACGTGCTCTGCAGTATATCATGAACACATCCCTACCTATGTACATGTAGATTAAGAAACCATATTTACATTGTTCTAACAGGTAACATGTGGGGACAGACTATGGAGAACATATTTGACATTGTCCAGCCCTACAAGAACAGGACAAGTGTGGACATCACGCCGCAGATGAAGACACAGGTAAATCGTCACTAGAAGGAACACAGGCTGGAGTTAGTGTATATTTGAGCATTCGGAGAACACTTAAAAGGTGGAATGTGGAAACGGCCCAAAATACAAATAAGGCTATAAATTGTCAACAACAAAAGGTAGAGTACGAGGGACTATTTACAGTACTTACGCTACCACTGATTGTGATTATGAGGATGCTGGTGATGGTGTTGGTGGTGAATATGGTAGTGGTGCATTATGTACGTGTGAGGTAAGGCGTCAGGAGGTATTTCGCTGCCGTTTAACACGTTGAGACAGATAACGAATTGTTTAAACCCCTTATTGAGTAACGATGTTTTCGGATGGGAAACGTTAACCGCCCGGACCTCTGAAATATTAGACTGCTGAAAATTATAAAAATACACCACCACTATAGTTTATCTCCCCCCACCTCCTGCTTCCAGAATTACACGGTAGAACGAATGTTCCGAACAGCAGAAGGCTTCTTTGTGTCCCTGGGTCTAAACAAGATGGTAGACTCGTTCTGGACGGACTCCATGACTAAGAAGCCTGCAGGGCGCGAAGTTGTCTGCCACCCCTCAGCCTGGGACTTCTACAACGCAAAGGACTTCAGGTGTGTAGCGCTGTGTTGGTATCTGCCATGAGAACAACACTGACATGTTCAGCAACGTGTAAATCCCATGGCTAGCCGGGTAAGGTGGATGGAGCTATAGCGATGTGGCTATTCTAGAGATAATGGCTCACAGTAGTCAAGTCATGACATACTATATACACATCGCACATGGTCTTTTTATTTTATTCACATGTGTTTTATTTATGATTTTTTTTCCAATCATTGATGAAATATTTTGTCCTACGTTTTCGTTAATCAAAATCCAGACTTGACCTCCGTGTACACTAAATCATCTGTTAAGACGGATATGTCTCCCTCAGACCCGGAACTGGGTGCGGGTTTTCTTCATTGAAAATCATACATTTGCTGCATTTGTGGCAAATTGAAAACAGAGAAACGAGGAGCAAATGCTGGAAGAATATTGATTACATCTGATTTAGAAAAGCAAATACAAATGTATGAATTATCATGTCAACACATTGACCCTACAATCTTTTACAGTTTGTTGAAAGGCTTATGTTTAATATATAATCAATTGTTAGCATATATCTTTGCTTCGTGTGATGTAATGTTGTCTGTATCGCCACACCAGAATCAAGATGTGTACAGACATCAACATGGTCGACCTGATCACCATCCACCACGAGATGGGGCACATTGAGTACTTCATGCAGTACATGCACCAGCCTCAGCCATTCAGGGATGGGGCGAACCCAGGTACACGTCACATACATTTGTCATTAGGCTTTTTGTTCAGACATTCATTATCAAATTTTCTGAAAGTAAGGCATTGTTGAGTTATCATTATAATATTTCTGTCACGGAATATTTTCGCGGTAAAACATCGCACATGTTACAGAAGGACTTTAATAACTTATGGTATTACTGATGCAGTTATCTGTCTGTCTTTATGTTTGCACTATATGACAAATACTGCCGATGTGACTAGAAAGTGTAGCTCACTCACTCACTCAAATACACAAATAGTGTATAACAATACAATAACAACTTATAAACTCTAACGATTTCATTTCTGATACATTTTGATAGCTTTTTCCAATCCTGTCCAGGTTGCTCTATAATACCATGAAGAAGTTTTATTCTCCATCGTTGTTTGCATGTGATAAGTATCATTATCATAAGTTATGCAAAACATTAATCAGCAACTGAAATTGTCAATTTCGGTTCGAAAGCACAACCATAGACCCACACCACTATACTGTTTTCCGTAATATATAACTCCTTGTTGCGTGTTAGGATTTCACGAGGCCATAGGTGACACCATGGCGCTGTCGGCGGCAACACCCGCCCACCTTAAGAAGATCGGCCTTCTTGACCAAGTGGAAGACAATGCACGTAAGTGAGCCAATTGGAGCGCTTGCAGAAGATTACTGGCTTCAGATATTGGTCCAAATGGAGTGTTTTGTATTGTGACCTAGTCAAAACAGCTTAGTCATTGATGCAGGGGAGCTATTTTAAGTTTGTTGCAGGTATTGTCCATTCGGGGGTTATATTGCCTTGGATTTAATGCTCTAAGTGTGGACGTTTATCATATCAACATAATAGGTTATAAAACATCAGTAGGAGATATGTATTGTAAATCTTACTCAAAGTGTTTGAGCTTGTAATTCAATGTTTAAGTCGATGAGGTAGAGTTTCCCACACGAGTCCCAGTACAGTGTGTTATGTAGGGCTGATCCCTCTCCTAGAACACTTAACTGTTCTTATCGATGAAACCTTATTGAACCCGGAGAATGATATCTTGCTACGAACAATACAATAAAGATCTCATTTGTTTCCATGATGACTCAAATATTGCTAGAGAGGGCGTAAAACCTACTCACTACCTTCAAGGACATTAATGTGTCATGGCAGTACGTATTTTTTGTCAACAGTTGATGACATTAACTTCTTGATGAAGACTGCCCTTGAGAAGATCGCCTTCCTGCCGTTCGGCTACCTGATTGACCAATGGCGGTGGAGTGTGTTTAGCGGGGAGACGCCACCTTCAGAATACAACAAGAAGTGGTGGGACTTAAGGTGACGTGAACAAAGCATATCGGCTGTCAGACCAGTATGGAAGTTAGCTTGTACCTAGACATTCAACATTTAGCCGACGAGGAGAATCAGAGGGAACGGTCACAGTCTTTGGGAAGCAGGCCGAAGAGTGTGCCAATCCCATGTGTTACGTGTCGATGTCAAACTTTTATTTAACCGTAAATCTTTCCCTTAAAGTGAGTGATTAAAAGTTAGAGCCACATGTCCCCTTCAGTATGAAACCAACAAGCTACAAAGAAATGTTGTACAATTAACAACTGTATCCTAAATTCTAACTAAGTTTATGTATCACAGGAAATGTTTTCAAACAAGTGCTGGTGACAGCCTAGTCTCTCGTACAGACCCTGAAGCAAATATATCCAAGAAACCCCACGCAAGTCTAGAAAATGTGGCAAGACGAAAATGAAGAAAGTCTCAGGGCTCCTTTTCATTATATTATATATTTTTTTACTATGAACTTTTTTCAGTAAAATATGTTCATTTCAGAGACTAGTTGTTAGTCTAGTGACAGCCCAACACAAATATAAACTGAGTGAGTGAGTTTATTTTTACGCCGCTCTCAGCAATATTCCAGCTATATGGCGGCGGTCTGTAAATAATCGAGTCTGGACCAGACAATCCAGTGATCAACAGCATGAGCATCGATGTGTGCAATTGGGAACCGATGACATGTGGCAACCAAATCAGCGAGCCTGACCACCCAAACTTGTTAGTCGCCTCTTACGACAAGCATGGGTTACTTAAGATCAATATTCTAACCCGGACCTTCACGAGTAACAAATATAAACTCTAATTCGCTGGATCTGTCTAATTCCCACTTAAAATATACTCATGCCAATTTTTTTAATTGGAGAGGGTGTGGGGTTGGGGTGGGAAGGGGGGTGACAACCATTATTGGCATGAGTATATATATAACTGGCATACAACTGCCCATCACTGAATCCCAAAAGAAACAATGTAACACAAATACATCACTGCCCCACACTGTATCATTAGTGACCTAGCTATAGCCATTTGTCAAGTCCATTATGCGATATACAAATATCAGAAGTGGCAATATATTTATTAACTTGGATTACTCCACAATGTGAAAATTATCACCAAAACCGTTTCATTATAGGATTCTATTGTTTTGTTTGCAGGTGTAAATATCAGGGGTTGTCTCCCCAGTTTTGCCATCGGATGACGATTTTGACCCCGGTGCTAAATACCACATTCCCGACAACACCCCCTATATCAGGTAGGAACACTGGCGATTGCATCGTAAACATACCCGGTATTGTTATAGGTTTAGTAGGCATGGAATAAATATTTATATCAGATGTGCTATCGTGAAGCTATAAAACTACAACAGTGGGGACTACTTGGGGTAATGATGTTGGATGCATGCTCTCTCTCTCTCTCTCTCTTTCGCTCTCTTTCTCTCTCTCTCTCGTGAGTGTGAGATCTCAGTGTGAGTGACAGAGAGAGTGAGTGAGAGAGAGATAATCTAAAGTTACGTTGTAAAAGTGATAAAAGAAATGTGTGTATATCAGTGTGTGGCATGAATGTGTGTGTGTGTGTGTGTGAGGTGAGGTGAAATTGGGTTTAACGTCGTGCTTGAGAATATTTCGCTCATATGACGACGTGCATGCGTGTGTATGTGTATGTGTGGCTGCTTGTACTAGTCCAGACTTAAGCTGGTTTTATAGTGCTAGCTCACTGAGATACCATGCCGCAGTGAAGCATGAATACCCCACTCAGACACAGTATACTGACTCCGAGCCGACCAGTCCTTGTTGTACCCATTAATGCCCAGCGCCAGGCAGGGACCAACAAGTACTATATTTTAACGTCTTTTGGTATGACGCGGTCGGGGATCGAACCCGCGACCTTCCGCTCTCCGGGCGGACGCTCTAACCACTACACCACGGAGGCGGTCGTGTGTGCGTGTGTGTGTATTTACTAAGAACGATTATATAAGGCAACACAAAAGACTGATGACATAAAAGTGTACAACAGTAATAATCTTTGATTTTGTCACAATCGAAATTATAACACCAAATTAGTGTGTATGTAGTTTGGCGCTGGATTCCAGAAGCCATATTTAATGGCGCTTGTAAACATTCGAGTCTGAATCAAACAACGTAGGGATTGATATTATGAGCAATGTGGCGTAGCTTAGTGGTTGAAGCGTTCTCTCGTCAAGCTGAAGGCCCGGGTTCGATTCCCCACATGGGTACATTGTGTGAAGCCCATTTCTGGTGTCCCCCGCCGTGATATTGCTGGAATATTGCTAAAAGCGGCGTAAAATCCACTCACTCACTCAAGTGCAACGATGTTACTTCACATCCATATCGACCATCTCTATGTTCCTGTTATCCTGAACCACCACTGTCCTGTGAAGCATGAGTGTCTAAACCTAAACAATGTATTGCAGATACTTCGTGAGTTTCGTCATCCAGTTCCAGTTCCACAAGGCGCTGTGCACGGCCGCCGGACACACTGGGCCGCTACATAGATGTGACATCTACCAGTCTAAAGACGCAGGCACCCTGCTTGGGTAGGTCAAGGCTGGCAGGTGGAGAGGCCCTGTTGAGATACGATACATATATAACCAGCAATAAATGCATCAACTATGATATAAACTTAAACATCTGCGCAGATGCGCTTGAAGACGATGGCTGGCCTTCTGACTACGGGGATAGTAATGCATATAGGTACATGGACAAATGTATCGCAACACCCAAAATTTTTCATAGTAGTTTCATATTACCATCTGCTATAGCAAAGGGACTTCAGTATCACTTACTGTCTGGATTTTTAATGACAAATCTGAACGATAAATTGTAGTTTATTCAAAACAGTAAACATGGCCAAAAACTGATCGATTTTGTAGTGTGGTCGTATGACGTTAACAAGTGCGGTCCATCTCCGGATTCTTTCATACATCAAGAAATCACCTAAGTATCAATAACTGAGCACAATGTCAGTCTCCATGTAACCTAGGTCAGCACCAATAGCATCCCAGTCCCACCTTCTCATTGACTGTAGACGCCATTAGACGTTGAGTATAACGTTCCCTTCTTGGCGAAGAGCTTGTTCCATACATTAAGATTTCGTACTGTAGGATCTCTCTTATCTGGCATATTCGGTGACCCATAATAAACTAAACATGCTGTATGGGATTGTGATCTCCCCCACACTCTCAATGAAATTCCAGTGTGAAAGACTTTGTTTTCAAACATAATTAATCTTCAAAATATTGGCAACTATTGAAAACGTTATGTAAATTGGCTGTCATATGAATATCTTAACTGGATATATTTGTCCCATCCTTGGGTTGATAACAGCATATCAACACGGTAAATACATAGCTGGAATAATGCTTGCATCAACCTCCTTGTCGTATCCAAACCAATACGACAGTAGGCTAACTGCATTTGACACGGAAACGTTCAGTGTCCTTGCACAGTTAACGTTGAAATGTCAAAATTGAAACTTCACAATAGGATACGTTTTAAGATATACTCATGGAAACGAGTAAGGGAACACATTAAAGTACAAGTGTTCCTTTATTCTTTTCCACGTTTCTTAACAAGGTATGTATTGCACTGTGAGCGAAATTCTGGAAATAAAGGAACACTTGTACTTTAATATGTTCCCTTTATTAATTTCCATGAGTATATATAGACGTTCTAACGATCTCCTGCAATGCAAATGCGCTGGGTATATGTTTTTAGATATTGCAGTTTGAATAGGCCTACGCCAAAATGAAATGGAACGGAAAAGCAATACAATTAAAGGCACTTATTCTATACAGTTTAAAAAGACAAACGGCTACCATATATTGTCTGTTAAATTATTATATGAATATGGCTCTTGGTTTACAGAGATGTGTTGAAGATGGGTTCGTCCAAGCCGTGGCCGGACGCCATGGAGGCTATCACGGGGCAGAGGAAGATGGATGCCGGCCCACTTAAAGAGTATTTCAAACCACTCGCTGATTGGCTACAGCAGGAGAACGCCAAGGAACGACCCGGATGGAGTGAATCGTGTCCTGAACCCGAGGATTATAATAACAACGGACACAGTCCCCATAACGGTCCAGTTCAGTGTCCTACTGCAGAACCTCCCAACAACCGTGGAACACTACACACGATTAGTTTTACTTCGGGAATAATTACTGTATTGAGCTTGTTGTTTAATTCATTTCAGGTTTAAGTGCTACTATGTTTAAAAGGAGATTTTACTTGAATAAAACATTTTCCATATATTCGTAATGCGTTACCGTATTTATTAGTGTTCGTTTTGGCATTATTTCGGTTCCAATACATTTTCAAAGGGTATTAAGTGCATTGGGGTCTGACGCGTTGTTCGTTCTGTCAACGCGTATATGTTGAATTATACCTTGACCAACATGAGGGAATATGTTGATTTCAAACTTCTATACTTGGCTATTCAATACATGATAAACACACACACAAGCAGCTGTATGGCGGCGGTCTGTAAATAATAACTATTGATGAGTACGGTGTTAAAGAACAAATATATGTGCATCCGTGCATAAAATAAGCACCACCCTGTATTTTTACCAATCAATTTTGTCTGAAATGAAATTCGAAACTCTTTCCAAAAAATAACCTTTATAATTTGATAGAGCAAGTATTTAACATTTCAAAAACGAAAACATCATTGAAATTACCATGTACTTTACTTTAATTAGGATAATTGCCTATATTTAAAACAGGTGTTTTTCTGTCCTAAAACAAGTTGCCTTATTTTGAAAAGTGAAAGTAATAATTGATTGTTATGTGGCCTATAAATTAGTTGTTTATTGTGAATGGATGAAAGTTTGTAAACTAAGATTTAGGAAAAGTTACAGTCAAACTAAAAAAGTAAAATTTTAATATGGAGTAAAAATTGCTTTTCAAACAAAACAAACAGGTTTTAGCTGTACAGTGTAATTATCAGTACCCGGCAAGGAGAAGTGTTTATTCGATACAATAAATTCAAAATCTTATTAATGTGGCCTTTTTTCAGTTTTTGTCAATTAGCAATCTGAATTGTTGGAAAGAGGTCTGAATCTTTGACATTCTGGTTCTTCCTGATTATTAATAATTGAAGCATACTTGATGTGTAAAATCTTGGTATATAACAGATTTGTTATTTTTAGTCAAAACTTAATTTAATTGTGTAGTTTGAGCAGGAGAGGAATAGTTATTTTGGATAAAAATTCAGTACCATCACATTTTCATCAACATATTCTTTTAATAAAGAGTAGAAAAAGTTATGGTATTTGTAAAACTGTCAATGGATAAAGCTTCTTTAACTATAGGTTTATCACATCTTATTTTCAAAATAGGGTGGTGCTTAATTAATGCATGGGTATATATATAACTTTTCTGTAGCATCACATCTTATTTGTCTGTAGCAATAGGGTGGAATCTGTGCTTAATTAATGGATTGTACACGGGTGTATATATGAATCTTAGCTGGACACAGGTGATCTCTTTTAGCTTTGTGTCTGTAGCATCTCTACGGGTTTAAACGAATCTGTGACAGTGTTCCCGGGAATCGTCAGTGTGACAAGCCACCAGTCTAACCACTCTGCAACCTGACCGCGTAATATTGACTGACGTACAGGATTTTATGGGCGCTGATATTGTTACAGAGAAATTCTGATCTATGCAGATTGATTGATTGATTATTGTTTAACGCCGCACCCAGCAATGTTCCAGCTGTATGGCGGCGGTCTGTAAATAATCGAGTCTGGACCAGATCAATAGCAACAGCATCAATCTACGCAATTGGGATTCGATGCATGTGTCAATCAAGTCAGCGAGCCTGACCACCCGATCCCGTTAGTCGCCTCTTCCGACAAGCATGGGTTATTGAAGACCAATTCTAATCCGGATCTTCACGGGTCTACGTAGTATGAACGTATCTGACAAAAGGCTGTAATACATTCACTATACCATTGATGAGTATTGTAGACAGTGCGTTGTTTGTGTCTTCAGCAACACATGCATCTTGTAAGAGACGACTAACGGGATCGAGTGGTCAGGCCTACTGACGTGGTTGATGTATGTGATCATATCCCAATAGGGGCGATCGATGCTCAATGATGTAAAGTACTGAACTGTCTGTTCCATGCACAATGTTATCAATACAGCCATCATATGGCTAGAATATTGAATCTTGCATTAAACATCAAACAAATCAAACCCTACTCGACGCGATGTTTCCATACATTGTGAACAGACAACATTCAAGTAATTATCACACGTGTAGTTAATTAACTGTTGTATTATGTTCCATGTGAATGATGTTTCAGTCTACCGTGTGTTCCGTAATGCCGTACCAGCATATCAGTTTGTTTTACATATCTTGGACTACATCGTACACATCTACTAATGTCAGCTGTCAGGCTGTGTCTGTTCGGAGTCATTGAGTGGGTGATGATGGTTTTACGTCCGCTTCATCAGTATTTTAGAAATATCGCGACAGGGGACACCAAAAATGGGCTTCACACATTGTGGGAATCGAACCTGGGTTTTCGGCGTGACAAGCGAACGCTTTAACCCACTGGGCTACCCCGCCGCCCCTTGAAGGCCGAAAGCTCCTGGCCATTGTCAAAATAGCGCTTCCCAAATACAATGATACGCAGATACCCAACCTTCAACAGATGACCTACACCATAAAATCGTCTTTTTTCTACTGTATATTCATGTTCATTTAAATCAATATCATCTACTGGATTTATGCCAGTATAAATTCATGCTGTCATAAGACACGAGTGCAGGTACTATTGAAAGATTTATGAGAGTATTGTTACAACGAGGATATGACAGCAGGTAGACCTAGGCGCCAGTCCATTTCAGGGAGTCACCTCTCACCATGCGGTTGTGGGTGCTTGTTGTGGTCTGTTTCTCCGCCCTGGCGCGGGGGCAGAATATCACCGATGTTATACAGGCACAAGCTTTTCTGGATGATTACAACGTCAAAGTGTCAGTATCTATAAATGCAAGGGTCAAAGCCTCATGGGCGTACAACACTAACTTGACCGACGAAAACGCGGACAAAATGGTAAGAATTATATATAACGTCATGACGATATTTTTTTACAGGCGAGAACGATTAAAGGCATTTAGAAGTTGAAAAAACTATTAGCGTTAGAAATATAGATTGTGCATTGTTTAAGTCTCCATATTTAATTCAGCATATTGAAAAAACACACGTCCAGGAGCAGTTTTCTTTGATCTTACTCATATGGTAATTTATACAAGAATGCTTTATATGCATCTAAATAGCTTTATTTGTATTTTAGCGTTTCCTATAAATATATCGTATTACAGATAGTACACAAAAATCTCAATATCAGAACGTTATGCATTCATGTAAGTGCGCGTCATGTACAACAGGACATAGTGATGAAATGCCCGTGGTGTTACGAATGTAGGGATTGTGAACATGTCCGTGTAGGGAGAGGAGGTTTCATCACTGGGAATCCACCGCCTGGCCAGACTCTGTATATGGAGGACAGTAATTTATGCGCGTGTCAAAATGTTATACGATTCTCATTTATATCACTCCTAGTGTTACCTGTCACAAACAACGGAGCGGAACTCAGATCCTCCCTCGATACGTGATGCTTGTAATAATTACTGACGTCATCAACATGCTGTGTCATCGTGCTTTGATTAATGAGAAGCTCTGACAAACGCGCGTGCGTGCGTGCGTGCGTGCGTGCGTGCGTGCGTTTTGTTTGTTTCTACCAATATGGCTGGGGTCTATTTAAAGGCTGTGAGTATGGTTTTAGGTCCCTTTCATCAATATTCCAGCAATATCACGGCGGGGGTCATCAGCTTCACACATTTTGCTCTTCTCGGGAATCGAACCCGGGTCGTTCCGCGTAACGAACGAACGCTTTAACCACTAGACTACCCTACCGATCCTATCCAAAGGACATTTAGGACGCACCAGTGTGGTACACTTGAGGCAATATAGCAACGTATTTTGTACTCACAATTAACATTTTAAAAAGAAACAATAGTGCAGTTAAAATCTATTATATTTTCAAAACCTTTTAAAACTTTAAATAGCCCCTTACATAACCATAGTGCGTCTTCTAAAGGTTTATATTCTGTTCTTGTAAAGTGAATGCGGACATGTGCTACTGCAGCATATAGTATTTGGGAGTTAAGGGTGTGCCCCTGAGGCTCAGCGTGAACGAGTAGATGGTATTGGGGATTTAGTTTAAGGGGTTGGGGTAGGAGGGATAGGGTGGGTTGACACCCTATGATTAATAGAATAATTGCAGATGGATTGAATTGAGAAGTGGCTTTTACTTTGAGTAAGTTCATTGGAGCATGAACCTTTAAAGAGCACACATGACGTCTCTGTCTCTGTCTAAGTACAGGTGGAGTAGATAGTTTGGGCATGCACTTCGTGTGTTCACTAGGATAAGGTTCTAGAGTAAATAGTCTAAATGAGAAGAAACAACGCCTGTGTGTTTATTCGCGCTCGTGAATTCGCTGGTGTTATCCCAGAAATGTGAAGCTATCCGTAAGTGTAAAGTTTATCTATGAATGCACTTTAGTTAAATACGTGTAAACGTCAAACTGTGTCGTCATCAGCGTAGGAACGTCCAGTGTTAAAGCTGTCTATATTGTATAATCTTCACGCACAAACATTCGATTTAAACATTTGATGAAATGATAGATCAAGAAAATAGTGTTTATTGGTATATATTATAGTTATACAATATAGAAAGTATATAACATCCACAAGCAAACCACGTATAACAACGTATAATGGCTGAAGAAGCGAGAAACATTCACTTGAGACAACTTGAATTTCTGTAACGACATGGCAGTTGGCGAAATAACGACATACAAAAGGAAAGTGATTTAAAAATTCATGTTTTGTTCATTTATGATTGACAAAACAGAGAATGAATTCTGACTAATTAATTTGTTCCTTAGCAAAACTGATAACTTGACTGTGTTCAGATAGACGAAAACCTCAGACATGCTGCGTTCGCGAAGGCAGCTGCTGAGAACGCCTCGTTATATGCATGGAGGGACTTCGAAGATCCGATGCGAAGAGAATTCTTCAAGATCACAGACATCGGCACAGCAGCAATGGCGGATGAGACTAAACTAGAAAGGGTAGGTGTACCCAGGCGATGTAGCGATTTGTTTATTGTTTAACTTCGTACCCAGCAATATTTAAGCACGTGTAAACAATCGTTTGACCAGATAATCCAGTGATTTACATTGTCAGCATCAAACTACACAATTGAATTCATCCAGAAAGGCAATATGTTTCAACATTAATTTGTATGCAGGAATAAAGGCGTGTGGTCATAGTAGTCGATCGGCTTTGTGGATGAGCAAAAGAAATAAGAAACGATCGTCGCGAAATGAAACGCATTTGCTTGTAATACAGCTGTAAATGTTTGTGTCACCTCAGTCGCTACATTTGATACTGACGTAAATAATATTCGTATTCGTCTTTAAAATATTTAAATGTTAATTACGGATGATAAAGTGTGTGTGTTATGTTGTTTCTCCATCAGCTGAACACGGTGTTGTCGGAGCTGCAGAAGCTGTACAGCACGGGGAAGGGGTGTGTCACCCCAGACAGGTGTCTGCCGCTTGACCCAGGTAGCATCCGTCACTATCTCCCGCCTTATTAGGAGACAATATGTTTAACAACGTTTGCCATCTGAGCGATTTGATCAGTGGGGCTTTACTCTACCCCAAATATTATAAACCGCCGCGCAGAAGGAAGTATGTACATGACTACATAAATTACCAACGGCATCTAAACGGTCCATGGCCTCCGAATATATGTGTGTGTGTGTGTGTGTGTGTGTGTGTGTGTGTGTGTGTACGTGTGTGTGTGTGTGTGTGTTTGTATATGACTGTCTGTCTGTTCGTCCGTCCGTCCGTTTGACCGCCCGCCCGCTCAACAGCATGAACAACGATCTACGCAATTGGGAAAAGCCTGACCAGTCGATCCCGTTAGTCGCCTCTGTGTGCGTGCGTGTGTGTATGGTTGTCTCGAAGTAAAATCTGTATTTGTATTAAGTAATCATTATATTCCTGTGGCCAATATTGGATAACTCGAAGTATTTACGTAGGTCCATTTAACATCGACACAACTGTGTTTAGCTGTAATGGGTGACGTCCCTATCTACGCCGGCTACGAGACAGACAACAGACACATTAAAGTGACACTCTTTGATTCAGACCTGACTAACATCCTCGCCAATTCCCGAGACATCAAGGAGCTGGAGGGGGCGTGGAAAGGCTGGAGAGACGGCACTGGCAAGAAGATGAAGACGCTCTTCACTGAGTATGTCAACCTTCACAACGAGGCTATACGGGAAAGTGGTAAGTGGATAAGTGAGTGAATATGGTTTTATGCCGTCTTCAGCAATATTCCAGCAATATCACGGCAGGGGACACTAGCAATGGGCTTCACACATTGTACCCATGTGGGTAATCGAACCCCTGACGAGCGGACGCCTTAAGCATTAGGTTACCCCAACGCCCCGAAAGTGGTAAGTATTACCGTGGACTCTTGATGTCAGTCATCGGATTATGTGGTCCAGACGCGAGTATTTACAACCCCGTCATGTGGCTTAAAACTGCTCTCGACAGCATAAACTACATACAACAAACCTGTAGATAAAATATCTATTTATAAGAACCAATAGTCAATACTATGAACCTCTCTCGTTCTAGTGAGTGAATGAGATTAGTTTTATGCCGCTTTTAGCAATATTTCAGCAATATCCCGCAGGGTGACCTCAGAAATGGGCTTCAAACATTGTAACCATTTGGGGAATCAACACGGGTCTTCAGAGTGAAGGGCGAATGCTTTAACCACTAGGCTACCCCACCGCCCCCTCTCGTTCTTCCTTCAGATTACAGCGACACGGGCGAGTACTGGCGTTCCTGGTACGAGTCGGAGGACTTCCGGACGGATGTCGCTGAGCTGTTTACTCAGCTGAAGCCGCTGTACCAGCAGATGCACGCCTACACACGTACCAAACTCATCGAGATGTACGGGAAGGACAACTTCCCCTCCACCGGTCACATCCCAGCACATCTTTTAGGTGGGCGTCAACACGTTTTCTCCAAAATAACCACCCGAACTGACTGAATTCATTTAAACTATTTCATTAACAGACTTTTTATTAAGGTGGCAACACATTTTATGATAGCCCTCACTAATGAACCTGAGAAAAATAAACCATTGCAAATAAGTGATATTAGTAGGCATATCCAGCTTCATTCCTGGTATATCACATACAATCAACTAGCTTCAACTTACTAAACTGGATCATCTTCGTTTACATTCCAGAAGTTATGGAATAATTATGAACATTAATCTGTCCAGGAAATATGTGGGCCCAGCAGTGGAACAACTTGTACTCTGATTTGGTGCCAATAAAAGACAAACCAAGTGTGGACATCACCGATGAACTGAAGAGACAGGTACGACCACAAAGGGATTAACAGCGTAAGAATTGCCACACACTATGTATTGGAACAGATCTATGGAGAAACGGAAGTTTTGTTGGAAGTTTCAGAGTGAGATGGGGCGGTGGGTTAGCTTAGTGGTTAAAGCGTCCGCTCGTCACGCCGAAGACCCGGGTTCGATTCCCGATATGGGTACAATGTGTGAAGCCTATTTATGCCCCCGCCATGATATTGCTGGAATATTGCTTAAAGCGGTGTAAACGTAAACTCACTCAGTAGAGTGAGATGGTAACACGAGGTTACAACGCTTCCTCTACCGGTAGCAATACGTACCATTACAACTCGGTGACCATAATGGTCTCCAGGATATCGTAGAGAAACACTGGACGCACGACTAACGGCACTGTATTAAACGCTTTTTGCAAATGTCATACGTCGTTCTGAAAACGCCTGGCTAGATGTTAAAGGGCAAATAATCGAGTCTGGACCTGGCAATCCTGTGATTGGCGTCCGATGCAACTCTGATACAATGACAGCACCAACCAAGACATCGAGCCTGACCATAGACAGAGATCGCTCAAAACAACTCAAGCCAGGATGCTCAAGGAGCTATACATATTTAAGCCTTAAGCGTCTCTTAACGATTTCCATGTATGGTCTGACTATGTACATATTTTCCTAGTTTTGGCAGATATCACTATTTATATTCAGCTGTCATTCTATAAGTGTAAACATTATTGTACCAGAACTTCACGGCTGTGAAAATGTTCGAAGTCTCCGATGCATTCTTCACCTCAATGGGCATGGTGGCGATGCCGCCGTCGTTCTGGGAAAACTCCATGTTGGAAAAACCCTCTGACGGACGGGAGGTGGTCTGCCACGCCTCGGCCTGGGACTTCTACGATGGGGATGACTTCAGGTACGTTTAGGAAGAGTAGGACAAGATCGCCTTCCGCTTTGAGCTATTAAACATTGATAAAGTTTAATATGAGTATACCACAGCTCAATTTCATCACTTTCAGAATAAAGCAGTGTACGGTTCCCACTCATAGCCAGATGGTTACTGTGCATCATGAGATGGGTCACGTGGAGTACTATCTCCAGTACAAGCACCAGCCTGTCCTCTTCAGAAGGGGAGCTAACCCTGGTAAGTCACCAATCCCGATATCACAACGTCTTTCATCACTTTCAGAATCAAGCAATGTACGGTTGCCACTCATAGCCAGATGGTCACTGTGCACCATGAGATGGGTCACGTTGAGTACTTCCTGCAGTACAAAGGTCAACCGGTGCTTTTCCGGGGCGGAGCCAACCCGGGTATGTGACCTCTTGAAACAGTCCTGGTTTGGAGTAGAAAGTTGTTATGTTGACTATATTATGGTTTTGAGGTTTCGAAATATGGTTTAAAGCTTGAATAATAAATTCATCGGTTAATGCAAAACATTATGAAATTATGTGTAACAAAGGTGTGTGACCTATATTCATCGATTGAGGTTGACGATCGAGACTGTCGGCATGTGATTTGATTTCACATTCAACGTTTTTGCGACTTGTTTTATTTTCATCTAGATTTATTTAAATCTATTTTTCTTCTATGACAAGTTAAATCGATCTACTCGTACAGGTTTTCATGAAGGCATAGCCGATGTTGCCTCCCTGTCCTTCCAGACACCTAAACATCTCCATGAGATCGGCCTGCTCCCAGTGCTGGAGGAGGACGACGGTAAGGATCTCTGAAGTGTGGGGATTATCGCACCACACAGTTTCCAGTAGCCGTTCCTCACCGAACTCAGGTCTCAGTAAAACTTCCTTTATTGTCTTGTGGATTATAGAACGTCAGTGCAAAAGAATACCCAGTCTTGACTATCCTGAGAAAGAAATTCCGTTTCTTGTAAAGGGAAAATCAGTGATGACACCAGGTGTTCGCGAAAAGGGTGCGCACGCACTGCCTTACGGGTAGCATCCACCACTAACCAAATTTGTCTATAAATGGAATTATTTTGCCTGACACTGCACAGCAGTCCTCCTGTCGTGCGACCGCTGCCAGATGACAAGACATTGACTCACCGGTGACAGACATTGACTCATCAGTGACAGACATTGACTCATCAGTGACAGACATTGACTCACTCAGACATTGACTCATCAGTGACATATGCCCACTTCAAGACGGGACGGTGGCCAGATGACAAGACACTGACTCACCAGTGACAGATGCCCAGTTCAAGACGGGGCGGCGGCCAGATGACAGGACATTGACTCATCAGTGACAGATGCCAGTTCAAGACGGGGTGGCGGCGAGATGACAAGACATTGACTCATCAGTGACAGACATTGACTCATCAGTGACAGATGACTCATCGGTGACAGATGCTGACTCACCAGTGACAGATGCCCAGTTCAAGACGGGGCGGCGGCCAGATGACAAGACATTGACTCATCAGTGACAGATGCCCAGTTCAAGACGGGGCGGCGGCCAGATGACAAGACATTGACTCATCAGTGACAGATGCCCAGTTCAAGACGGGGCGGCGGCCAGATGACAAGACATTGACTCATCAGTGACAGATGCCCAGTTCAAGACGGGCGGCGGCCAGATGACAAGACATTGACTCATCAATGACAGATGCCCAGTTCAAGACGGGCGGCGGCCAGATGACAAGACATTGACTCATCAATGACAGATGCCCAGTTCAAGACGAAGCGGCAGCCAGATGACAAGACATTGACTCATCGGTGACAGACATTGACTCATCAGTGACAGATGCCCAGTTCAAGACGGGGCGGCGGCCAGATGACAAGACACTGACTCACCAGTGACAGATGCCCAGTTCAAGACGGAGCGGCAGCCAGATGACAAGACATTGACTCATCGGTGACAGACATTGACTCATCAGTGACAGATGCCCAGTTCAAGACGGGGCGGCGGCCAGATGACAAGACATTGAGTCATCGGTGACAGATGCCCAGTTCAAGACGGAGCGGCAGCCAGATGACAAGACATTGACTCATCAGTGACAGATGCCCAGTTCAAGACGGGGCGGCGGCCAGATGACAAGACATTGACTCATCAAGGACAGATGCCCAGTTCAAGACGGGGCGGCGGGGTCGTCTAGACGTAGACTAGCATATTTTGATACTATCTTATAACTCGGCCAAATTCTCAATCTAACTGTAGGACAGCCTTTGGGGTTCGCTCGTAAGGCCAGTGAGGTACGATTTACAAGGGTACAAAACACTACAAGTCCATTTCCGATATCGTTGTGGGAGTAGCATTATACACACTCGGAGCCTTTCCGACACTATGAGTTCCTATATTTAGAGAGTGACATCAACTTCCTGTTCAACATGGCGATGCAGAAGATCGCCTTCCTGCCGTTTGGATACCTGATAGACCAGTGGAGATGGGACGTCTTCAGTGGAGCAACAAAACCAGAAGAGTATAACTCAAAATGGTGGGATTTAAGGTGTGTATTTGTGTGAGCACCCCACATAGGAAATAACCGTTGCTCATGTAACTGGTTCAACCCTCCACACTGCAGTTTTACAAACGTTCGTAGATGACCTGACTGCAAAGTCTCAAATAACATAATCATTCTCTTATATGTAAGCATCACTACATTAACTGTTTGATCAGAGAACGTGCCATCAGCCGCTTATCAAACAACACAGTGTGTCAGACCAGCATGTTAATTAGAGAAAACATCTGGTAAAACCATGCATCAGTGCTATCAGTTTTGACTTTAACATTTGTTTCCAAAACTCAGTAAGAAGAGATGGACTGTTGAGTTCATTAAACGTACCTCCAAATCCCTGTCTCAAAGAATCCCTTAAAGCAATCAAGGAAAACACTTATTTATGGTCAAAGGAAATATTTGACGAAGATATAATTAACGCTTGTGTTCTCAAAGCTCAAAGTTATTCCTTGACATTTTGCAATGTCAGAACAGAACGACGTTATATTCTGTGAAAACATTTGCTTTTTCAACATTAACTTGTTTAAGTGGCATTTAGAAGGTGGTGTGATGAACAACAAGGAGAGTTCTATGGATATACACCTTCTTTAATATGATATGAGCGACGTTTCGGTGTAGCTACTAACACCGTTATCAAGCAAATGATGACGGTGTTAGTAGCTACACCGAAACGTCGCTCATATCATATTAAAGAAGGTGTATATCCATAGAACTCTCCTTGTTGTTTTTCAACATTGTTCACTTTTCCACATGATAAACTTCATGTCGTCAAGCATGTCCTGCTTGACTGTAAGTATATTTCTACCACAAAGTATGAATATTTTGAAGTTTCATCCATGAAGGATCTTTTAATGTAATTTCGTATTTAATCTCTTAAAATTTTAAAAGAAATGGAATCTATAAGACGAATATATGGATAGCAACTTCTTCTGTATTGTATCACACGACTTTTCTGGTCTGGTTCTTGTCCCTTCTTCAGGTGATATCAGGTAAGACGTTGGTAATAAATAAAATACCAGACTCGTGGTATTCTCTATGGGTGTAATCAGTGGAAGGTTTTGTGTCCCGTGCCATGATATTCTTGGATTTTTGCTCACGGCGTTAGAACCCATCATAGTAAATTAGTTGTCTTTGGTTTGTTTGCAATATTTTACTTACAAAACTCCTGCGAATATCTGAGTGTGAATCAGACGATTAAACCGCAACTATGGGTGAGACGAGGTTGTTTTCGCGACCACTTTGAATAATAACAAGGTTATGACCACTTTCGTCAGCTATGTCACCCAAACGAGGAAGGCTAGACAGGTGTTTGTGACGGGTGTTCGCGAACACCTGGTATCATTACTATTTACTAATCATCCATGAAGATGGCTGGTTGTTTAACGCAGCACTCAGCAATATTCCAGCAATATAGCGGCGGTCTGTAAATAATCTAAGATCAGACAATCCAGTGATCAACATGATGAGCATCGAACTACGCAATTGGATTACAATGACATGTGTCAACCAAGTCAGCGAGTCTGACCACCCGATCCCGTTAGCCGTCCTTACGACAAGCATGGGTTCCTGAAGGCCAGTTATAACCCGGATCTTCACTGGTCCATTCATAAAGATGTTGTAATCCAAAATATCTCTTTATGATAACGATACGGTTTTTGTGTTTGTGTAGTTAAGCTTATCTGGAAATGTATTTTTTTTCTTCGTAGATGCAGTCTACAGGGGGTTTCACCTCCCGTGAAGAGAACTGAAGAAGACTTTGACCCAGGTGCTAAATATCACATACCAGGGAACGTGGCATATATTCGGTACAGTTCTGTTGATTACAAAACCTATTGCCAGTTATTGAAACGTATCTATAGGAGAACTAGACCCCATCAACTGGAAATTCTAGTTTGATTTAATTGAGTCAGTTATGAAGTAGATCCACTTATCGGGTATTACTCTTTTGTTCTCAGCCTATTACGATATGTCGTACACGCAACTTGTAGACCTCGAATTATAATGGAGCATACTTTTTGTCAGATACAACCGTTTTGAATGACAATTTTCTGAAAAGTTTCTCATCCAATTTTGTAAACGTCTGATGATGAAAATTATGTTGTCCCTCTATTATCCTTCAAACTTTTTGTTTTGAGGCTGTTTTTTCCAGATATTTTGTGAGTTTCGTCATCCAGTTCCAGTTTCACAAGGCGCTGTGTGATGCTGCCGGTCACACGGGGCCGCTACATAAGTGTAGTATCTACAACTCGAGGGAAGCCGGAACTCAATTCAGGTAGGAGTCAGTGAGTAAATAGTGCTTAACACCGGAACAGGTGAGGTGGAATGGGGCTTAGCGTCGTACTTAAGACGTGTGTATGTGTGGCTGCTTGTACTAGACCAGACTTAAGCTGGGCTAGCTCACTAAGATCCCATGCCGCAGTTGTAACTGATCTTCAGTAATCTTTGTTTATGGTAAGAGGCGACTGAAATTTCGGGTGGTCAGGTTCGCTGACTTGGCTGACACATGTCTTCTTATCCCATTTCAACCATGCTCATGATAATGATCACCGGATTGTGTAGTCCAGACTCGATCATTTACAGATCGCCGCCATATAGCTGGAATATTGCTGAGTGTGGCGTTAAACGACATAGAGTGATCGAGTGGGTATAGTTTTATGCCGCGTTTAGCAATATTCCAGCAATATCACGGCGAGGGACACCAGAAATGGGTTTCTCACATTGTACCCAAGTGGGGAATTGAACCCGGGTCTTCGGCATGGCGAGCGAACGCTTTAACCACTAGGCTACCCCTCCGCCCTACAGCGCGATTATTTACAAACCGGCATACTAAAGCTTACTGAACAACAGACCTTTTGTCTTGGCAGTAATATGCTGAAGCTGGGATCCTCTAAACCATGGCCGGAGGCCATGCAGAACATCACAGGACAGGCCAAGATGGACGCCCAGCCTCTTATGGACTACTTCGAGCCTCTCCGTCAATGGCTGACAGAACAGAATGCTGGGGTCGATGTGGAGTGGAGTGAAAAATGTCCAGACTTTACTGAAGCTAAAGCAGCTGCCACTTCAATTCTTCCCTCTGGATTAGTGTGCTTGTTCCTTTTGGTTGTAACTGGCTGGTTGTAACTGGCTGGTTGTAAGGGTGGCGAGAATGGGTTTGAGGATGATGTAGTAGGTCGTACCTTTGTTTGTAAATCTTGAGAGGAAACAGGTACTGTGTCAGTACAGCTGTATGACGGATTTACTAATGAAGATAAAAACTCGCGATGTACGTGATGACTTAAATATGCATGGTAACATTCATTTTATCAAACGGCAGCTGTAAATCAATAAATAAAATCACTTTGCAAGAATTTTTATGTTTCCCTTCTAAAAGCAACAAGATCGAGGTTTTGCTTGCCTTTGAAACACGCGCAAATATGGACTACAATATTTGTTTCTCATCTACACCTGTAACGAATAGACTGACGTACAAAAGAAAGTACTCACCTGGTGTTTGGGGGTTACTAAAAACATCTTTTTGAGTATTTTGAAAGGTGTTTTCATTGCGATGCACAGTTCACAAATGTTGGGAATGTGTCCTGAGTAGGGGTGGTGGTTAAGTGCGTGAATATTACTCAAAGTCTAAAATATCAGTCTAATATCACTTTGAGGATAAAAACCGACTGTTCTGATGAAATATATACTTTGTTTGATTTCGTTTAAGTAAACAAAATTCAAATGGATGGTAACAGAAACAAACTTCACATAAAGTATTTAAATCATCGCAGTAAAACGTCTGCTGAGAGGAAAATCAATACATGACAATCAAAATGTGCTTAACAGTTATTGGACGACTGATTGCAAGGGATGCGAAAAGATGTATATTACATGTATATATAAAAGTATATGTGTATTATGATGGTATCAAATGTGTATCAAACACAACTTCATTATGGCGATACAGCGCATCGCAAGTCTTGCAAGGCGCTGCTTCCGGTACAAAGCTGACGCGTGCGCCTACTTGCGATACGAGAGACAGGGCCCAGCTTACATCCGGTACCAGATTTCCGGTGACGAGCGTATATTCAAGAACCAGTGTACAACCCTGCTTGGGTGTCACAGCTGTTGACAGTCATAATAGTTGGCTAATGTGGGGATGGTTAGGTCGGAAATATGTTGTTCCTGCAAGGAATATCGGTTCCTTACTCTCAACTGACAACCATGAAACCACTCGAAAAGGTATGAAATGTTGTTTGTCACCGGAAGTACTAAGGTCTAGCGAAGTTCCGTGACCTACCTGTATCATGGTCAGCAAATATGTCTTAGTCTGACAGGGGTAAGGCTACTTTTAGATAGGACGAAATGTATGAATATCATGGCGTAAACATCACATCATACAACATGAATATCAAACCAGAGATGGCATTTTATGGGTGTAAGTACAGAGCTGCCACCCGAAATATGTTGTACAGAAAGCTGATGTACCCAATCACTGAACCCTAAGAGTGTCCGATATCTTTAGATGACAACCATTAGAGTCATAGGAGGCTACAATGTCTACAGTAACTGCAGTTCATTATAATACAAAGGTCGGTTGGTTGTTTAACGCCGCACTCAGCAATATCCCAGCCATATGGCGGCGGTCTGTAAATAATCGACTTACGTGTGCCAACCAAGTCAGCAAGCCCGTTAGTCGCCTCTTACGACAAGGATAGGTTTGTTAACCCGGATCTTCACGGGTAATAAGGAACACCAGAGTACTTCAAATATACTTTTGAACGAATTCAAAGACGGATTGAATTGAACGTGTTTGTGTCCATATACAAATGTAATATACAAAATGATTAAACAATATCTAGCATGAAATGTGTTGAGCACTGACAAGTTCTAATTTTGGTCGTCAGTTTTCAAGACACCTCACCTCCGTCACAATGACAAGCCAAAACATTGAGTACACAACAGTCTCGTTTCCTGTTGACTGGGTTCAGTCCTATTGCGCAACCTAGTACAATAACTAGTCCAGAATTTTGAGACCAATTCATTCAACTTGATACATAAACATTAATAAGTATTTGATACATCTATGTACTTGTATATTGCAACACTACGCTCCTTATAATCCTTGCAAACACGCCGTGCAGCGTGCTCTGTCGTACAGCGTGCTCTGCCGTGCAGCGTGCTCTGTCGTACAGCGTGCTCTGTCGTACAGCGTGCTCTGACAAACGGAAATCGTGGAAATCTCAAAACGAGGCTCTGCCGCTAGTCTGGTGCGGACTTGATATTATATCAATCACACTGTGCGTTACTGAATAAGCGCAAAAACACATATCAGTTGTAACCAGTGAGCCAGATGACTTGTGAATCATTTTACGACCTCATCAAACAGGGTCAGCCTGTGACGTCTTAGTTAAGGTCATGCTGCCTACACCTCGCCATAAAATATAGAAATACGATGACATTAAAGTTCAAAATTAAAATTAACCTGTAAATACCATTCTCTTATGAGACATGGAATTGAAATTCAGTGTAACCATAGTTGTTTGTGGTGTCTATTTTCACTTTCACACGAGAAAATTTGGATCAGCTGAAAAGTAGGTCATTGTCTGAATAGGTTAATGAGAGTCATGTTTCGGTTTGGTGCATGTAATGGAGTTGATGATTCAAGGATCAGGTTGGAGGACACTCTCATGTTTCGTGTCACGTGTTTTATTCAAGTTTTTGGTGTTTCTACATTACACGAACACGTAACTAGCTTTTTTTCAGAATCGCGTAGATCCCATGCTCATGATATCGATCACGGGATCGTACTCGATTACGTACAGATCACCGTCATATAGTTGGAATTCTGCGTCGTTAAGCAACAAACAAACAAACTCCCCAACTAAACAAGTTCTGTGATGTTACTTCCTGTTCAATCTGTGCTTGGAGACTTGAGAATGATCTGGTTTCTTTGTATGTTGTTTAACGCCGCATTCAGCAATAACCCGTGAAGATCCGGGCTAGAACTGATCTTCAGTAACCCATGCTTGTGGCAAGAGGCGACGAACGGGATCGGGTGATCAGGCTCGCTGACTTGGTTGACACATGTCATCGTATCCCATTTGCGTAGATCTACGCAACTGGGATACGATGACGTCAACCGAATCACAGGCTGATTTGTGAAAAATGTGCGTACAGCAGATTGCTAGTTTCCTGCATAGCTTATGAGAACATACATACACTCAGTAATGTATATCTGCTCATGAAACTTCCCCTAGCAGAACAGAAAATAATAACATCAATGGGAACTTATCATGTCTAGGGATGATTATCTCTGATTTCACATTTATTGACCAAGTTTTATATTACCTGTTCGTTTACATAAACTATCTGAAGGGATACTGTATAGGTTTTTTACCGATAGCTTCATCCTTTAAATCTTGTAAGCATTTATCAACAACAAAATGTATGCATGGTTTCCATGTGAAGGGATATAGATTTGTGTTGGAATATATACATTACCCGAATAGATACATCACCTGTGTTGGAATAGATACATTACCCGTGTAGGAATAGATACATTATCTGTGTAGGAATAGATACATTATCTGTATAGGAATATAGCCTTTGTTCAATGCGAAGAATAATGACGTCAATATTTAACAAATTTGGTTTTATTACAAAGTACAAAATGGAGACTCCTTAACTCAAATATGGTATACGGGCAACAATGAGATTGACATCGACATATATATATATTAGACAGCCAAATGGTTCTTTTCTTAATACAGTTCAAGGGGTCGAGTTTGAGTCAGCGAATATATTCTCTTTGCTAGGTCAGCAGTTAACCTAAAACAGGTTGATCACAAAGAACTCGAGGGAATATGCTGAGTCTTTATCAATCTAGTTACCTGAAAATTCATAGACAAATGGACAGAATTCTTCAACGATCTTATCCCACAAAATTAAGCATGATAGTTGTATTCTTGTGATGGCAGCAATGCCATCTGTGTGATACTAGCAATACCTTCACTGGTACCTCAGGACAGCAGTTACTATGGTAACCAAGAAAATACCGTACGTGACTCTGACTGAGGTTGCAGAGCTAAATATCGGTATGGAATCCGGGCACATGTGCTCCCAACCTATCATGTGACCTCTGTTCTGTTCCGTCAACCAATCAGTGAGTGGCTGAAAGTACTCCATGAGGGGTCTGGCATCCATCTTGTTTTGTCCAGTAAGTATTTGCATAGCTTCCGGCCACGGTCGCGATTGACCGAGCTCCAAAACACGACTGCAAGTAAAGGTGATAGTTTTGATAAAAATTCCCCAAGTTATTCCTCTACCGCAAGCGTATAACACTGAACACTTATAATTCAGCACCTCCATGGGGACGCGGGATATAAAGTGTTCCCACTGAGGCTGCTGGGGACCCGTTGGGTTAGACATGATCCCAGACAGCCTATCCTCATCGTAAGAGGACTTTATCGACTTAATTGATCGGGTTGGCGGTTGAGGGCCTGTCAAATTAGTCAACAGCGTTGTAACTTATGCAGGGCTTAAGAGGAGACTTAATGGGTCATGTGATTAGGAACCAGTGGTAAAATCACCTGATTCATGTCATGTGTATGACAGAGTGATCTCATGACATGAATCAGTTGATTTTACGAACGAGTACTGCACGAACAAGGCACGCAACTCTGCATGGCGTCCTGTGGCGGTCTCGCGCTCTCACTCATGAAACATTGAACATTATGTAAACGTCAGGGTGTACGGCCTACAGCACGATATGAGTGATGTTTCAGAAAAGGTTATACCTGAGGAGAGCGCCAGCTTCCCTCGACTGGTAGATGTCACATCTATGTAGCGGCCCTGTTTGATTGGCTGCCTGGCACAGCGCCTTGTGGAACTGGAACTGGATGACGAAACTCACAAAGTACCTGGAACGACATGTGTGTGATGTATGTATGTTGCCTTCGGGCGTGGTGTACCTTTCCTATAGCATAGACAATGTCTATATGCATTTTGTTTCAGTACAGTTTCATGATCAGCGTCACGTTCCTATTGTATGGTTGTTATAGGATTACTTCACAAATTGTAAAATGTGTATAAGCATGGTGTACTACACAGAAATGCTGATGGGCTAGTATGCACCTGGATCGTGGAGCTATTCAATGAACATTCAGGATCATATCAATTGTATGTATATGCATATGTGTATATCAGTATGTCCCAACTGAAAAATGGTTTATATGATAACGGTGGTTATTTTGTACACTAATGTCATTCTTATGTAGTTCCTTGAATCCCAGGTCGAAACCTGGAAAAAGACAACACCGGTCACAGACAGAAATGGGTTTTTTGTTTAACGCCGCACTCAGCAATATTCAAGCTTTATGGCTGCAGTCGGTAAACATTCGAGTGACAGCCTGATGTCGTCAATTTGATGATGATGATGATGATGATGATGATGATAATGATGATAAGAAGGAATCCGAGGTTGCATCAACATGTGTCAGATGGTATATCATGATTATAACTACCTGATATATGGTACATTAGCAGGAATGTGGTATTTTGCACCTGGGTCAAAGTCATCTTCGGATCTTTGTACCGGCGGAGAAATACCCTGGTATCGGCATCTGGAAGGTGAATCACGCTGTCTCTGTACAACATGCATAGGAGCAACACTGGACGTACACTCATGAGCAGGTCTTGTACAACATAGACTGGGAGAAACAGGGCCACGACAGTGTAGACCACATGGTCACATCGTTAACAGGAACTGACTTTGAGAACGTTGCTGTCATTATCGCTATTTAAATATTTTCTGAAATAGTGGCCTCAGTGTGTATAATAGTGACGAAATTTCTACAGTGTTTCTAAATCCGTTAGAATATAGAGTTTACCATGCACATCACTACTTGGTGTTTTAGAAGCTATGTGGCGTCTCTCACCTGCACCTCACCTCATGACTTACCTGAGGGACCACCACTTGGTGTTGTACATGCTCTGTGACGTCTCTCACCTTCACCTCACCTCGTGACTTACCTCAGGGACCACCACTTGGTGTTGTCGAAGCTAAGTGACGTCTCTCACCTGCACCTCACCTCGTGACTTACCTGAGGGGCCACCACTTGGTGTTGTACAAGCTCTGTGGCGTCTCTCACCTGCACCTCACCTCGTGACTTACCTGAGGGACCACCACTTGGTGTTGTCGAAGCTAAGTGGCGTCTCTCACCTGCACCTCACCTCGTGACTTACCTGAGGGACCACCACTTGGTGTTGTACAAGCTCTGTGGCGTCTCTCACCTGCACCTCACCTCGTGACTTACCTGAGGGACCACCACTTGGTGTTGTACAAGCTCTGTGGCGTCTCTCACCTGCACCTCACCTCGTGACTTACCTGAGGGACCACCACTTGGTGTTGTACATGCTCTGTGGCGTCTCTGCACCTGCACCTGAGGGACCACCTCGTGACGTTCTCCTGAGGGACTTACCTGAGGGACCACCACTTGGTGTTGTACAAGCTCTGTGGCGTCTCTCACCCTGCACCTCACCTCGTGACTTACCTGAGGGACAACCACTTGGTGTTGTACAAGCTCTGTGGCGTCTCTCACCTGCACCTCACCTCGTGACTTACCTGAGGGACCACCACTTGGTGTTGTACAAGCTCTGTGGTGTCTCTCACCTGCACCTCACCTCGTGACTTACCTGAGGGACCACCACTTGGTGTTGTACAAGCTCTGTGGCGTCTCTCACCTGCACCTCACCTCGTGACTTACCTGAGGGACCACCACTTGGTGTTGTACAAGCTCTGTGACGTCTCTCACCTGCACCTCACCTCGTGACTTACCTGAGGGACCACCACTTGGTGTTGTACAAGCTCTGTGGCGTCTCTCACTTGCACCTCACCTCGTGACTTACCTGAGGGACCACCACTTGGTGTTGTACAAGCTCTGTGGCGTCTCTCACCTGCACCTCACCTCGTGACTTACCTGAGGGACAACCACTTGGTGTTGGTGTTGTGTTGTCGTCGAAGCTAAGTGACACCTGCAGCTCTGTGGCGTCTCTCACCTCCACCTCACCTCGTGACTTACCTGAGGGACAACCACTTGGTGTTGTACAAGCTAAGTGGCGTCTCTCACCTGCACCTCACCTCGTGACTTACCTGAGGGACCACCACTTGGTGTTGTACAAGCTCTGTGGCGTCTCTCACCTGCACCTCACCTCGTGACTTACCTGAGGGACCACCACTTGGTGTTGTACAAGCTCTGTGGCGTCTCTCACCTCCACATCACCTCATGACTTACCTGAGGGACAACCACTTGGTGTTGTCGAAGCTAAGTGACGTCTCTCACCTGCACCTCACCTCGTGACTTACCTGAGGGACCACCACTTGGTGTTGTACAAGCTCTGTGGCGTCTCTCACCTCCACATCACCTCATGACTTGCTGAGGGACCACCACTTGGTGTTGTATAAGCTTTGTGGCGTCTCTCACCTGCACCTTACCTCGTGACTTACCTGAGGGACAACCACTTGGTGTTGTACAAGCTTTGTGGCGTCTCTCACCTGCACCTCACCTCATGACTTACCTGAGGGACCACCATCTGGTGTTGTAGAAGCTCTGTGACGCGTCTCAACTGCACCTCACAGCATGGCTTATCTGAGGGGCCACCATCTATTATTGTAGAAGCTCTATGACGTCTCTCACCTGCACCTCACCTCGTGACTTACCTGAGGGGCCACCACTTGGTGTTGTCGAAGCTAAGTGACGTCTCTCACCTGCACCTCACCTCGTGGCTTACCTGAGGGACAACCACTTGGTGTTGTCGAAGCTAAGCGACGTCTCTCACCTGCACTTCTCCTCGTGACTTACCTGAGGGACCACCACTTGGTGTTGTACAAGTTCTGTGGCGTCTCTCACCTGCACCTCACACCTCATGACTTACCTGAGGGACCACCACTTGGTGTTGTAGAAGCTCTGTGACGCGTCTCTCACCTGCACCTCACCTCATGACTTACCTGAGGGACAACCACCATCTATTATTGTACCTGAGCTCTGTGGCGTCTCTCACCTGCACCTCACCTCGTGACTTACCTGAGGGGCCACCACTTGGTGTTGTCGAAGCTAAGTGACGTCTCTCACCTGCACCTCACCTCGTGGCTTACCTGAGGGACAACCACTTGGTGTTGTCGAAGCTAAGCGACGTCTCTCACCTGCACTTCTCCTCGTGACTTACCTGAGGGACCACCACTTGGTGTTGTACAAGTTCTGTGGCGTCTCTCACCTGCACCTCACCTCGTGACTTACCTGAGGGACCACCACTTGGTGTTGTACATGCTCTGTGGCGTCTCACCACTGAAGACACTCCAACGCCATTGATCCATGAGGTAGCCAAACGGCAGAAAGGCGATCTTGTCTAGAGCCATGCTTAACATGTAGTTGATGTCGCTCTCTGCAAAGGTGGGTGGAAAAATCGATTATGGAATCAACAGAGGCCACTCATTACCGACACAGCGAAGATCTTGCTACTGATGAACCAGGCAAACTGCTCTCGAAAGTTGTTTACTGTTGTAGTGCTGGTCATGCTTAACATTTAGCTGATGTCGCTCTCTGCATCACCGACAGGAGACTGGCTATCCTATCTACTGGCAAACTGGTCTAGAATGACATTTTAGTACTGTCGTGTTTGTACATCTTTAAACTCTGCTTAGGTTGAGAAATACCCCCTCATAATATCTAGATATGTCATTTCAGAATGTGTCCTCCTAACGTAATACACCTGTCCACATACGTGAATTGTATTTTTAATCGCTTTCACACAGACACTGTTTATATAAGATGCAAGTTACACATCGACCTTGGTGAGTGCATGTGATGTCATGGTGACACGTGACACCAGACAGAATGAAGTGTTTGTATTGTTGATATATTATGGATGCATTGTTGACACACCTGCATATGTAGAGAAGAAATTCGCAGCCTTTCAAATACGCAAGTATCTATTATGAGTAGAATGCATGACTAATTTACATCAAAATACAAAAGGGATGACCTATTTTGCTCAGTTAGAACATGTCTGAAAACAACAACACATTTGTCCCGAGTCTGCCATTGTTGTGATTGTGAACCGTCAATGCCCGTGGACCTCTAAAAACAACCGACAGCGACCAAATCAAAACTATGCAGACTTGACAGTTGTTCATGGTACTGTCCTGACCATTACACATAGACATGAGTGTATGCCATCTGTAGTTTCATGTGATATCATATGTGCTGCTTGTGGCGTCGGGGTGAAAATGGTTACCTTTTTGGCAAATTATGTAAAAGGCGGGTGCTAACGGTAGGGCAGGACATGTTTAGTCATGTCGTAAACAATGGTGTCATCACAGGCTTTCAATGGTCGTATACTTTTCAAACTATTTCGCCCTTCACACGGAATGGAATCTTTTTTCTGGGGATAGTCAATACTGGGGCTTCTTTTGCACTGACATTTTATATTAACTTTATGCGAAGCAACAGCCTGATATCGCTAGATAATGGTCAGATAGTCCATTCCCTTCCTTTGATTTACCAACCTGTACACATGATACACGGGAACTGTGATCTGTTCCCCACAAAGAGGTAATATGTCACCTTTGCGTTTGTTGAGGATTATTACACCACCCCCACTGACCTTGGCAGCTGCTACCAAGTCAAAACATTGACACAGACAGACACAGACAGGTTTATTCGGTAATTTAGGCCCGAGGCCCATAATACATACATTTGGCAAAAGTAAATACATACTGAGTAGAGCTAAGTAAAGTTTAGTATTGATTTGTTTTACAGATAATCATTCCTTCTAAGGCGAACTTGTGAAAGATATTTACTCAATGATTTTAAAATATGCACCTTGTCTGATGACAACAATCGGATGAAGGTTTCAAAACATTGATTACACAACAGTCTCGTTTCCTTTTGACTGGGTTCCGTCCTATTGCGCAACTGAGTACAATAACCAGTCCAGAATTTTGAGACCAAGTCATTTAACTGGATACATAAATATTAATCAGTATTATATTGCAACACTACGCTCCTTATAATCCTTGCAGACATGTCGTGCAGCGTGCTCTGTCGTACAGCGAGCACTGACAAACTGAAACCTGGAAATCGTGGAAATCTCAAAAGGAGGCTCTGCCGCTAGAAAAGTTTGTGCGTTACAGAACTACACTAAATAAGCGCAAAACACACATAACAGGTGTAACCAGTGTGCCAGATGCATTGTGAATTATTTTACGACCTCAGCAAACTGGGACAGTCTGTGACGTCTTAGTTAAGGTCATGCTGCCTAAATCTCGCCATAAAATATAGAAATACGATGTTATTAAAGTTTAAAATTACAATGTACCTGTAAATACCATTTTCTTATGAAACAAGGAATTGCAATTCAGTGTAACCATAGCTTGTGATGTCTATTTTCACTTTCACACGATAAAATTCGGATCGGCTGAAAAGTAGGTCATTGTCTGAATAGGTTAATGAGACTCATGATTCGGTTTGAGGATGTGTGGAATCAGCTGTGTTTGATACATTGTACAAGTACCACAACGAATGCCCTTCCAGATACATCAAATTGTCAAAAATATGGGTCTAGGACAAATGCCACCCGGACAAAAACCACCCGGACAAATGCCACCCGGACAAAAGCCACCCGGACAAAAGCCACCTAAGACAAATGCAACCTAGGACAAATGCCACCCAAATAAAAATAAAAACCACCAACACAATATCATGTTTCCCAGTTGTATATGTATGATAATTCATTTTTATTTACACACTTTCATTATTTTCGCAGACGACACATCATTCTATTTAATAATCGACGATCCCCTTACGAGTGCGTTTACTCTTAACTCAGATTTCGAAAGAATATCTAAATGGGCGGAAACCTGGCAAGTAAAATTTAATCCAAACAGAACTGAAACTATCCAATTTTCAAGCAAAACCAAACATTCTACGAAACCTCCCCTCTCGATGAACGGTACCCGTATAAATGAAGTGCATATTCATAAACATTTAGGCATTACTTTACAGGAAAACCTCCTTTGGCATTCCCACATTAATGAAATGATAAGAACAATTAGCCCTATGATTAATTGCCTTTGTAGTTTTAAATACAGACTATCACGCAAAACTCTCGAAACAATGTATAAATCCGTAATCTTACCCGAGGCTGATCATCGTTTTCACTATCACTAGCGTCTGGCTCGAACAAATAAGGCCTAGCAACACCAAGCGATTTTCACAGAATCGTCTATGAAAACAAGTGTAAGCAGCTAGGCAAAGCAGGTGACAAAATTAAATGACAGTAGATTGTGAGAACATATAGCTATATAATTTTACAACAAAATCAACATTAAGGTCAATAAGGGTGGTAATTGTCCTCTCTGTAACGGTAAAATAACTGGGTGGCTTTTGTCCTAGGTGGCATTTGTCCTAGGTGGTATTTGTCCAGGTGGCTTTTGTCCGGTGGCATTTGTCCGGGTGGCTTTTGTCCTGCTCCCCAAAAATATACAGATTTGATTGCCAAATTCATCTGAGTGTCTTGTGCATAAGTGTACAAATACTTGTCCATACAAATTGAGTAGTGGGGTAGCCTAGTGGCTAAAGCGTTCGCTCGTCACGCCGAATACCCGGGTTCGATACCCCACAATGTGTGAGGCCCACTTCTGGTGTCACCCGCCGTGATGTTGCTGGAAGATTGCGTTTGTTGAAAGCGGCGTAAAACTAAACTCACTTACTCACTCACCCGTACAAATGGTACCAGAGAGAAAAAAGTATATAAACATGTTGCTTGAATATGTTCCCTGTACCTCCTGTGTGTGGAGGAAACCTGCTGATGACAGTCACAAAGCTTCTAAAGCTTCTTGTATGTCTGGTTTCTGTTCATATTGTGTTGCTGAATCTGGAAAACTGCGGCGGAAATCAACATGCACTCGCTTTATCACTTACTGCACAGTACCTACCTGCGTCATCCTCTACGTTTGTCAACAGCCCGATCTGCTGCAGGTGTTTGGGGTAGCTGCAGACAGAGCTAGGACGTCTCCTACAGCCTCGTGGAACCCTGCAACAATGTCTCAACATGGGAGGTTCTGCCGCTAACCTTAATAGAATATTTTATCTTAAACTACGTCAACAAACTTTTCCACATTTTTCAAAGAAACAAAATAAAGATCTGATGATGCATGTTCAGCCACCGATGTCTCTGCGTCTAAAGTTCTTTATACCTACACATGTCTGTGTACATCTTGCTCTGAGGGAAACGTTCATCCAGCTTTTGGATTTCACCTTATTTGGGGCCAGAGTTCGTCCCTTTGTCTTGTGAGGATCCGCTAATCATGGGTTCGAATTTCAGTTTCACCTCGAATATATACCATGAATGTATTTGTGGGTTTCACTTAAGTAGTAAACAGCTAAAACATACATCATCTTGGTAATTTCAACCACAGTTTTGAAACGAACAACCATCATCAGTTCTGGATGCGTTCCACAAAGGACTAAGTGGATGGCAACTACTGTACTTTGACACAGACTTACGACGTAGCACTACTATCGGTTTGGGGAACGGCACCAAGATTCCTTGATTTAAAAAGTACATCATTGAAGGAGTACTAACCTCCACAGTCTTGGTCTAGAAGTGTACTTGGTGTAATTAGACAGTGTTTCTGTTTAATTAGCACGAACTGTTATATTGATAAAACTAGCAGGTTTGTGTTAGTGGACGAAGTGGTGTATGGATGACTTAAATATAACCTGCCGGGGTTGTAAGTTGGTCCGAACCTGCCAAACCCAACCTACCGGGATTAGCTCCAGACCTGAAGGCTACGGGCTGGTGCATGTACTGTTGGTAGTACTGGATGTGCCCCATCTCGTGGTGGACGGTGATCAGGTCCTCCATGGTAATGTCTGTACACTGTTTTATTCTGGAACAAATGGTAGGAACCATTCCTGGCATTCAGTCTTGTTACATATCTAGTAACTCCCACTTTCGAAAGAGGCCTTACACTAAGTCTTTCATACTTAATTTGTCTTCCCAGTAACCGCTTATTACCATCTTAACTGTTAGTTGCTGCAATCAACTAGCCAAATCTTTTAAAGAATTCATACACGTATGTTCCTAATAAATTTTTCACTTTAATGTCTGTAATTTATTTGTGATAGGTATAGTTAACCTGTGTATATTTGATTGTAGTGTTATGTATCTGTAAAAAAAGTATAACCTTGGCTTACGTTCATGACTTGACCTGACCTGACCTGACCTGACAATGTCATCTGAATCCATACTACCTAGTTGATGGCCTCAGTACACAAGTGTGCCCTGATTGCCGCCAGGGGGAAGATCTACCCACCGGAAATCACTGCCGTTGGTAAAGTCCCAAGCAGACGCGTGGCAGACGACCGAACGGCCATCTTTGGGTTTCTCTATCATTGACTTCTCCCAGAATAGTTGTGTCATTGGCTCCATACCGAGAGACGTAAAGAACTCCTCTGCTGTTTCAAACATCCTGCGTGGAGTGTAACCCTTCAAACAGATTTAAATGAATAGTGTCTTGGACGAGTGCCGACAAGGTGTCGCTCCACACACTACTTCACGCCACGCCACGCCTCACACATTTCACACACTACACCTGACTTTACCACATCCATCGCCACGCGTTGTTCCACACCAGACCACACCACACCACACCACACCACACTGTCGCCACACCACGGTCGCCACAACACACAAGACACCACACCGTCACTACCCCTCACGCAGTACCTTACACACCCACCACACACATCACACGCCCCAGCACAATCTTTCCAACACGTATCCGAACCCTTTATCTCTATACATTGCAATTTTCACTTTACAGGACCCTTTGATACCAACCTGCGCCTTCATCTGAGGGGTGACGTCCACGCTCTGCTTGTCTTTGTAAGGTTGCAGAATACCGAGTAGATGGCCCCAAGTCTGCGCCCACATGTTGCCTGAAACAGTGATCGCTTGGATGAACCTGGGCATCTAATTTTTTACATAACTTAATAACCTCGAACAGATGAGTTTCAACAACAAGAGAATGAGAATTTTTCTCAGCCCTGCCCTTCAAACTCCCAGACAATAGATGGTGTTCAAACGCGATGAGCCAAAATATCTATTTAGTAAGAACCCGTGAAGATCTGGGTTCGAATTGCACTCTTCGGCAACCCATTCTTTATCGTAAAAGGCGACTAACGGGATCGGGTGATCAAGCTTGCTGACTTGGTTGACACATGTCATCTTATCCCAGTTGCGCAGATGACCCATGATGCTGGTCACTGGATTGTCTGGTTCAGATTTTTTACAGACCATGTAGCTGGAATAAGGCGGCGTTAACCAACCAACAAACAAACTTAGGAGGTGCATAGCCTGCGTTTTAAATAGATGTAAATCCTATTGTTTTGTGAAAATATGTCTGACAAATTTCTTTTAATGTGGCTTTGTGTTTTTTATTCACTTTTATCTTTGAGTGAACTTGGCACGTAACCATATGGCTGAAATCGTCCCAATGCGAAGTTAATTTGAACCCACTCACCAAGCAGGTGCGCTGGAATATGTCCCCCCTTGGGAAAGACGCTCTCCCCATAAACCTCCATCAGCTTCCTCCTGGTGTAGGCGTGCAGCTGTATGTACAGCGGCTCCAGCTGCAGGAACAGCTGCTCCAGGTCCTGCGTGAAGGTATCGGTCTCATACCACGATCTCCACCAGGCACCCGTGTCAGCATAGCCTGAATAAACATGAATACATACACTCTTCAAAACCAGAAACGCATAGGTGGTCTGGAGAATATTGGACTCATGTAGCAGCGGCAAAAACAATACAAATATACTAAATAAAAATCAAAACGTCGTCTCTGTGTGATTGTAAACAGCTTCAGCGCCAAAACGCGGCAATGTGAACTTTCCCCCTGATTTTAGAAGCGTTTGAAGTGATATTCGCCAAAAACCTCACCAACAACACATACAAAGCAAAATGCATTGCAAGTAAGCAGGAGCCCGACATTTTAACGTTCATCAGAGCACCGTATCTTGCCTTTGGGATCGTTTCCTGCAGACCAATTCCGCCCAAGATCGCCTGAAGACGTGTTTACCGTCGATGAAATGAACGTTTTGCCTCTACTTGCATTCAACAGGTCGACAGATTCGGTGGAGAGGGTGTCATGGTGTGGGATGCGATATCCAACACACAAAGATCTGATTTAGTGGTGGTTCAGGGGAATTTGACAGCAAATCGGTTCTGCATTGCAAGTTACGAGCTTCCGATTATGGACCGTCAGAGGGAGTTGTCCCAGGCTGACAACGCTACTTCACAAACAGCACGCTTCACACTACCTTGCCAATTGTAACGTCAATGTCATCCCGATTACCAGATCTAAACCCGATAGAACACCTATGGGATGAAATCGAACGACGTGTACGTCAACGTCAAAACACACCTCAGACACTTCGCATTGTCGGAAGAGTTGGGAAGAATTCCGCAAGAGCTACTTTGTCGACTTATCCAGTCTGTGCCGAGCAGTAATTGCCGCAAAAGGAGGCCATACAAAGTACTGACTTGAAGCAGTCTTGTGGATTCAGGTAAACAGAAACACAACGCTATGCTGCTGTGTTGGCTAACTCTTAGTCTATAGACGTGTGAATTTTCACCTTTATACCATTGAAATTACTTCCTTTTGAAAAGTGTATCTTTTAGCCTTTACCTTAAATCATATGTGAAATGATTCTGGTGCTGTAACATGTTGCTGTCATGTCAGTGCTGTCAATGTGCTATATACCTACTGCAATCAACTACGGACAGTTAAGGACCGGAAAGGATACGCCACAAATGCTAACAATTGATACTACAGAAATCCTGCTTTCAACGCGTTCAACGCTTTACTATATCTCACTCACTATATTCCAAGAGGTTCTTTTCAAAAAATTCATGTGAACTACTACATACGATAGTATAATTTGTTACAAAATCATATTATGGATTTCACGGAATCATATGTATTCAAGTTTATTCGAAGTCCTTTTATTGTACACCTATACGTGTCGGCTAATGTAGATCTCACCATTTGCCCTGATGGCCTCGTTGCTAAGGGAAACGAATTCGGCGTACAGGTCCTTCATCTTCTTCCCTGTCTGATCTCGCCATCCTTTCCAAACCTTGGTTAACTCCCCGTAGTTGCGGGATGACGACAGAAGACGCGTTAGGCCTGTGAACAAAGAGCGTAAACATTTCCCGATTTTGACTCCCACCAAACGTACCCACTTTTGTTCTTTTACCTGAACAATTGACTTACCTGTGCATGTGGTTTTGACGGGTGCACCAGGTAGGCATGATACGCTCATCTCTTAAAGAACACCTGTTATCCTCACTGCCTGATAGTGAGGCACAAAAAGATTCGAAAAATAATACCCATATTGACTATGCTCAGAAAACAATTCTATTTGGTGTAAAGGGGAAAACACCTAGAAAAAATACCAGCTGACCATTGGAAATCAGCGATGACACTTGGTGTTCGTGGAAGCCTGCCCTGCCCTGCCCTGCCCTGCCCTGCCCTGCCCTGCCCTGCCCTGCCCTGCCCTGCCCTGCACCCTGCCCTGCCCTGCCTGCCCTGCCCTGCCCTGCCCTGCCCTGCCCTGCCCTGCCGGTAGCATTCGCCCCTGACATAATACAGTCAGAATGGTACAATGGAAATGATTCTGTCACTTTCATTTTCTGAGGTAATACTGTATTCGACGTAGTGAGCAGTAATTATGACAAAAACAAGACCATCCTTAAGTCGCCCGCGGATTGTCTTGATTCCAGAAGTGCGTTGACTTCTTTTGATCCATTTGCACAAGAAATATGTTTGATGATGAGATTTAACTATCGATCATCTCATATCGCTATCGACATCACTGGAATATCTAGAACAACATACCCGGTTCAAGGTCCAAACACTCGTCATCCTTGACGCACACCTTGCCCGTGCTGTAGATCTCCTCCATCTCCGTCAGCACATCCTTCAGCTGAAAACACCATGGAAACAAATGTATGAAAGTGCCAATAACTTCACCTTCAGAAATTACTCTCACTAACTGCCATAGATTACAGTTTCTTAGTTTCCAGAACGTTTTCTTTGGTACTTTAACCCATAAGTTAGCAGTTGTGAATGTCCAAACTGATCAGTAATGTGTTGCCAAACCCAGGAAGAGGTGTTTAAGTTCCCTTTCTTTCAATGGAGAGCAGTATATTGTGTGATCAAGGCATGATAAAAGTGCATCAACTTTTGTAATGGTGTAAGATACAATCGCTTGAAAAGCTATTTTAGGTGTTTGATGTCTTTGATTAGAATACATTACCATCCGCAGTCTTACCACACCCATCACACCACACCACACCACATCACAACACACTACACCACATCACAACACACAACACCACATCACAACACACTACACCGACTAAAAATATGATTATTCTTACCCGTTTCAGCTTCGTCTCGTCAGGCATAGCAGCAGTACCTATATCCGCCACTATTGCAAATCGTCTCCGCATAGTTTCATCCTGAAAGTTCTTCCAGGCGAACAACGAAGCGTTCCTTCCCGACTCCTTTGTGAACTCTGCCACCTTCAGATCGGCAGCCACCTGCACACATGGGAAATTTAACATACATCCAGATATTACACTGTAGTGCATGGCGCATGCGGCGCTATATAGCATGACGTCATTCGGTGTGAGGCTTTGGGAATGCACTCCAAATCAAAAATATAATTTCCCAGTAGTGATATCGCATATTATGCAAGACACTCTGGGTCAGGGAACCCACATAGGTTAAGCATGGTGCTGTGTAAACAAGAAACCTGGTGCCGTGTAAATTATCTGTCGAATTAACTTGAAACTACAATCTATACATATATATGTAAAATGCAATGAACGTTTTTTCTTTACAGGAATAGGGCGTTTACAATATCACTTATCACAGAGATAACTTTACTAATAGATCAAAACACATGCATGTAGTGTATCCGCTCTGTCATAAAGCTGGATTAATGCTAAAAACAGTGTCAGCCATACTCAGTCGCTCGATGCAAATTGTTAATGTCTTCAAAAGCCAAATCAGGTAACCATCTACCTTTCAACCCATGTGTGACGTCATTCATGGATTTCTAGAAGTAATTTCTAGAAGTAATTGGCCTCAACATCGTTACATGGCTGACATTAGTGAGGACTTCTTGTGACACATACATTAACGCATCATGCTGGCACGGGTAGAAAGCATTATGGAGTAGTGCGTGAGTTTTGTTAAGCAATATCCAGCTATATGGCGGTATTATGGAGTAAATCATGTAAACAACAACACAGTCTTTTGGAAGTGCTAATTGTGTGATATGTTGAAATCAAAAGTCTGTAACATACATAAAAATGCTTAGGTAGGTTTGATCTTTTCCACAAAGGTTCATCTTTTGCACATAGGTGTTATCTTGATAACATTGACAACGAAAAGAACGCTCATCTAATAAGTATTAACCTATTAACTTTTGTTCGTTCCGTTGGCTTTTACTGTGTCGTTTTTTTATACCTTACAATTCTATCTTACATTATGTGCAGTCAGTTGGTTTGTTCAAACCACAATTTTCAAGTCTTTGTTTTGTATTTAGGTTGACTACGAAGAACACGGTATTCACTAAACATTCAATTGCAAAACATCCTCGTTGAAGCCATCGTTTCGTATCATTAACCCGGTATCCTGTGTCAAAATTCGCGTGAGTCCGTGCGCGTTCCCAACATAGTGGACGGTTATATGTCTCTGAATTGTGGTGTATGTATGTAAATGTGTGTGGCTGTATGAACATTGCCATGGCAGCGAACGTATAACATTTGTCAAAAACCGTGACCAAAGATGGGTGTAAATAGGGATTATTACACAAGCAAGTGTGTCATATGACTTATACGAAACCAGTCAAATGTATCATCCGTGCGCGTTCCTAGCGTAGAGGACGGTTATATGTCTCTGAATTGTGTTGTATGTATGTATATGTGTGTCGCTACATGATCATCGCCTTGGCTGCGGACGTATAAACATTTGTCAGCAGACGTGACCAAACATGGCTGTATACCTTCTATTGCCCTTTGGTGTACGTCATGACAAATAAGAACGGTCGTTTCTTAGTCATACAGCATACCTCACGACTGTGTGTGTACACTCACAATGGCAACTGGCGTTTACGAAACGAGTGAACATCTCTTTTTAACTCAGTGACAATAATGGAAAAAAAAATAATGTAAAATATCAAAGTATTACGTCAGTTTGTAATACAAACCTGTTCAACGTGGTGAGTTGCTCAGTAGCAATGCAGTTTCTATAGATGTTATTAAAGCCTATGCAAACTGCACATGCATGGGGCTCTGTCTAGAATAGGTTCTATTCAAATTGTGCTCGTCGAAAGAAGCGACTAAAATTCGGCTTTAAGAATGCACAGACGCACACTCGCAAAATTTGCAAAAAGGAACACACACACACAAGCACGTGCACGCATACGCGCGCACACACACAGCCGTACCTAGCTTGATTTTTTAAATATCGGGTTATATCTGGCTTGTACAGTAGGTTTACTAGCCTTTATATCAGCTGGCCTGATCCCCACACTACATCCTAAAACCACTTTATTCATAGAACAAAGTGTCATGTAAATACGAAACTATCCACTTACAAACGGGGTGACATGAATACCGCCATGTCCACATCCAAACGATATCCGATACCTTCGAGTTCGGGTACACTGAGTGTAATGTAAACATAAATATGTCCTGGAACACAGTTCCGTGTAATGAAGGGTATATACAAAGTGCCATGTAAATACGAAACTATCCACTTACAAACGGGCTGACATAAATACCGCCATGTCCACATCCAAACGATATCCGATACCTTCGAGTTCGGGTACACTGAGTGTAATGTAAACATAAATATGTCCTGTAACACAGTTCCGTGTAATGAAGGGTATATCCCCGTGGAATGCCTGGAAACACTACACATCTTCCACTTCATCCGATGTCACGCAACACAAGCAGGACGGTGTTGATAAACATGAATATTCAGTAGCACTAGATCGATCGTTTCTAAATGTATCTATATAAGGTTTTAATTTATTGACGTCAACTTCTCAATCTTGAATACCTCATTTACTGACGTCATCTTCTTTATCATGAATACCTCATTTATTGATGTCAACTTCCTCATCATGAACACCTATTTTACTGTGTCGTTTTATACCTTACAATTCTATCTTACATTATGTGCAGTCAGTTGGTTTGTTCAAACCACAATTTTCAAGTCTTTGTTTTGTATTTAGGTTGACTACGAAGAACACGGTATTCACTAAACATTCAATTGCAAAACATCCTCGTTGAAGCCATCGTTTCGTATCATTAACCCGGTATCCTGTGTCCAAATTCGCGTGAGTCTACGAGCCATCCGTGCGCGTTCCCAACATAGTGGACGGTTATATGTCTCTGAATTGTGGTGTATGTATGTAAATGTGGGTGGCTGTATGAACATTGCCATGGCAGCGAACGTATAACATTTGTCAAAAAACGTGACCAAAGATGGGTGTAAATAGGGATTATTACACAAGCAAGTGTGTCATATGACTTATACGAAACCAGTCAAATGTATCATCCGTGCGCGTTCCTAGCGTAGAGGACGGTTATATTCTCTGAATGGTGGTGTATGTATGTATATGTGTGTCGCTACATGAACATCGCCTTGGCTGCGGACGTATAAACATTTGTCAGGAGACGTGATCAAACATGGCTGTATACTTTCTATTGCCCTTTGGTTTACGTCATGAAAAATCAGAACGGTCGTTTCTTAGTCATACAGCATACCTCACGACTCGTTTACGAAACGAGTGAACATCTCTTTTTAACTCAGTGACAATAATGGAAAGAAAAAACATGTAAAATATCTAACTATTATGTCAGTTTGTAATACAAACCTGTTCAACGTGGTGAGTTGTTCAGTAGCAATGCAGTTTCTATAGATGTTATTAAAGCCTATGCAAACTGCACACGCATAGGCTCTGTCTAGAATAGGTTCTATTCAAATTGTGCGCGTCGAAAGAAGCGACTAAAATTCGGCATTAAGAATGCACAGACGCACACTCGCAAAATTTGCAAAAAGGAACACACACACACACAAACACACAAGCACGTGCACGCATACGCGCGCACTCACACAACCGTACCTAACTTGATTTTTTTAATATCGGGTTATATCTGGCTTGTACAGTAGGTTTACTAGCCTTTATATCAGCTGGCCAGATCCCCACACTACATCCTAAAACCACTTTATTCACAGAACAAAGTGTCATGTAAATACGAAACTATCCACTTACAAACGGGGTGACATGAATACAGCCATGTCACATCCAAACGATATCCGATACCTTCGAGTTCGGGTACACTGAGTGTAATGTAAACAAAAATATGTCCTGGAACACAGTTCCGTGTAATGAAGGGTATATACGAAGTGTCATGTAAATACGAAACTATCCACTTACCAACGGGGTGACATGAATACCGCCATGTCCACATCCAAACGATATCCGATACCTTCGAGTTCGGGTACACTGAGTGTAATGTAAACATAAATATGTCCTGTAACACAATTCCGTGTAATGAAGGGTATATCCCCGTGGAAAGCCTGGAAACACTACACATCTTCCACTTCATCCGATGTCACGCAACACAAGCAGGACGGTGTTGATAAACATGAATATTCAGTAGCACTAGATCGATCGTTTCTACATGTATCTATATAAGGTTATAATTTATTGATGTTAACTTCTTTATCATGAATACCTCATTTATTGACGTCAACTTCTTTATCATGAATACCTCATTTATTTATGTCAACTTCTTTATCATCAATACCTCATTTATTTATGTCAACTTCTTTATCATCAATACCTCATTTATTGATGTCAACTTCTTTATCATGAATACCTCATTTATTTATGTCAACTTCTTTATCATCAATATCTCATTTATTTATGTCAACTTCTTTATCATCAATACCTCATTTATTGATGTCAACTTCTTTATCATGAATACCTCATTTATTGATGTCAACTTCTTTATCATCAATACCTCATTTATTGACGTCATCTTCTTTATCATGAATACCTCATTTATTGATGTCAACTTCTTTATCATCAATATCTCATTTATTGATGTCAACTTCTTTATCATCAATACCTCATTTATTGATGTCAACTTCTTTATCATGAATACCTCATTTACTGACGTCATCTTCTTTATCATGAATACCTCATTTATTGATGTCAACTTCTTTATCATCAATATCTCATTTATTTATGTCAACTTCTTTATCATGAATACCTCATTTATTTATGTCAACTTCTTATCATGAATATCATTTATTTATGTCTCATTTATTTTTATGAAGTCAACTTCTTTATCATGAATTCTTTATCCTCATTTATTGATGTCAACTTCTTTATCATGAATACCTCATTTATTTATGTCAACTTTTTATCTGAATACCTCATTTATTTATGTCAACTTCTTTATCATGAATACCTCATTTATTGATGTCAACTTCTTTATCATGAATACCTCATTTATTTATGTCAACTTCTTTATCATCAATATCTCATTTATTTATGTCAACTTCTTTATCATCAATACCTCATTTATTTATGTCAACTTCTTTATCATGAATACCTCATTTATTGATGTCAACTTCTTTATCATGAATACCTCATTTATTGACGTCAACTTCTTTATCATGAATACCTCATTTATTGACGTCAACTTCTTTATTATGAATACCTCATTTATTGATGTCAACTTCTTTATTATGAATACCTCATTTATTGATGTCAACTTCTTTATTATGAATACCTCATTTATTGACGTCAACTTCTTTATCATGAATACCTCATTTATTGATGCCAACTTCTTTATTATGAATACCTCATTTATTGATGTCAACTTCTTTATTTTGAAAACCTCATTTATTGATGTCAACTTCTTTATTATGAATATCTCATTTATTGATGTCAACCTCTTTATCAACAAAACCTCATTTATTGATGTCAACTTCTATTAATCATTTGTGATACCTTATTTATTTATTTCAACATCTTTGTTATGAATATCTCATTTATTGATGTCAACTTCTTTATTATGAATATCTCATTTATCTATGTCAACTTCTTTGTTATCAATACCTCATTTATTTATGTCAACTATGAATACCTCATCTATTGACGTCAACTTCTTTATCATGAAAACCTCATTTATTGATGTCAACTTCGTTTATTCTGAATACCCCATAATATAGAAGTTGTCATACAAAAATTCTCATCTTTTATGTGTATTACTTCTGAATGCAGTTCAAAGACTAATATGCATGCAGGTAAATAACCCAAAATAGACGAAATGCTGAAAATACAAGAGTAGGACACTGCGACTGTCGAGGTGATTACATTCGCTATATGGACAGTGCCAGTAAGTGACATACACTGAATGTGTGTGATTCTTTGCCTCGCTGCAGCAAGATCAAGGAGGAAATATCGCTGACTCTCGTCGAAAGTATAAATCACGTGAAAGCCATTTCCTATGTATGTCTTTTATCCTGATTAAACGTTGTTGTCTTTTCAAAACAAATCTTTGTGATTTAAGCTGAGTCCAATGTAAAAATTACTATACATACTCACTTAAACCAAATATACAAAAATTAAGAATATGTGTAGGTTATTGAAGTATATACTGATTAATCTTTGCTCTGTGAATAATTCCTTGAATTCTCTTTCAAAACATAATGGTGCAGGTTGGAGTTCGATTCCACTCATAGCCATAATGTGTGAAGGTCATTTCTTGTGTTCTTGGTTGTGATTTAGGTAGATTGCTACATCAAACAGCAGTCGTTAATTCATTCGCTCTCCTTATGAAATTCAAATGTATGAATTTCTTTATTCTTCAAACCGGGACCTAACATTTCCCGATAACGTGCTTACATGACAATATGTTAGGAAATGGAAATTTAGAAATATAAACACAGTTCACAGAAAAAGTCATACTGTCATAATGTCTTAATAATTTTTAACTAAGATAAGTTTTAAATGCATGTGTTTTGAGTTAATGTGTGATCACAAGATATATTCATACTTTACCATTGCGTTTCTGTTCTCGTCAGTGATGTTCGTGTAGTAACCCCATGATTTGACCGTGGACCAGTAATACATGTGTGCACTCGCAGCATCCTGTTCGTCCAAGAACTGCCTTGCCTGGTCCAGGTCAGTGATCAGTTGACCATTGACCAGCAACACCGAGATGGCGCTAAACAGCGCGAGACAGAGCTGTGGGCTCATGTTCCCAAGTGTGAAGCTGCAGGTAAACTGGGCGGGTATAGATAGAGGCAGGTAGGTGCGTATACACTGGCGTCACCTGTAGGTAAACAGACTTCAAGCAACACGGGTCACCAGGACCAAGCATGAACTACTTTCTCTCATTTTATGCATGTATAACTGTAAGGCTCAACAAAGCCGATCCACAAAGCTTTCGTTACAACCTGTCGTAACTCTATAGTTCATCATGGGCTTACTATGAACGTTTTGTGGAATAGGGCCAAGACCCATAGTACAAAATACATGGCAAAGTAGGAGGGGTGTACAGGTTTAACAATGATGTTTTTTCAGGATGGCATGGTGTGTAAATATAGATAGATTTCATATATTTTGGATGTTCGTTGTATTTTTGTTCAATATCTTTTTTTTCAAAATTTACAGCATACAAGCCAGACGTAAAATGTATATTCGGCAGAATTTTTGGGGCACGGTCTACATAATCTGTGCCTGCCAACTTCAACCATTGTCCAGTGCAAGCTGTATGTTAATCGTGCTAAAGATGTCCTGCACGTCCCTATATTTCATTAATATCAAAGAAATAATATTCTGGGCATATTTGCATTTTAAAATATCTACAATATAAGTGCTTATCAGAAAAGGTCGGCCTTATTGACGGCAGCATGATTCCCTACAAAACAATGGTTGTACCAAATATAGCCATACCTACATTGATGCAGTAGACATTTAACGTTGTATGCCCAGTCGTGAGCCTTTCTCATACAATAGCATCATAATAATTATTTTGGGGTAATCAACTTCCTGGCATTTTCAGTAATTTTACCCAGTATTTTAAGATTATTATATAGTGGTATATATACAAAGGTATACGAACACATTCACCGTGTGTAACATAACGTTAGACGTTCTATGCTAACACCAAGTAACCTTGTAAAATACAACACATTTTAGAAATCTAAATAACATAGCTTTACACCTTTTCATATCACAATTCGAGCTGATATATAACAGTTTGTAAACCTATTTCAGTGCATGAAACATAAATATACTATCTGCAAATAGCAACATAACTGAAATATTTAGGATGGAATTATAATTATATTATTGTACGTCTAATTATACTTTAACCGCACCCTCTGCCTGTTGTCACTGTACCACCATTTTGTATATTATACATGTATCTATATTGTACATGTATCCATATTGTACATATTTCTATATTAGACATGTATCTATATTGTACATGTATCTAGATTATACATGTATCTATATTATACATGTATCTATATTGTACATGTATCTATATTGTACATGTATCTATATTGTACATGTATCTATATTGTACATGTATCTATATTGTACATGTATCTATATTGTACATGTATCTATATTGTACATGTATCTATATTATACTGTATCTATATGAAATATTGTACATTATCTATAATATCCAATTGCTACATGTTGGTTCCTCCTGCTGAATATCTCTACTTGTCATTCTGACCTGTATGCTGAAATACTTACTTAATACCAACGCTATATGTTGATTCCTCCTGCTGAATCCTCTGTTATTATTCTGCTGTCAAATGTTACAACCAAATGTACGTGTGGACATAACTAAACAACTGACGTGAAATACTAGATATATGTATGTATAGTAGTATACAGCCCCCCTAGAAACGTGCACCAGCAATCCCCGAGATGAAACATGTAGGATAATAGGACGCTGAACCCCTGACCCCTGCCCTCCCTGACTGCTAGCATGGCACGTCCCGAATCCCCTACCTTCCTCCTCTGATTCGGACTCTGTATACCTTGAATACACAATGACATTTAGTAAGTGTTACGTATGTTATATTTGATATTAAACTTTCTCGGTAAAGCCGAGGTGGCTGAGCGGGTTAGGCGGCTGACTTTGTGTGCTGGAGATTAGCTGCCTGACTCTGAGTGTATGGGTTCGAATCCCGGATGGGATTCAACTCAACAAACGTACAAGAATCTGTACTTTACTGAGAAACTCCAAATATAACATATGTTACTGTATACCTTATTTTACATTAGGGCTGTAATGATGCATCGAACTATCAATGGATTGCAATTGTTGAGTCTTCGATAGCAATTAATCGATGGTAGAAACGAAAAACTATCGACGCATCGATAGTATCTGTGACTATCGATAGTTTAGTATTTGACTTCCATTGATAACTGCGCAGTGCAAAATACATGAAGATTCGTTCACTTTGACTTAGAGTGCAGACCTTCAGCTTCAGTTATGGTTTAACTGTTTACATGATCTGGTTTTAAGTTTCTTGTCTGTTATAAAAGAAACTGAAACTACTTCAATTTGTTTTTCTGTCATATAAACTATACATTCACTAAGGTAATGACTTCAAATGAGACAAATCAAGAAGAGAAAACACTATTGCAATATTATTGCAATCATTGGTCGCAATAGACCATCGTTATCGCAATAGTACGTTGCAATAGACTATCTCTATCGCAATAGTTGTTTTCCCCTCATTAGTCACCCATATTGTACATATTGTTGATTTAAATATAATATCCCTTCACTGGTGAATAATAAGGCAGTGACAAAGACAACCGCACTGACATCCAAGCGTCTAGATTATCAGCGACTCTCAAACAGAGCGTTCACATTTCTCAAGAATTATTAGACGTGATATTGGGCGTGACACAGTGACCCCCCTCTTCTTGCTGCAGCTTAGGTATGTGTACCCAGAACAAACACCAGAGGTGGCGACCTCGCTCCATCCAGCACGCTCGAAATGTTTTACAATCACTATTCTGGTCACAGACGTAAAGTGAGTCGTTTATAGGAGACATTAAATACCATGTGAAGATATATAACACACTAGAGATCATCGTTAACGTCTCACAAACACGCCCGATACTAAAGAAACAACTTGTATGTTGGTATTTGCTTTAATCTGTTTTGTGCCAAAATACCCGTGAAGATCCGGGTTAGAATTGATCTTCAGTAACCCATGCTTGTCGTAAGAAGCGACTAACGGGATCGAGTAGCCAACTTGGCTGACTTGGTTGACACGTGTCATCGTATCCCAATTGCGTTGATCGATGCTCATGTTGTTGATCATTGGATTGTGCAAGCAGCATGCAGCCGGACTATGTGCCGACCCAGCAACTATACACAGATCACACGCACCGCCACAAGCATTGACATTGTTTGTGCGCATTTAGTACCAGAGTAAAGTATCAAACTGTTGATCCATGCGTGTACACGTAATACCTTCAATATAAACCGAAGACAGCATGGCCTGTGTGCTGAAGACGAATACAAAAGCCAAACAGAAGACAGCATGGCCTGGGTGCTGAAGACGAGAGCATATCGATTAAACCTCAATTACAAATCTGAGTGAGTGAGTTTAGTTTTACGCCGCTTTTAGCAATATTCCAGCATATCACCGGGTGGGACACCAGAAAATGGGCTTCACACATTGTACCCATGTGGGGAAACCTGGGTCTTCGGCGTGACGAGCGAACGGTTTAACCACTAGGCTACCCCACCGCCCTTTAAAAATCTGAACAGAGTGAGAATAATGTTAGTGGAACATGTTGGGCGACTATAACGTCCTGGCAGGTTATTCAGTAGCCTAAAATAGGGTTGTGTTGAACAGCATTAGCGCTTCAATGCTTGTCCCTTTTTAAAGTGGTAATTTCAATGCATTGTAACTGTCGACATATTTACGTATGCTCATCTGTTGTAGTGTGACAAGGCGTGTCACCTTGAACTGTATCCTTAAGTAGCAGTTTAGAAGCTGTAGTGTCAGCGAATACAAGGGTCACATATGGACTTCAACGTCTTTGCTCATTGACGCTTCGGATAAAGAATACGAATAAAGAATTACCGAGCGTGCCGAAACATCATTGAAAGAAGAACACAGAAGTTGAAATCTTTCAGTCAACTCTTTATCAATGACCACGTACTGTGGATCTTAGGCTGTTTTAGTTCTATTACATGCCGCCTCTATTCATTCCTGAACTAACACACACCTGTTTATACACAGAATAGACAAGACAACACCAATGTACACCATAGGAATATCCCAAAGCCTTTGTTTGGTGCCAAGAATAATAACGTCAGTATTTAGGAAATTTATTTTTATTACAAAAATACAAAACGGAGACTCCTTTACATGAAATCAAATCAGGTATACGGGCAATATTGAGATTTACATCGCCCTATATTTATATTATTAGACAGTCAAATGGTTCTTTTCTTAATATAGTTCAAGGGGTCGAGTTTGAGTCAGCGAATATATTCTCTTTGCTAGGTCAGCAGTTAACCTAAAACAGGTTGATCACAAAGAACTCGAGAGAATATGCTGAGTCTTTATCAATCTAGTTACCTGTAAATTCATAGACAATGGACAGAATTCTTCAACGATCTTATCCCACAAAATTAAGCATGATAGTTGTATTCTTGTGATGGTAGCAATGCTATCTGTGTGATACTAGCAATACCTTCACTGGTGTCTCAGGACAGCAGTTACTATGGTAACCAAGAAAATACCGTACGTGACTCTGACTGAGGTTGCAGAGTTAACTATCGGTATGGAATCCGGGCACATGTGCTCCCAACCTATCTTGTGACCTCTGTTCTGGTCCTTCAACCAATCGGTGAGTGGCTGAAAGTACTCCATGAGGGGTCTGGCATCCATCTTGTTTTGTCCAGTAAGTATTTGCATAGCTTCCGGCCACGGTCGCGATTTACCGAGCTCCAAAACACGACTGCAAGTAAAAGCGATAGTCTTCATAACTTTTTCCAAGGAAATTCCTCTACTGCAAGCTTAAAACACTTAACACATAATTCAGCCCCTCCACTGGGCCGCGGGATATATAGTGTTTCCACTGAGGCTACTGGGGACCCGTTGGGTTAGACATGATCCCAGACAACCTATCCTCATCGTAAGAGGACTTTATCGACTTAATTGATCGGGTTGGCGGTTGAGGGCCTGTCAAATTAGTCAACAGCGTGGTAACTTATGCAGGGCTTAAGTGGAGACTTAATGGGTCATGTGATTAGGAACCAGTGGTAAAATCACCTGATTCAAGTCATGTGTATGACGGCGTGAGCTCATGACATGAATCAGTTGATTTTACAGCTGCTTCTCAGTGACCTGTTCTGCAATGTCGATGGGAAACACGTTACCAAGCCGCCACATACCACCAGTACTCTTTGTACTTCAGTTATGAGGATCTAGTTCGAGCTACCCCTGATGCGGGAACTTCACCAGTTCGGTGAAATCCACGAAACCAACAAACAAAGGCTTGAGATCAGAGACAATCTGGAATAAGAACGAACGAGCACGGCACGTCCAAGGCACGCAACTCTGCATGGCGTCTTTTGGCGGTACGGCACCGAAACGTCTGTATCGCTCTCGCACTCTCACTCATGAAACATTGACCATTCTATAAAGCCAGGGTGTGAGTGAGTGAGCTTAGTTTTACGCCGCTTTTAGCAATATGCTAGCAATATCACGACGGGGGACACCAGAAATGGGCTTCACACATTGTGCACATGTGGTGAATCGAACACGGGTCTTCGGCGTGACACTTTTACCACTTGGCTACCCCGCCGCCCCAACGCCAGGGTGTTTTGGAAAGGGTCATACCTGAGGAGAGCGCCAGCTTCCTTGGACTGGTAGATGTCGCACTTGTGCAGCGGCCCTGTTTGATTGGCCGCCGTGCACAGCGCCTTGTGGAACTGGAACTGGAGGACGAAACCTACGAAGTATCTGAAACGATATGTAATTGTGTGTGGGTACAGACCGTACAGTGACTGACATGTACACTGTACAGTGTACCTTACCCCTTAGCATAGACTCTGTCTATACGCATGTTGCTTCAGAACAGTTTGAGCGTCACGTTCCCACTGTATAGTGAGTATAAGCCTGAAGTGTTTCACAGGTTGTAAATTGTGTGTAAGCCTGATGTACCTCACAGGTTGTAAAATGTGCGTAAGCCTGATGTATCCACAGGTTGTAAAATGTGTGTAAGCCTGTTGTACTTCACAAATTGTAAAATGTGTGTACAAGCACGGATTGTAAAATTTGTGTAAGCCTGTTATACTTCACATATTGTAAAATGTGTGTACAAGCACAGATTGTAAAATGTGTGTAAGCCTGTTCTACTTCACAAATTGTAAAATGTGTGTACAAGCGCAGATTGTAAAATGTGTGTAAGCCTGGTGTACTTCACAGATTCAAAAAGGTAAAGCCTGTGTACAAGCGCAGATTGTAAAATGTGTGTAAGCCTGAAATACTTCACAAATTGTTATGAATGTGTGTAAGCCTGATGTACTTCACAAATGTAATACTTCACCAAATTGTAAAATGTGTATAAACCTGAAATATGTGTGTAAGCCTGTTGTACTTCACAGATTCAAAAGGGAGTGAAAGCCTGCTGTACTTTACAAATTGTAAAGGGTAAAGGCACCTTAGCCTGAAATACTTCACCAAATGTTATGATGTGTATAAGCCTGAAATACTTCACCAAATTGTATAATGTGTATAAGCCTGAAATACTTCACCAAATTGTATAATGTGTATAAGCCTGAAATACTTCACCAAATTGTATAATGTGTATAAGCCTGAAATACTTCACCAAATTGTATAATGTGTATAAGCCTGAAATACTTCACCAAATTGTATAATGTGTATAAGCCTGAAATACTTCACCAAATTGTATAATGTGTATAAGCCTGAAATACTTCACCAAACTGTATAATGTGTATAAGCCTGAAACACTTCACCAAATTGTATAATGTGTATAAGCCTGAAATACTTCACCAAATTGTATAATGTGTATAAGCCTGAAATACTTCACCATATTGTATAACGTGTATAAGCCTGGAATACTTCACCATATTGTATAACGTGTATAAGCCTGGAATACTTCACCAAATTGTATAATGTGTATAAGCCTGAAATACTTCACCAAATTGTATAACGTGTATAAGCCTGAAATACTTCACCAAATTGTATAATGTGTATAAGCCTGAAATACTTCACCAAACTGTATAATGTGTATAAGCCTGAAATACTTCACCAAACTGTATAATGTGTATAAGCCTGAAATACTTCACCAAATTGTATAATGTGTAAAGCCTGAAATACTTCACCAAACTGTATAATGTGTATAAGCCTGAAATACTTCACCAAACTGTATAATGTGTATAAGCCTGAAATACTTCACCAAACTGTATAATGTGTATAAGCCTGAAATACTTCACCAAACAGTATAATGTGTATAAGCCTGAAATACTTTATACGTTGTGTTGTGAGTATTGGCGTGGTGTAGTTCTCCTGTACTTTTATAGTGACTTCCAACTCCATGTACTTTATCTGTATTATTTGAATGAGTTTGTGAGGTAACTTTGAACTAGTACTTGTTTTGTCACTGATTGTCAGCTTAATATGGTAAATAAAGCCCAAGGTGATGCATGTCAACGTTGGTAAAACCCTTGCTATACTCCTGGCAGGTCCAGACAGAACTCGGGCGACCTTATATCCAAACCATCGATCACAGGTGAATGTTGTATCCAAGGGCCGCAATTGGTATCAGCATGTTGCCCAATTATTTACAATAATTACAATATCTTAATATTGATACATCATGACTTTTGTTTCTCAACCGTTGTTTTTTATAAGACTGTTGCTTCTCCCCTGATACACGAAGACTTTTGTTTTTCACCCAGTGTTTTTCTTTTATAAATGTGACTGTTGTTTCTCAACCGTTGTTTTGATATAAGACTGTTATTTTGCACCCGATGTATATAAGATAGTTGTTTCTGACCTGGTGTATTTAGGACTGTTGTTTTTCATCTGGTTTCGCATCTGGTGTATATAAGATAGTTGTTTCTCACCCGATGTATATAAGGCTGTTGTTTCTTATCCGATGTATATAAGACTGAATGTTGTTTCTCACCCGATGTATATAAAGCTGTTGTTTCTTATCCGATGTATATAAGACTGAATGTTGTTTCTCACCCGATGTATATAAAGCTGTTGTTTCTTATCCGATGTATATAAGACTGAATGTTGTTTCTCACGCTGATGTATGTATATAAGACTGAATGTTGTTTCTTATCCGATGTATATAAGACTGAATGTTGTTTCTCACCCGATGTATATAAAGCTGTTGTTTCTTATCCGATGTATATAAGACTGAATGTTGTTTCTCACCTGATGTAGGGTGTGTTGGCCGGAATATGGTACTTAGCACCAGGATCAAAGTCATCTTCGGATCTTTGTACCGGCGGAGAAATACCCTGGTATCGGCATCTGGAAGGTGAATCGCGCTGTCTCTGTACAACTTGCATAGGAGCCACACTGGACGTACACACATGAGCAGGTCTTGTACAACATAGACTGGGAGAAATAGGGCCATGACAGTGTAGACCACATCGTCACATCGTCAACAGTATATACGTTTACATATTTTGTTTACATACTTTGAGAACCTTGCTTTTTCTAAAATAGTGGCCAAAGTGGTAAAACAGTGATGACAGTGTTACTAAATCTGTTAGAACATAAAGGTTACCATGCGCCTCACCTCATGACTAAACCTCACCTCTAAAGGACCATCACTTGGTGTTGTACAAGCTCTGTGGCGTCTCTCACTTGCACCTCACCTCGTGACTTACCTGAGGGACCACCACTTGGTGTTGTACAAGCTCTGTGGCGTCTCTCACCTGCACCTCACCTCGTGACTTACCTGAGGGACCACCACTTGGTGTTGTACAAGCTCTGTGACGTCTCTCACCTGCACCTCACCTCGTGACTTACCTGAGGGATCACCACTTGGTGTTGTACAAGCTCTGTGGCGTCTCTCACTTGCACCTCACCTCGTGACTTACCTGAGGGACCACCACTTGGTGTTGTACAAGCTCTGTGACGTCTCTCACCTGCACCTCACCTCGTGACTTACCTGAGGGATCACCACTTGGTGTTGTACAAGCTCTGTGGCGTCTCTCACTTGCACCTCACCTCGTGACTTACCTGAGGGACCACCACTTGGTGTTGTACAAGCTCTGTGACGTCTCTCACCTGCACCTCACCTCGTGACTTACGAGAGGGATCACCACTTGGTGTTGTACCTGCTCTGTGGCGTCTCTCACCTGCACCTCACCTCGTGACTTACCTGAGGGACCACCACTTGGTGTTGTACAAGCTCTGTGGCGTCTCTCACCTGCACCTCACCTCGTGACTTACCTGAGGGACCACCACTTGGTGTTGTACAAGCTCTGTGGCGTCTCTCACCTGCACCTCACCTCGTGACTTACCTGAGGGATCACCACTTGGTGTTGTACAAGCTCTGTGACGTCTCTCACCTGCACCTCACCTCGTGACTTACCTGAGGGACCACCACTTGGTGTTGTACCTGCTCTGTGGCGTCTCTCACCTGCACCTCACCTCGTGACTTACCTGAGGGACCACCACTTGGTGTTGTACATGCTCTGTGACGTCTCTCACCTGCACCTCACCTCGTGACTTACCTGAGGGACCACCACTTGGTGTTGTACCTGCTCTGTGACGTCTCTCACCTGCACCTCACCTCGTGACTTACCTGAGGGACCACCACTTGGTGTTGTACATGCTCTGTGGCGTCTCTCACCTGCACCTCACCTCGTGACTTACCTGAGGGACCACCACTTGGTGTTGTACATGCTCTGTGACGTCTCTCACCTGCACCTCACCTCGTGGCTTACCTGAGGGACCACCACTTGGTGTTGTTGTCGAAGCTCTGTGACGTCTCTCACCTGCACCTCACCTCGTGACTTACCTGAGGGACCACCACTTGGTGTTGTACAAGCTCTGTGGCGTCTCTCACCTGCACCTCACCTCGTGACTTACCTGAGGGACCACCACTTGGTGTTGTACATGCTCTGTGACGTCTCTCACCTGCACCTCACCTCGTGGCTTACCTGAGGGACCACCACTTGGTGTTGTCGAAGCTAAGTGACGTCTCTCACCTGCACCTCACCTCGTGACTTACCTGAGGGACCACCACTTGGTGTTGTACATGCTCTGTGGCGTCTCTCACCTGCACCTCACCTCGTGACTTACCTGAGGGACCACCACTTGGTGTTGTACAAGCTCTGTGACGTCTCTCACCTGCACCTCACCTCGTGACTTACCTGAGGGACCACCACTTGGTGTTGTAGAAGCTCTGTGGCGTCTCTCACCTGCACCTCACCTCGTGACTTACCTGAGGGACCACCACTTGGTGTTGTACATGCTCTGTGGCGTCTCACCACTGAAGACACTCCAACGCCATTGATCCATGAGATAGCCAAACGGCAGGAAGGCGATCTTGTCTAGAGCCATGCTTAACATGTAGTTGATGTCGCTCTCTGCAAAGGTGGGTTGAAAAATACATTCTGGCATCAACGGAGGCAAGACCCATCACCAACAGGACACTGGCTATCCTATCTACTGGCAAACTGGTCTAGAATGACATTTTAGTATTTTGGTGTTTGTACACGATTAAACTCCGCTTGGGGTTTGAGAAATACCCTATCATAATATCTAGATATGTCATTTCAGAATGTGTCCTCATCACGTAATACACCTGTCCACATACGTGAATTGTGTTTTAATCGCTTTCGCACAGACACTGTTTATATAAGATGCAACCTGCACATCGACCTTGGTGGGTGCATGTGATGTCATGGAGACACGTGACACCCCCAGTGTGGCTGAGCGGGTTAGGCTGCTGACTTTGCGTGCTGGCGATTGGGTGCCTGACTCTGAGGGTGTGGGTTCGAATCCCGGATGGTACTCAACCCCCAAAAGTACTAGAATTTGTACTTAACAAAGAAACTGTATTCCCAAATATAACATACATGTATGTTGCATCTCGTATGTTGCTTGAATATGTTCCTCGTACCTCCTGTGTGAGGAAGAAACCTGCTGATGATAGTCACAAAGCTTCTCGTATGTCTGGTTTCTGTACATAAAGTGTTGCTGAATCTGGAAACTACGGCGGAAATCAACATGCACTCACTTTATCACTCACTGCACTGTACCTACCTGCGTCATCCTCTACGTTTGTCAACAGCCCGATCTTCTGCAGGTGTTTGGGGGTAGTGACCGACAGAGTTACGGCGTTTCCAACAGCTTCATGGAACCCTGCAACATTGTCTAAACATGGGAGGTTCTGCCGCTAACCTTAATATACTTAAACAACGTCAAAAAACTTTTCTACATTTTTCGACGAACAAAATAAAGATCTGATGATGCATGTTCAGCCACCGATGTCTCTGCGTCTAAAGTTCTTTATACCTAAATATGTCTGAGTACATCTTGCTCTGACGGAAACGTTCACCCATGTTTTTGATTTCACCTTATTTGGGGCCAGAGTTTAGTCCCTTTGTCTTGTGAGGATCCGCTATTCGTGGATTCAAACCTTGTTCGGGTTGTAAGTTGGCCCAAGATTAGTTCTCCCAACATGTGACTCAGGAGAGATCAACCTACCGGGATTAGCTCCATCCCTGAAGGCTACAGGCTGGTGCATGTACCCTTGGTAGTACTGGATGTGCCCCATCTGGTAGTGGATGGTCATCAAGGTCCTCCATGGTAATGTCTGTACACAGTTGTATCCTGAAACAAATCGTAGGAAACATTCCTGGCATTCAGTCTTGTTTCATATTTAATAAGTCCCACTATTAGAAGAGGCCTGACACTTTCATCCGTAATTTGTCTTCCCAGTAACCGCATATTACCATCTTAACTGTTAGTATTTGCAAGTAATTAGCCAACTCTCTTAAAGAATTCATACACGTATGTTCCTAATTAATTTTCCATTTTTTAGTACAACTTTGTCTCACCTTCATTCCCTGACCTGACCTGACCTGACTGACCTGACAATGTCATCTGAACCTGACACTACCTAGTTAATTTCCTTCGTACACAAGTGTGCCCTGATTGCCGCCAGGGGGCAGGCCTACTCACCGGAAATCACTGCCGTTGGTGAAGTCCCAAGCAGACGGGTAGCAGTCGACCGAACGGCCATCTTTGGGTTTCTCTATCATTGACTTCTCCCAGAAGAGTTGTGTCATTGGCTCCATACCGAGAGACGTAAAGAACTCCTCTGCTGTTTCAAACATCCTGCGTGGAGTGTAGCCCTGCAAACAGATTTCAATAAATAGTATCTTTAAGTTCGATGGCGTTGTTTAGTTCGACGAGGTGAATGCGTTGGGTTAACACCACTCGCCACACCCCTCCTCACTCACTACTTTATACCCAACGCCACTCGCCACACCCCTCCTCACTCACTACTTTATAACCAACGCCACTCGCCACACTGCTCCTAACTCACTACTTTATACCCAACACCACACCCAACACCGCTCCTCACTGGCTACTCCCCAGCACTGCCTACACCCAACACCACTCGCCACACCTCTCCCCACTCGCTACCCTACACCCAGCACCACTCGCCACACCTCTCCTCACTCACTACTCTATACCCATCACTACTCGCCACACCGCTCCCAACTCACTACTTTATACCCAACACCACTCGCCACACCACTCCCAACTCACTACTTTATACCCATCACTACTCGCCACACCGCTCCCAACTCACTACTTTATAACCAACACCACTCGCCACACCACTCCTCACTCACTAATTTATACCCATCACTACTCGCCACACCGCTCCCAACTCACTACTTTATACCCATCACTACCCAACACCACACCCAACACCGCTCCTCACTCGCTACCCTACACCCAACACCACTCGCCACACCTCTCCCCACTTGCTACCCTACACCCAACACCACTCGCCACACCTCTCCACACTCACCCTACACCCACTCACTACACCCTACACCCAACCCACTCGCCACACCTCTCCCCACTCGCTACCCTACACCCCACCCAACACATATCCCAGCCTTATATTTCTGGGCACTGCTATTTCCACTTTACGGCACCCTTTGATGCCAACCTGCGCCTTCATCTGCGGGGTGACGTCCACACTCTGCTTTGTCTTTGTAAGGTTGCAGAATACCGAGTAGATTGGTCCAAGTCTGCGCCCACATGTTGCCTGAAACAGTGATCGTTTGGATGAACCTGGGCATTTCATTTTCTACATAACGTTATACAAGAACAGCCTATTAAAGGGCAACGTTGGAGGCACCGGAGTAAATTAAGACATTTAGAGAGAATGACGTGAGATGATTTCGGGGTGAAGCTGATTTTAAGAGCATCACGATGACAAGGCTTCCGTCAATTAGAGACTTGCTGCTATTATTCTATTAGAGATCGGTACTCGCATCGCAAATACGGTTCATGAACATCTCCAGTATATGACATTTCATATTAAATGTCTTTGTCATGTCTAACCATGTGTGGGAAACGAAGTACTAGTGAAGTACTTGGGTAATGCACATGCAAATTTTCAGAAAGGTATATTGAACAGGTTGTGAGTTCTGCTCCAAGACTGTTTTAACAAGTCGCTCAGCGCTCAGCACTCGCGGTACTGTTACTGAACACGCCTCTCGCTAAATTTCGAGGGAAAGCTAATGGATGCTATGAAAATGGGATGGAGTTTCCGGTTCTGCAATTCGAAATTCTGCACTGAACTAGTACAAGTGTACTCTATTGCGTGTAAAATCGTTTTGAATTGAAAGTGTATCAGTTTATTATCGTTATTGATAATTAAAAACACAGAATGTGTATAAATGAGAGATTTATAGAAAACTCGATTTCCGAATTAGCTATGAAGTAAAGCGGGGACAATTATTTCGAATTACCCACATGGTCACGTTGAGCTATGTTCATTGGTCATTGAATTGCCAAAATACAAAGAGACTAAATATCATTGGCTGAAAGTTCATTTTGAATAATCTAAGTGTAAGTATAGAGAAAAAATTTAACTGAGGGAAATTCATCCTCAATAAAAGGTTGGAGGCGTTTCTGCCTCTAACCAATGACCTCGAAATGGATGCGAACTGATGAGTTTCAACAACAAGAGATGTAAATACTATTTTGTGAAGATATGTATCTTTTAGATGTGGCTTTGTGTTTCTAATTCACTTGTATCTTTGTGTGAACGTAACCATATGGCTGAAATACTGTAGTTCCGATGCGACGTAATTTGAACCCACTTACCAAGCAGGTGCGCTGGAATATGTCCCCTTTGGGAAAGACGCTCTCCCCATAGACCTCCATCAGCTTCCTCCTGGTGTAGGCGTGCAGCTGTATGTACAGCGGCTCCAGCTGCAGGAACAGCTGCTCCAAGTCCTGCGTGAAGGTCTCGGTCTCATACCACGATCTCCACCAGGCACCCGTGTCAGCATAGCCTGAATAAACATGAAAACATGAATGACAGTCCTTCTTTATATTGAAGGTTTGTTTTATTAACTCAGCAATATTCTAGCTATATGATGGCGGTATGTAAATAATCGAGTCTTAATCAGACAATCCTTTGATCAACAGCATGATTGTCGATCTGTGCAACTAGGGTACGATGTCATGTGTCAACCAAGTAAGTGCTTATACGATAGCATGATTTGTTACAAAAACATGCTATGGATTTTACGGAGTTGTATGTATTCAATTGTATTCGAACCGCTCAGTAACAGACCGTTTATTGTGCACCTATACGTGTCGGCTGACACAGATCTCACCATTTGCCCTGATGGCCTCGTTGTTGAGGGAAACGAATTCGGCGTACAGGTTCTTCATCTTCTTCCCTGTCTGATCTCGCCATCCTTCCCAAACCTTGGTTAACACCTCATAGTTGCGGGATGACGATAGAAGACTTGTTAAGCCTGGGAGCAAAGTAAATAAAAAAGTAAAACAATTATGTCTATGCATTTCCCGATTTGGACTCATACCACGAGTCCCACTTTTGTTCTTTTACGTCAATGATTGACTTGCCTTTGTATGTGTTTGTTACGGGTGCCACTGGTAGGCCAATGGTAGGCCACTGATATTGTCACTATTTGATAGTGATCAGCAATGTAAAACGTGCAGAAGAATAACCAGTTTTGACGCAGAAAAATAAATTGCTTATTTTTGATTAAACTGCTTGAAAACTATACGCGCTGACCACCGGAAACCAGAGTTGACACCTTGTGTTCGCGAAAAGGGTTAACCTGTCCTGCCCTACGGGTAAGACTCGCCAATAATAATTATGATATAGTCGGAATGATACGGTAGTAATGCGTATGTCGCTTTCATTTTCTGCGGTAATGCATATATTCAAGCTGCAGATATGTATATTTAGTTATTTAAAAAACACAGAGAACCATCTCCTCGTCGAACACTAGTACTGATTGTCTTGATTCCAATACCGAACCAATTTCGTTAAGTTATTGTTTTGATCCATTTGCACAAGAAATATGTTAAGTGATGAGATTTAACTATCGATCATCTCGTATGGCTATGGACATCACTGGATTATCTAGCACAACATACCCGAATCAAGGTCCAGACACTCGTCATCCTTGACGCACACCTTGCCCGCAAAGTAGATATCCTCCATCTCCGTCACCACATCCTTCAGCTGAAGACACCATGGAAACAAATGTATGAAAGTGCCAATAACTTCACCTTCAGAAATTACTGTTTCTTTGTAAAGGAATGAATGTTGCGGAGGACGTTTTCTCTGATACATTAACCTATGAGCTAGCAGTTGTGAAAGTCCTTTCTGATCTGTAATGTATTACCAAACGTAGGAAGAGGCATTCAAGTTTCCTTTCTTTCAAAGCTGAGCACATTGTGTGATCAAGGTATTACATAAGTGTGTTAATGATTCCAATGGTGTTACTCTCTGCGGGAAGATGTATTCGGTGTTTGATACCTTTACTTAGAATACAGAACCATCAGCCATCTTGCCACACCCATCACACCACAACACACTACACTGAATAAAATACGATGATTCTTACCCGTTTCAGCTTCTTCTCATCAGGCATAGCGGCCGTACCTATGTCCGCCACTATTGAAAATCGTCTCCGCATCGTTTCATCCTGAAAGTTCTTCCAGGCGAACAACGAAGCGTTCCTTCCCGACTCCTTTGTAAACTCTGCCAGTTCAAGATCGGCAGCCACCTGCACACATGGGACATTTAACATACATCCAGATATTACATTGCAGCGCGATATAACATGACGTCATTCGGCTACTACTACTACTACTACTACTACTACTACTACTACTACTACTACTACTACTACTACTACTACTACTATAAATTAAATTACAAATGTTTCCTCTCTAAAATCGAGAAGTGCAGGAAAGTAATAATTTACGGATCGGTATATGTGTAAAATCTATGTCGCGTTTCAAACGTGAAGGGTGAACAATGATACACGTGTATATAATTGAATACCTCATCTTTTGCAGCAATTGCGTACATCCAAACATGTCAGAAAGCGCTATCGCAGAAATTCAAACATCTTTAATCAGGTTAATAAGGTTTAACATTGTACTTCTGCACACGTACATAGATATGGAGTTGCGTATGATGGTTTGCTGCTCGATAGCTAGCATAATAAATACACTGAAGATCAGTGTCACCAAGAGACGCCTCTTCTGCTTTGCCACAATGATGTCATGTTTAGGTGAAGAAAGACTGAAGTATCCTACGCCTATGAATCATATACTTTTCGCTTCCATTTGACGTTTTGTTGTCTGGATGTGGGGATTCTTTACCTTGCAAGGTTCAACTCTCATTTCATCTCAACTCTCACATGTATGCAGGTAAATACCCCAAATGGAAATAGACGAAATGCTGTCGGTGTTTAATACAAGAGTAGAACACTGACACTCTCGAGTGAATTACATTCGATATAAGGACAATACCAGTTAGTGAGGTACATGACACTGTGCATGACTCCTAAGTCACTACTTAAATTCTTTTCCATTATATACACAAAGAACTTAGTTAAGCACCCCCTGACTTATCTCACGATTGAATGAGCCCCGATCTTAACGCTTTGGGGCATATCTGGGACAGGATTGGTGTGCAACAAAGGGATCCTCCTGTACAAAGAGCCTGGCCCAATTGGAAGCTACTTTACACGAGGAATGACGAAGACTGCCCCTTCAGAGGATCAGGAGGCTGACAGGGGGTATGAGAAGGAGCGTGCTGGCTGTCATAGTC